CACTAAGGTTTGTTTTACTTGAACGATTTATCAGATTCCTTTCTTTTACTTTTTACTAATATAAAAAGCACGTGTTCCACACGTGTATCACGTGTTAAAGTGACATTATGCTCATTTTTTTCACAGTCAAGTAGACCTGAATTGAGTATACAGTTCAAAGGTTTGGCTGTTATAATGGTGATTGAGAAACAGTTGATTTTATAACATTTTTAGGAAAAAATATAAATCTAACTAAAATACAAAAAGACTGCCCCAGTCTTTTTTATAAATTGAACGTTGCAAGTTAATTCTGCTGCCTTTTTACAGAGTTGTCCTTAGGCCACGTGAGTTATTTATCGTTCATACCCATGCAGTAAATTATAAAATTTAAAGGAATTATAGGCTATGATATACACCTCTTTTGATTTTCGTCTGTTCACTTACGTTATACCCTTGGATGAGCATATTATGTTCATATGTGCTAACCATTAACCATTAGACGCTTTTTTTCTCAAATCGCAATAAGAATTGCGCAAAAAAAAAATCGAATTCAAATAAATTCTATGTGTATCAGTCTGATTGTACCAGTAGATCTATGTAAGAATTTCAATTTAAACATATAAATATTATTCAATCCGTTAACTGAAATTAGTCCTTCTGTTAGCCCTTAGCTTGTTGGATTTCTTTAATTGACATAAACATTTAAATTTATTCAAAATAAAAACGTATCACTTTTGGTTACAGCAGTTAGAGGGTTTTGCATATGATAGTATGTACGAAACGAGTGAAACAAGTGCTATTTTCGTCAGACAGTATAGGTAGGAAAGAAAATGTCATGACATCAAAACAAAACACTGTTTCTGGCCATTTTAACCCCCAAAACAGCCACCGGAATGTAAACACGATGATTTAAAGGAATTTTGGTGATTAAATTGTACATTCGGCGGGATGGTTGACCTTTTTGTCAACCCAGGACGCCATCGATGAAAAGTTGCATATCATTGTTTTAATCTATATAATCAATAGATCGATAACTTAATAAATTATCAGTTGATTTATAATTTTATCAAACAATAGTTAACGATTACCAAATTACAACATGTAAAATAATATGGTCAGGGAAAAGACAGTTTTAATAAGTAAACATACAAATATATGAAAACATTTTGATATTCACAATTCTTTCAGATGAATTTCTGGACTCTGCAGAAGACAAAATTTTAAACTCTTAATCAAAACGATTTTGGATTATTAAGTACGGGTTGCGTGTTTGAAGTTCAAATAGACGCAGCTGTTTATAAACATGTGTTATTTTTCATAAAGTTCAATCTATTCAGACGTTTTTCTTATACCAACATTCAGTCCCCTCAAAACTGAAAAGTTCAGTCACAAACGTAACATATTTTAGACACCGCTTTATGAAAGTCGATAATCACATTACCGCTAATCCGGAGGTTCACAATTTTGGAATAGATTATTGAATCAGACTACATGCGGTTAGATTAGGGCCAGTTGTTGACAGATCAGTCGGGGGGATTTAAACTATCGACTTTCAATGTAAAGAGAAAATAGGGCTGTCGGTATAAAAGGAAAACTATTTTAATGAAATGTTGAACAAGATAACGGGAATAGGTCAGACTCTTATGTAATATTTAGTTAGGAAACGAGCGTGGGTGAGGTAAAAGGATGATATGTGTGTTTGGATTAGAACCGATGTCCGAATTTATCATGTGTCCGAATTTATGAAACAATAAAATATAAGTCGTACTTAATACAGCAGAGAGAAAAAAACTTAGCCTGCTGAATTTTTAACTAGAATTGTCCAGCTGTCTAGTTTTCATATTTTTTATTGGAATTGTCCATTCCTAATGCTGGGGATATCAAGATAAAAGTTCAAAGACTGCACGGAAGTGGTTTCTGATCTGACTCTAAAAAAATGGCAAAGACACTCTAAAATAATGGCAAAGACACTCTAAAATAATGGCAAAGACACTCTAAAATAATGGCAAAGACACTCTAAAATAATGGCAAGGATACTCTAAAATAATGGCAAAGACACTCTAAAATAATGGCAAGGATACTCTAAAATAATGGCAAAGACACTCTAAAATAATGGCAAAGACACTCTAAAATAATGGCAAAGACACTCTAAAATAATGGCAAGGATACTCTAAAATAATGACAAAGACACTCTAAAATAATGGCAAAGACACTCTAAAATAATGGCAAGGATACTCTAAAATAATGGCAAAGGCTAATCACTTCCGGTTCCAGCTATGTTAGGATATTTACTTTAAGAAATATCGAGACCACTGTACATTAAAAAATATATTTTATCAAGATTATGAAAGTAGCGTAAGACAAAATGGAACAGTTTTTACGTCAAAAATACAAATATCCTTTATAAAAATTATTTGGAAGCTGTTCATGTACAAAAAAGTATCTTTTTATCTATATTACTTTTGAAGAAGGGGGAAATGTACGTACAAATACATACAAATACTAAACAAGGTCACAATAGAGTTCATACTCCTCATTAAACTTTTAAGATTGTTTAGATTAAGCTTTTTCTCCTTTGATCTTTTTTATGATGGCATGACCTTGATTAGATAGGTCAAATTATGAGTTTGTTGTATGCATATACTTTCTTTTGTGCATTTCTATTGTTACACTATGTGTTTGTGGAACGCGTGTCTTTCCTATGTCGCTTTTTCTACACTTTATCATGTCCAGATATACTGCAGAATCATATTGGTGCATTAGTTTGACGTTGAAAATCCAGGGATTATGAGTTTCGTCCCCCGCTACTTTAACGTAAAGTACAAAACAGCTATTCTAATGGGGATTAAAAAGAAACCGCTCCCGCCCCTCCCCCGTGCGGTTCATTACATTGATACACGTGAATGAAAACGTAGCTACATTAGGAACTAGGAAACTCTTTTATTCAAACAACAACAACAAATACAACCTTCCAGAGAGAGTCGCCCATATGGGTTGAAGGTCTTGGCTATACATATACACATAAGAAAGTGAAAAATTTATTACGGACATTTATTTAAAATGTCGTTTTGACTTTAAAGAAATATATATACATGTATTTATATTTGCTGTGAACCAATTAAGTTTACCCAATTATCAATCAATCAAAAATCAATATATCTTTCAATTGATTTTTGCATGCATATCATGTTTTATTTAATATCGCGATTGAAATGATTTTGCACATTCCATAAACGGTGGTGTTTTTTTTTTGCTTCAAATTCATTAAGCACCTGTTATTATGCAATTTACTTATTCAAAGAGCAGTGTCAATTTTAACTTTTTTTCTCCACTCAGTTTAAGGACCTATGACCCTGAATGACGTCAGTTATATATGGACCTAATCATAATAAATATTTCCAGTGTGTTTTTGGGAGGACTCCAAGAAATGATCAAAATATATTTAAAGGAGATTATATATAAATGGCTAAATAGTATCAAACATTGTTTATTTAAATGCTGATACGAGGGGGCAATTATTTGCCAACATTTTGTCATCTCAAAATGTGATAATTTGTAAAGATTGTTGGCAAAGACTTCTGCGGCTTTATGGGATATATCTGTACAATATACTATGTGTCATCCATATAAATTAATGATTGCTTAAACTAACCTTTTGTATATACACGTAAACTGATTTAATTCAATTGTTTGTATACAAAATAGTCTCAAAAAAAATGTCGTTTCGACTTTAAAGAGATCTACACCTTTAGAATTTGGAGGAAAAAATCGAAAGCACCAATGGTTTATAATAAAATTGCAGTCTGGGTAAATAGTTCTGTACTATAGTGTCAATAGATTTTTCCTTTGTGATCATGACAAACAAACAAACGTTAATTTTAATGTCCTTTTGTGTACTCGTATTCAACAAGTATCACGCATGCAGTGGCTGACGTTACATATATATTTGTCAAAGTGACCCAGTTATTCTTGATACTTTCTTAAATTTCGTCTGATTCTTTCAAAAGAAACATTGTTCAAGGATCATAAGAAAAGAAACGATTGAAACTTTAAAAGAAGTTCTATTCTTTATGAAATATTGTACTATTGCTGTTCAGTTTACAAGTGAACACATTATCTCTAAATAAAAATTATTCATTTTCCATTTTATTGTATTTGCTTGATCCAAACTCAGTTCCTCAGAACAACCTTAAAGTTTACCAAAAAAAAGCTCTTATTGATTCTGAAAATTCAGTGTTGTTCACATACACACAGTACTCAAATTAAATTATTAAGTTTTTCTATGTATAACAAATAAGTATTATGGGCAATAATGATGACGATGATGATGATGATGATAACGATGACGATGGCGACGATGATGATGAACTTGATATTTACTTAAATTTCGAAATTGAACCGTGGTTAGAACAAATTAGGAACGTAAATTAAGATTAAACAATAAGGGATACAAATGTTACACTAAATACAAATTCAATTAATGCATTAATGCGACATTTCCATTTATTTATTTATTTATATTACCTTTTTGTTTCTTTGTTATTTCATATATTTTTTTTTCATTTAATTTTTGTTTGGTTGTTTTTTGTTGCATAACATAAAAGCAAATTAAACAATTTCTTATACGTGCTGAATATGCAATAACAGCTGGATTTAGTCAAGAACTGATTCATTTTGTTTTGAGAGCACTTGTACTAAGGGCCTGTTTAGTGTGTACATGCTAAATTACACTTAAAACAGAGCTATAAAACACGAAACACTCATTGACTGTTTAAGTCAGGTGACAGCAATTTGTTCAACTGAATTATAAGTATAGTAAATGCTGTGCAATATATCGATCCATATAGAAAGAATATAATAAATTAAAGAAATTCTGCAGTAGCTATGTAGTCAGCGTTCAAACGTGAAGGAGATTTCCAGCATTTATATTAAAGTATTTCTGTACTGTATATGCTTACTTTTATATATAAAATAAAACTCCTGATGTTTTTACTTCATTTTCATCTTTTCTGTATTTGCAGTAAAACTTACCTCAGCCAAAGATGATAAAGACATAAGAAAAACATTACATGACCTAAATTCCCCAAGAAAGCAGCCGATTGGCGGGAAATCGCTACCAATTAGGGCGCGACACCCGATTCAACCAATACATGTCTATGACACAATGACAAATCAGCCAATTGGAACAGCTGTTTCAAATGGCCAGCGCAGTGCGGTGTCAGATTCAGGGAAATACGGAATTCATTTCAGTAAGAAAATGTGGCGGGCTCCATCCGGGCAGCCCGAGAACGCGCAAACAAGACCCTTTTCACCATTTGGAGGAACCCTACCCCCAGCTAAGATAAAAGAGCACGAAAAGAAGAAGCATGAAGACGAGGACGATTCCTAGACGGAATGGAAGTGTCTAATTATTATTTATTAACATAGTCTTCGGACAGGAGGTGTACTCGGTTTCTTACCGCATGTTTATGTACGTCCAGGCCAGTACTTCAAGCAAACGACAAATCGGTACAGGAGGTGATCGAGGAAATTTTTTTCTCGAATATGTTCATATATTGTTCACAAGAGTTTAAATAGTGCTTCGTTTCCGTCCAGAAAACATTTCTCATTGAGAAATGATTTATTTCACCGACAAATATAGTGTTTTGCTGAAAATGCTATGATTCTTAGGAGTTTTTTTCATGGAGTTTTATTTCATCACTGCGTATCGTATTCTGAGAGCTAAGGATTTGATAATTCATAAGAGCACGTGACTACAAAAAATACCGCTATAAGGGTGATACATTTTTCAAAATGTGAGAAAGAAGAAACGTTGTTGGGTTGTTTTTAGGTTGATGGAGAAACATAGTGTTTTTTTTTCTTCTGCGCTCACAGGATCGATCTGCTCTTCTTCATGTCACAAGTCACTAAGAAACATTTTTTCACCCGAGATTTCATTTGGTTCTTTCATCATACACTTCTGAACATAGAAAGTTCATAATTTTTAGATAGCACATTTTTCAGTACGCAAATTGAGATCTATAGCTATTAACTATCTTAAAATTGTGTTTATATGAGAAAATTAGAAACAAAGTTGAACATTAGTTATATGTCTGTTACATTGATAAGTTTTTGTATTGTTTAAAATGTGATGTTTTCAATTAGAGATCAGCTTTATTATAAAGAAAACTCGATCTGTAGCTGGAAATTATTTAATTGAATACAGACATATATCATGGCGTTTTCAGTGTCAATCTTCAATATTCACGTTAAAAGTGTTTATATCTATATGCGGAATAAAAAAAAACTATGTAGTATAATTTATTTGAATTTTGCATGAAGCTATAAAGTTTTCATTCTTCCTACATGTTAAATCTGACTAAAGTTATGACCGACTTATTTCTTACTACTGAGCGAAGTCAATGATGTTTTAACAGACAAAAAAAACAGAAGATAATCTTTATTCGAATTTAAATATGGACATAGAAATAGAATAATTATATAGATCTGTACACTAACAACAATTATACTGAAACGTTTCTATGCTATCAATGCTTTGATAGTTTGAAAGGGTTCGATATTCTAGAATGGTTTTCATTAACAAGAAAATAAGTAAAGATGCCAGTAAGATACGATAGACATACGTTTTCCGTTCTGTGAATGGAAAAATTAAACATGCATGAAGTCGGATATGACAGCAAAAAGCCAAAGAACTTAGAACGTTTTAACTTTTCCAAGAAATGTATTTCCATGTATCCTTAGACATTCTATATTCTATGATCATGTAAGAATTGGGACCAATTTCAAATGATTTTGCATGTTTTTATCTGAAATACTGCATGAATTGAACCATTCAGGTACATTTGCAGAAATAAAACACAAAGGCCTTCGACATTCGTTAATAAATAACTGTACATTTGTAGTACTTAATCACGTAGGCCTATCATTTATGCTGTTCATGACATAAGGTCTATCATTTATGCTGTTTATGATTAAAGGCCTATCATTTATGCTGTTCATGTTTAAAGGTCTATCATTTATGCTGCTCATGACTAATCATATGTCAATGCGTTTGTAGTAATTGATCACCCAGATCTACTACATTCGTGATTTTTAACTGTGCATTTAAAGAGCATTGAAAATTAAAGCAGCTTGCATTCAGATAAGTATACATTTTTAACTCCAAATATGACACTTAAGAAAATTTTAACGGTTAAATAAATATAATAATAGATTATTGGCAAGACGTTTTTCATGTTTTTGCTTTGCTATCGATGGCTATTTTTCCAAACTGCGTCAATATATTTTTGTTTTCGCTTTTTTGCAAACTGCCAAAGCTTAGGCTAGTTTGAGCCAATGATTTCGTTTACTTGGCTATAGACTTCTTATTTACAATACTTTCCAATTTTACACGACATATATCACGAAGCGTGCTGCTTTAAAATATATTTATATCTCGAAGAAAAAATGATATCCGGGTACAATTATTCATTTGTCTATGAATAGAAATGTACGCTCAACACTTTATTTTGTTTGCTATGATGACAAAGGCACATTTTATTTATAATTCTCGTACGTAAATTTTTGTAATATTAACAGATCTTGTAAACTTTCTTCCCATTTTATGTACACTTCATACAAGATGGGTTTTTTGTGATTAAGATGTGATTTAGTTTAGTTAGAGGCACTTTTACATGAAATTTACTGCTGTTCAAATTCCATTGTAAATAATGCTCATATATTGACGTTATTGAATATTGAAGTATAATATATGCCATAAAATCGTTAATATATGTAAATGTTATATATATTACATAGTGATATTTTCCCCCTGTAATGTGATATTTTATATTTAATTTATTAGTTGCCACTTACGATTTTGAACGTGTACATACGAACATTATTTATTGCGTGTTATTTTTTTCATGCTTTTTTTCTCAAAGCTGTAAATTACATATTTACCTACTCTTTTCTCAGTCATCACTCGTTATATCTTGTCACTAGTGCCAAATATAGAGCTTTGATCTATCTCTGTGATACATTATTTTATGAAAAATCCACAAAGTGTCCATACAAAAAGTAACAAAAAAATACATTGTATCTATAGCTGCTTTAGGATAATGTGTTAGTCGAGGTGAAAACTTTGGACAAGTGTATTATTAAATACCCATACAAAAAATTAACTTTGTCAGTGCAAATCCAGCTGTATGTCGGTATTTCATCATTTCCATCAATGTTCTGTCAGTTTTTTTCCCGATTTTTGTTACCATAATATTACTATCTTATATTGCCAGTTATGGCAGTAGCTAATTATCGGTATTTGGCAAATTATTTGGAGTTTTGCACGAGATTGTGCTGGATGTACTATCCTAAAGTGTGAACAAAACTAACACATTGTCCTGAATCTGTTATAAAAATATTTAATTCAGTCATTAACAACATTTTTATTTTTCAAAATTGTTTTCTTCCTGTAACAGAAGTCCTTACATTGTGTAAAAACTGTTTACTGGAGAGAAAAAAAGTAAATTCCTCATTTGAAATAAGATTTTTTGATATCAATTTTATTTTTAGATTCATTTATGTTGCTCATTAGATTTGTTGAATCCGGTCATAAGATGGTGATAAGTGGTCTCAAACAAATAATTTGTTTTCTACACACGGACATATACACGGACATAGTTTTATTCTCTTACACCTGTACACATTCAAGAACACATATGCATTTATATGATAACTCTGCCTTCCTTTAACATCGAAAGTATTTAAAAGTATTGCAAGTATTACCGGAATTGCATTTATTTTATTATCTCAATTTGCACATTTACCCTTAATCTGCTGAATTTCAAAAATGGACTTGTCCGGCTTCTATTTTTGGAACTACTCATTATCGATTGTAGGGATATCACATTATCAAATGTAGGGATATCAGGATGAAAATCTGAATATTGTCAGACGACAGTACAGAACGTACGTTCAGACTGTACGGTATGTCAAAGTAAATGTTAATTAATGTATAACACTATCCTCACCCATACTGTAACAGTAAAATTTGTGTTAAAGCAATACGCCTCCATATTTGTGTTTATTTTAAAAAAAACTTAAAAATTGTTCTTATGAGTAAAATGTTTTCAAATGTACAAAATTAAAGCTAAACAATACGATTTACTGTCTACAGAACTTTTTTATTGCCTTTAGCATGTCAAATTATTCAAAATGTCTGTTAATCATATGGTATATTTATTAGGGATAAAACTAGTAAATTACGTCATATTTTAACGATAAATTAAAAAAACTAACTGGATAGTTACATACATTCATACATTTTAAAAATATACATTATATTGTTTGATCTTGATTTTTTTATGATCTGGAGGTATGCCCCCTTTAAAGACAAATATAGAAACACTTTCGTACATCATTTTTCCTGGAAAAAAACACAATCTACTTATAGATTTTCTAACAAAATATCAACTTTGATTTAAATTTATATCAATGTGATATATTACCATTCTACAAAAAAGTCACTATTTTAAGTTGTTACAAAAAATGGTATCATAATTTATTTTTTCCTTTTCAGCCGAACAGTTTTTTTTTTCCAAAAGATTTCCTCAATTAAACAAAAGTTCACTGTTAACAACCCAGAACATGTGCAGATCAGTATATTTATTTTCAAATGATTAACATATTTCAAATCCGATTTCAAATGCATGGGTTCCATTAAAACCACTTAGTGTGTCCAAACTAAATTATAGGGCATCAGGCCACTAAAATACAGTTTCGATTGCACGTGTGCTCTATGATTACACTTATTTAGACAACTCAAGAATTTCAACAATTCTAATAACAATTATAAAAACGCCACCTCTGTGGCCTTTTCAGATGATGTAGCAAAATTTAACACAATGAAAAAATTGGACATTACTAAATAAAACTAGTGAAAAATAATTAAAGTTTTATTTAAAAACATGCCAATCAAAGAGTTTATGGCTATTGGTAATTTAATGTAAGAATTTCACAAAAACAAATATTTTATCAGTTAGATTAAAATATTATCAGCCAAGTTTTTCTCTTAAGGAATTTCTCTTTGATTTTGAATTGCACTCATAAGTGCTTTTCACCAAATGTTATGTTAAATTATGGTTTATGGCTGGTCTTTCAAATATCAATTAGCCGTTGTATTACACTTGAAGTGAAAATATTAGAGAACTGAACTTCAAAATGATTTTAATGTACTGTTATAAATTTAAACAGAAATGGAAACTATTTTTGAAGATTGTACTTAAAAAGAGTTCAGCCTTAGGTCATTAAATAATGTCAAAAATTAGGTTAAAGTACTGAACAAGAACTTTTAATGTTACTTGTGAAATTGTTTTATCACTGGATACTTTTTTTTTATTTTATAACTTTTGGTATAAAAAAAATAGTTCTCCACATATGTTTAAATGATTTAACCAGACATTCTTTAAAGGGGAACACCTCTAGATCCCTGACTAAAATGTGAAAATTTAGGAATTGATGAAAATAGTAAAATTTTCATGAACTTTATGAATAAAATGATTTGCATTTGCACATAAAACTTTCTTTTGACAAAGAATACCTTCAATTTATCAATGTTTTAATTACAAAATATGCAAAAATAGCACATACTATATCAGAATCAAGTGGATACAAGGTTAAAAAGGTTAGATACATGTATTTATATCTCCTATCAAACACTAAAATTTCTTGCTTAAGTTTGTCTTTTATAAAATAGTTTATTTGCTCATCTGGAGGCGAGTTACTTTAATGTTAAATCACAAGCCCTTTGAACAATTAGCCTGCAATTGAATATACATCCATGTGACTAGTGAAGACCATGATCTTTTGGTACATCTTTGCCATGATGATATTTATACCAGTAAAGTGTTAAGAACCATTTAAAATGTAAAGAAGGACCATTCAATGTGAACCACTCTATTGCCCAAATAATATAGAAAAATATACATTTTGTGAACTGATGCTCTTTAAAGGCACCATAGCTATGTTTGTTTCTGCTCTTCAGTAAATAAATGTGTTAACTTATTGATTTTCAAGCTTTTTCTTGTCTGTGCCAAAATTAATTGTAGCATATACTTTTTAATTTATTACATTATGTTGTTTTAATTTTCTTGTTAACAAATCTCATTAACAAATGTTTGTGTTTTAAACAACTGTGACCATAAAGACTTTCTAAACAAGGGAAGTTACTTCAAAACAGATTTTATAAGACAAGGGAAGTAACTGCCTATATATTTTATAAGATAAGGGAAGTAACTTCAGATACATTCAAAAGATAAGGGAGTTTACTTCATCATTATGAGACAATGGAGATTAACCCATACAGTTTATAAAATAAGGAAGGTAACCCCCTAAATACAGCATAACACAAGGGAAGTTACCCCAGAAAGACTTCCTAAAACGGGAGAGGTAACTAAATACAGAAAACATACAAGGGAGGTTACTTCATACAAATAATAAGACAAGGGAGGTAACTGCATACAGACTAAGACAAGGATGGTTACTTTATACAGACTTTATACAACAAGGGAGGTAACTTCATTAAAGGAAATAACTTTACTTCACTTATTCTTATCAAAACATTGACCCAAAGAAACCAAGTTTGTAAAATTTACCTATCTGCTTTTAACAGAAATCTGCCATTTCCATTTTTATTCAAATCATGAACACCAATGTATCAATATTGAAAGAGGAACTTTTCTTATAGTTACTCTGTCCTTTTGACTTGTATTTGTACACCATTTTCTTATAATTCCGTCCTATTTACTTGTGTACCATGTTTTACTTATTCCGTCCTGTTCAAAGAATTTGTAAAAAATTCAGCTGCTGTCATAAACCATTACATTATCTTGTTTGCCTTGTTTAGTGCAGTTGTTTGAAAACATGTCTTATCTTTATAACTTAGATCGACTTTATTGCTTGTTAAAATTGTTTCATTTCACCAACAAGTGCATTTTAGAAACCAACAAATGATCATGCATATTATTAAAAGTGTAACAGTTAATTTCTGTTTGTTGTAGTTGTTGTTTATTCTCCACAGTACACCAATTCCAATAAAAAGGCAATTGAAAGGTAATACAATACCCCAGGGCTTTAGCAAGTCAAAAGTTTTAAGAAGAAATCCTTTTTTTGTTTGTTTGGTTTTCTGCGCACCTACACAAAACTGGTCATATGACAACTTTCCAGATTTGCCGGTGGAGGAAGACCTCAGGCCGTTCCATGCCATATTTCAGGCACAAACAGGCACCTGAGTAAAACCAGCGACATTCCGTAAGCTAACTGGATAGCTTCCTCACATAAAAGAATTGTGAGTTCCTGTCGGATGCGAACCCACAGTGAGGGGCAAATGGTTTAACCTCAGGCCGGTCTGGTTCTATACTAGAGGCAAGGGCTAATTACTAAGCAGAACATATATTTCAGTGAGCCAAACAAGATAGGTATTTTTGTTAAGCAACATCGGAGAAGATCATACTTGTATTGTATCATCACTTCTGGCATACCGGTTAAGAAATGGAGATACATGCATTGGAGGGACGCCATACAATACCTCACCTGGAGCTGAGGTGGACGTAAAATAAATCCTCCAACACTTAGTAGGTTCGAAATATAAAAATAAAACCCTAACATTTTTTTTAAAATACGCTTTATATTACATATTCTAATATACACAATTTCCAATTGCACTTTCAAACATATAATTCTTTAACACAAATCTGAAAACATTTTTGCAATTTTGCAAATGTTAATTTTCCAATTTCTGATTCATTTTACTGTCTAGTATTTCAATCAAATTTAAGTTTAACTTAAATGTCACATGTCCAATTGACAATTTTGAAGATGCTAATAGGTGTTTTCTCTCAGCATTTACAATAAATAACTTGGTAAAGAACAATGAATACACTTGAATAAACCCTTCACCTTCGACCTTTACTTTTGCCTTTATTTCGTAAACTTTGACCTGAACCAGAAAATGCTTCAAATGAGTCTTTGTCCTGAAAAATAAATAATGTCAACATGTATGTAGTCTATGTTTAATGATCATCCATCTGACTGTTAAAATAGCATGTCAATTCTACAACTCTAGCCAGGTATAGTTTCATGCTATTTGTTCAATGTTGGCTTAAATCTTTCCGTCCAACATCTAACTATTGAAGAACTATGACCCTTGTCAAACAACTGCACCTTGTCATGATAAGCATGTATTCCAAGTTCCATTTTGATATTTAACTTTTAAAATGTTTGAATAATTATAATAGACTTTTTCTTTGTAGCAGATGAGCTAAAAACTAACTAACTAAATAAAATCCATACCTCGAGTGAAGTGCCGTTTTCTACTTTCTTTGAATTCCTGATGAAAGTGATGGTGTGCTTCTTATAATTATAGTTAGGTATGCCTCTGGAAAAAATATAAAAATAAGTTTTTTGGTCAGTTTTAAAAAATGTTCACAACAAAAATCAAGTCATGAACTGCTAGGCAATTAACCTATTAATTTGATTCTAAACATTACCACAGTCTTTTTCTCAAAACATTACTGACTAAAATCAGAATGAAACAATAGTTGTTTCCTGAGATTACTATATGTTATATAAAATCACAAATCCATGTGACATGAATATTGTCAAACCTCAGAACAGAATCTCACATTTTAGCCTTTCTTGATGTCACTTTAATTATGAACACATATAAAGTCATACAACATTACACAGTCATACAAGGGTTAATAAAAAGTAGAAATCTGCCCCTAACCTTTTAGGTGGTCCAGTGGTTATCTGACTCTGTGATACCTCCAAACCTTTAGTTTTACCATCCAACCTGTTACCTTTACCTTGAAATATCTAAAAACAAACAATTGTATCAGTATGTAACTTCATATTATAGACTTTCTATTTTCCTTTCTCTTTTTGTTGGTCTAGTGTTCAGAAAAACAACTTGGCTGATTTAAAAACAAATGTATCTTAACATAAAGAATTTTTGCAGTATAAGCCCTGTTTAAAGATAGAGGCCACCTTAATGAGTACTGATTCAATCATTTTATTGTATATTTATTCATCAAGCTTTTTAAAAGTTATATTAAAATTTTACAATGCCTTCTCAGTGGTTATAATCTTCTGGATGAAGAAAAAAAGAAAATAAAATGAATACTATAGTATTTGTAATTGACCATTTTTGGATCTATTCATAGTAACAATAATTTTGCCATAAGATATGGGGGAATGGGGTTGAGGTAATGTATGATGATAAATAAAAGAACAACGCTCAAAAATGTACAACATAGAATAAACAAATCAAATTCTACAACCTTAAATGAATTGTCCTCTTCATCCATATCCTCATGCTGAAAAAATAACAGATATAAAAATATATTTAATGTAGTAATACAATTTCACTAAAGTTCAGATATTTTCTTTTTTTCTTTTTTTTCTTCTTTTTTCATATATTCAAAAAAAAAATTGGAATATGGCAGAAAATACAATATGGTATAGGCACCATGGTTATTATGGGCTATGGTTATGGTATTGGAATAAGTGCCAAGAATTTTGATTCTCTTTAAACAGACAGATCAAAACATTATCATTTTACTGATCAAAACATATTTTAAAACATTAAAGATAAAATATTATCCTTTCTGTTAACATACTTCCATTTTATCTTCTGATTCCTGCGGTCTTACTCTTTCAGGCTCCTTATATCCTAAAGGCGGTGCAAAATCTACCTGTAAAATAATAGAAAAAATAGTTTTAAATTGTAATACTACATGAACTTATTTGAATTAACCAATCTTTCATATGATGAGATGTTGCCATAAAAATTAATTCTAAAATACCTAAAAGTTTTCTGAAGAGAATAAGGCAACCAGGTAACCTTTGATTGATGGAATATTTATACATTTAGATCAATTTTTCCACATTTTACACTTTGTATTTCTAAAATATTACAACAGGATAGTACAATAACTTTATATTCATATGCCTTTAATATTAACATATCACTAATGGTGGAGGAGCAAAAATCTTTGTTTTTCTAATGAATATCACAGAAGGTATATTATTCTATTCAAATTCATAGCAAAAGTTTCACTAATTTATTCTAATGAAACTGGAAACCAAATTATCCACAATACTCTGTAAAATACAAAACCCAAACTAATGAAAACTTAAAGAGTTAAATATCTTGTTAAAATACACATGTAAAATTTGCAACCATGTGCAATATTTTTTAATTAGCAGAAAAATGCAAAGGGAAATAATCTTCACTGACCAGATGTTTATTTAGACAAAATTCAAAGGGAGACAACTGTCATGAATTAATTTTATCTTAAGTAACCCTAAACCTGCTAATTTTTTGTGATGGACTTGCCCAGCTTTGAATTTGGAACAGTCAATTCAACTTTTAAGAGATTTCAATATTAAATTACAAAACAATGAGTTACCAACAGTATAGAGTCTGGTCAGATTACACGGATCTGCCTGCTGGCCTGGCTCTATACTGGAGGCAAAGGCTTATCACTTTTAATTCAAGGTTCAAGGTTAATGAAGAATGAATCAGGTCAATCAGCTATGTACATACATTCATATCACATTCAATGATAGACACTGCTCTTCCTGGTTTTGTTTCCAACACCCGAAGTTCATATATCTGTTAAATAGAAAACATTCACATACATATAATAGTGTCATGGAATCATTTCTATAGGCTTCTCAACAATAAAATTAAGTTAAATATTAATTGTTACACAGTCATTTAAGAGCAAGTAATATGCCTAACTTAGCTATATCAGTGCTGAACATTTTATTTCTATGGTCTTTCAAGGTCATTAATCAAATATAATATTTTCTACACTGTAGACTGAACAAAGCTTAAACCAAGACATTACTATGTGGTTAGCACTTTGGACTAGCAATCTTAAGATTGCTGACTGTGTGGGTTCAAACCCAGTCAGGGGCAAGCCGTTGTTTCTGTGAGCAAGAAACTTTACACTCATTGCTTAGTACTGGTTGGTTCCAGGAAAGGATCCAAGAGTGTTAGCCTCCACACAACCGATTATGTGTTTAGAAGTGGATGAGAAAATGTTTAACAGTTGGACAGCAATGCCAGGTATTTAGGACCTTAGTATGTAGAATTTGCTGCTTTCATGAGAGACCAACGAAAAGATTCTTTACTTCATTTTAAACAAAGTGACCAAGTAACCACATGAGGCATAAACTTGACTAACAAAAAGAACAGTAATTACTTTAGTCATTATATTTGAATTTAATAGAAACAAAATTAAACAAAACAAATATACCTTGTCATTATATTTGAACTCCACCAAGTCTTCCACTGTGAGGCAAGCAAAACTTCTCAATGCATTTTCCAAGCTGGAAACAGTGTTAAGGATGGGAATAATGGTTCCATTATCAAAAGCATTATGTACAGTCATATAAGTGGTCAAAATTTTAAACTCCCACACTGAGCAGAATGATTATTTTCCAGGACATTTGCTGTTGCATATCTATGATAAACACAAATGTGTTCATCAGAATATTAAAATCCTATATTAAAAAGTGATACATGATCCTTGAGCAGTGTTGAAATAAAAAAAAGTTAAAAAAAAATGACAACAAACTCAATAATTTTCGAAACTATTAAAATTATGAATAGTTTTGTTATTTCTTGAATACTTTTTTCATAATCATATAGGATATAAGGAGCCTGAAAGAGTAATTTATTTATGACTCAGTTAATATATTTTGTAAATCAAAGAAGGATACACAGCTTTGGGATTTGAGATATCAAGGAAGTCTGTATGTTGAGGTTGAAACTTGGCAAATGTTGCTATAGGTAGAGATACATTGTCAATCTGTATCAGATCCCCTTCTTGTAGCAGTAAATTCTTCATCATCTAAAATATAAAAACAGAAATATTTAATAGCGCAAAGGAATAAAAGTAAGGAAAAAATCTTAATATTTTTTACTAAGTGTCCTACAGTTATAAGCTTCTCATACTAAATGTATCACTTGCATGTCTTATAATGACCGGGATTGTGAAAAAAAAAGGTTAGTCTACAAAAAAAATGCAAGTTTTAGAACATTTTCTGTATAGTATTACAGTCAAGTACTGTTGGTCAGAAGAGTTTGTTTCAATTGTGCACTTTGGTGAGTCACATCAGCAATTTCAAGGTTTTGGGATGGCATTTCAGCTATGGTGTAGAAAGACCTCCGGTGCCCCGCCATGCATCAGTTAAAGCACAAGCAAGCACCAGATTAGAACCACTCTCCTTAGCTAAATTCAACATCTGTAACAATAATAAAGCCTTGAAAATTAAATAAAAGCTTGACTTTTTGAAAGAGAGAAGCTAAAAATAATTATTTGAACAAGAAATACGTACCCAGTACGGTATATAAATTCTTCCCTCGTCTGCAACAAACTCCAACACTCCACAATGAGTCTCCCTGTTCATCTTCTTGTTGGTCAATTTAAACAACATTGGGTACTGTATGTGTAATCGTGCTGTTAAAGAATAAAATACCATAATTTATATAATTTTAAATTTTTATCTTTATCTCTAAATTAATAATGAACAGTTTAGAAAATGGGAGATGAAAAAGTACAATGAACATACAATGTACATACAATGTACATATAAATTCAACAGGTTATGGGTAAATAAACAATTCAAAGTACTTACTAAGTTTATCCAAAGCAGATGGGGGCATGATAACTGAAACAAAGTAAAATATTGTTAATAAAAACTGCAAGGCTGCAAAAACACTATCATTACAATAGTTTAAAGCATAAGTATAGCCTTTAATAAATTCTAGTTGGACAAAATGAATAAAAGAGACTGCCAAATATATTAACAAGAAAACATAGTTCTATTTGCTACTATTATTTAATTTGAAGAAATAAACATCTCTAGTCTAATTTCTTCAATGGATATAAGAAAGCTACTCCATTTAGACATTAAACAAAACATTAAAAAATCATTTGCATATCAGTTTTATGTATTTCCTTTAAAGTATCATTGCATGTTTATTCAACAAGCAAACTACAGAATGATGTAAAATAATTAAGTGATTTTTTTTTCATCAAAACTAAACTGAAAGAGACACATATATTCATTTTGGTTATGTAACTGAAACATTAATTAAGTTTAAGAAGAAAATTATTTTACTTTTTCCACCCCTCTCAACATCCTCCCTATCACCAAGCATGGACACAGAATAACAACGATAAGTCTCATTGAAATTTCTACCCGGCATCTCCGGGAACATCCTGCCAAACTGAAACTAAAAATAAGAAAAGTATCATCAACAATGAAATAAACATAAGCTGCCAGTAACACAATGTTTGAATATATAAGAAATGTAGTTGAAGTTCTCTTACATAAGGTGATAGTCCTGGATAAGTGTTAAATATGTTTCAAAGCAGAAGTTCAATAAAACAATGGAGTGGTAGAAAAATTCAACCAAAAGTCTGATGACCAGGATTTAGTCAGTATCTGAGGTTAAAAAGGAATTTTCTAAGATTAAAACCAGATCTCAGGTATTTGATTGCTCAGAAACTCCCACAGAATGTTCACTAACCAATGAAAATCCTGAGCTGAGTCTGCATATGTTTTGTTTTCCCATACTATAAACTTGGCAGAATAATTTTGATACTTAACAGAAAGCCAAGTTTAAGATTCAATACAAATGCGATTTTGTTTACAGGTTTCACAGGATGAAAAAAATGTTCAGTCAAACCAGGACACAAACCGGGACCCTTGGAATACCATACCGTGACTTTACCTAATTAGCTATCCAGCGGCTTACACACGAAGTGCTTATACACTATCTCCCCTAAATAGTGAAAAGTTCAAATGTGACATACCTCGCTATATTGAAATTCATCCTCAACAATCTAATGGGTACAGAGAACAATAATTCAAATGTGAAATTGGATTCGGACTTAAATATACCATCAAGGTCCCATGTAAGGCGCCATATGTCACAGGGTGAAAAAAATGTGCAGCCTGACTGGGACTCAAACCTGGGAACCCTCGGAATACTGTTCTGCGACTGTACCAACTAAGGTATCTGGCCGCTTCCCAAAATAGTGAATGTTATGTCTTCTACTAATCAACTCTAATTCATGATTATAAAGTTTATTCAACTGATCTGAATACATATAAGACAAAGATGACGTCGTCTCCAAGTGACGTCGTCGACGTCAAGTAAAGCTATTATCTAACAAGTAAAGCTAGCATTAATTTGTCAATATCACATTTCTCCCATATTTTAAAAGAAATAAATTTTAAAAGTATACCATAGGAAAATAAGATTAAGCATTATAAAATAAAGTTTTGTATCTATATTAATTTGTCTATCTTTTCTTTAAATCCAAAAAATAGTCTTTGAATTTAGATGGTAAACGTCTGGTACGTTTTGAAACTTCACGTTTTTGTGATTGATGTTGTTCAACCTCCCTTGGGTCACTACTGGATTGTTCAGCTTCATTTTCAATTCCATCAGTCCTTGGTTCTTGATCCCTCTCGTCCTGTATTGAATTATTTGGCTGCAAATGTCTACTTCTGTCTGGGGTACTCAATAATTGTTGTCTCCAACGGTCATCATTTGGTTCATGTAGTAATTTAAATTTCGAAGCATCTCTGTAAATGATACGTCCATCTGATTTTCGTTGTGCCTTAATACTCGAACCTAAAACCTCTGTGACAATGTAATGTTCTTTCTCATATGGTGTAGACCATTTATTCATTTCTCTATTCTTAAACAAAACTTTGTCATTAATTTTAAATTCATGCTGCATAGATTTTGGATGTCTATTTTGATTTTCCCACTTTTTCTTGTATGCTTTATCTCGGTCTGCAATCTCAGCTTCCATTTTCTGTATATCTGTAGGTCTGAATTGGTTAGTACAATCAAGCTTTGTCCTGACATTTCGTTTCATTAAGGCTTCATATGGAGAATATCCTGTTGCTGGATGTGGCGTTGATCTATATCCCATCAACATGTATTGTATGGCTGTATTGCTTGGTTTTCCTTCACTTCGTGCAATCTTCTCTGTCTTATTCAATACTTTCATAAAGCTTTCAGCTTCCCCATTTGCTCGAGGATGATCAGGTGTTATTCTATGATGGATAAATCCCATTTCTTCTGCAAATTCTGTAAATTCACTGGAATTAAATGGAGGACCATTATCTGATTCCAACCTTTCTGGTATTCCATGTGTGGCAAATATTTTACGCAATCTGTCACAGGTAACTTTGCACGAAGTTGATGTTGTTTGCTCAACAACTGGAAATCTTGTTCGCTTATCAATAACTACTAAATTATAGTGACCATCAGGATATGGACCACCAAAGTCTACAGAAATAGTATGCCATGCTGATTCTGGTATTTCAGATGGTTTAACAGGTTCCTGTTTATGCTCAACAGTTGATAACTGACATTGGTAGCACCGTGATATCTCATCTTCAACCATGGTATTCAGCCTTGGAAACCAATATTTTGCTCTCAACATCTGTTTCGTTCTTGTCATGCCAAAATGACCCATGCTGTGTGCGGCTTTTATAACATTCTTCTGTAACCGTTCTGGAATTACTATCTGCTTGCATCTCAGAAGTAGTCCTTGGGACTGGTATAAGTCATGCTTAATGAGATAATATGGTTTCATCTCTGGTCTGTTCTTATGGATTTCCCAATCATTGCATTTCATTCTTCTCAGAACATCCTGTAGAACATTATCAGATGCAGTTCTTTCCTTTATGGTCTGTAAAACCACACCATGTTCATTATTGATAATCATCTTGATTGTTTTTTCTGTATCATCCATATCTGTTTCTGGAAGTGGATGACGCGATAAGTAATCCATCGGATCTGCTGCATCTTTACCTGGTTCATACACTAATTCATAATCAACATCTTGCATTTCCATGATCCATTTCTCAATCCTTGGAGGTAACTTAGCACATGCTTTATTGAACATAGGAATAAGAGGCTTATGTGCTGTAACTATTTTAAATTTTGGTGCGCCTAGTAAGTACATGGAAAATCGTGTCTTCGCCCATTTCACTGCTAATGCGTCTTTCTCTGTTTGACTGTATCTCTTTTCAGCACTTGACATTGATCTGCTGATGTAATGCACTGGTTGCAAACCTTTGCTTGTCCTTTGAAATAATCCCGCTGATAATCCTTCATGGAAACTTGCCTCAGTTCTTACAGTTATAGGTTTCCTTGGATCGAAAAACACCATTGTATTCTCATTTGTAATGCTGTCTTTCAGCTTCTGGAAAGCCATATCTTCTTCATGACCCCATTGAAATGGTACATTTTGCCCAGTCAATCTTCTCAATGGTGCTGTCAAAACTGCATATCTTGGAATAAACTTTGACAGATATCCAATCATGCCTAGAAAACTTCTTACTGCCTCTCTAGATTCTGGAGCTTTACATTCTTTAACAGCTCTTACTTTTTCTGTAGTTGGCTTAAGTCCTTCGCTGGTAAATCGATATCCAAAGAACTCCATGTCCTGTACACCAAATTGGCATTTGTCTTTATTGAATGTGATACCAAAGTCTCTAGCTCGTTCAAGTACAGCTTTTAGTGTTTTGTTGTGATCTTGCATAGTCACACCTCCAATGAATATGTCGTCCCTTTGGTTCAGACATTTAGGAATATCCCCAAAAATTCTAAACATGGCCTCATCAAAAAGATCCTGTGAAGATTTTGCTCCAAATATCAATCTCCTAGGTCGCATATTACCCCATGGTGTACTAAATGTAGCAATAGCTCTTGACTCTGGATGAAGTGTTAGTTGATGGTACCCTTGTTTTAAATCCATTTTTGAAAATATCTTGCAATCATGAAACTTACAAGTAAAATCTTCAATAACTGGTGCCTGTAAAATTCTGTTTCGCTCCATATACTTATTTGGTACTCTCAAATCTACACACGCCCTTATCATATGCGGTCCCAATGACTCTTTGCTCATATTGCAATATCTCGGCTTTGGTTGGACAACCAGAGGTGAACACCATGTTATAGGCTCTCCTGGATCTACCCACTCAAAGATTTCTTCCTTTATGCACTGATCTAACCATTTTCGTAAAGGTGCCTGAAGGTAATATGGCACTGGTCTAGGCTTTTGTGCAACAGGTGTAGTATTTTCCTTCATCGAAAATTTCACAAGAAATTCTGTATTGTTTTTCTTATCCTCAATTTGTCCTATGCCATGAAAAACTTCCTGATGACAGTTCAATATTTCATCCAATTCAGATCGCGCTTGTATATTCAGAATGGAATTGACTAAGTGATTATTTCCAATTCTCAATTCATTAGGTTCCTTCAATGACCCATCTGGTCGTATTTCTAACATGCCCAGATCAAAAAGTGTCTTTTTGCTCAACAATGGTGGAGAATTTATTTTCCCTTCAATAACAACAAATGTTGTTTCGGTTCCTCTTGTCTCATTCCTTACTGTAGCTCTGAAAACACCAGATACCTTCAGTCTGTTTTGGAGTGTATTTAATTTCAGTTTGGATTTTTCAAGAACTATATTTTCTGAAGAATCACGCAGTAATTTACGAAAATGATGTTCGTCCATAACATTAACATCTGCTCCACTGTCAGGTTCCATGTGAACAATGACATCATTAATTACAATTGGAACTGTTTTTATTAAATCACCTACTCTGTGAATTTCTACTTTACCAATTCGAAGATGTTTTACCGAATCGTCAACAAAATCAAGATCTTGAATATCTGAATCATCTGTATCTGACTCACCAGTGGCACATCGAATATCTCTACTATATGTTCCTCTGGTCTGTCTGCCAAAAGATCTATGTTTCTGCTGTGCATTAGAGAAACAAACTGCCCCGAAATGGTTCCTTTTCCCGCATTTACTACATATTTTACCATAAGCAGGACACAATTCCTTTTGTCGTGGGTGTATCCTATTGCAGTATTTACAAAGTCTATTGTTATCTGTTGATCTTGAATCTGTATGCTTGCTCTCGTATGTTTTCTTTCTGCTTATTTTAGCAACATCATGGGTATTTCTTTGACCCATTGCTCTGACTTGCATCGAAGTATCCTCTTTGACTTGCATCTCAGTCAAAGTTTCCTGAAGTGTCCACTTCTTGTGTAACACATTGCGTATAAGGTCTGCGTTATCTGTTGTTTGAATAATTTGTTCCAATATTCTTGCATCAATGTCATGAAAGTCGCAATTCACAGCTTTTTCTCGCAATCTCGCTGCATATGCTAGTGTACTTTCACCCTCCATGGGTCTCATTTTCAAAAACATATATATTGAATAGTGCACATTCTTCTTCGGTGCGAAATAATCTGATAATTTATCTCTTAGCTTTGTATAAACATCACCCTCACCTGGGTCTTGGAGGCTCTTACTCAATCGCCTTATCTCCTCACCACCAAATATCAGCATTGCATCCTTCTTGTCTTCAGGCTCCTTAATGCGGAAAAATCTCATTTCACGCTCAAGTTCATCTAACCAATCATCCCACCTATCACCCGTTGCTATGTGGTCTTCTGCCACAGTAAACGGAGAAATCCTCAAGCTTCTACCTCCTTCAGCCATGATGTTAAGTAAATCAACAAGTAAACAGCATCATAAAACCTACTGGAGTTGTTTATCCTCGTCGCCAATGTTATGTCTTCTACTAATCAACTCTAATTCATGATTATAAAGTTTATTCAACTGATCTGAATACATATAAGACAAAGATGACGTCATCTCCAAGTGACGTCGTCAACGTCAAGTAAAGCTATTATCTTACAAGTAAAGCTAGCATTAATTTGTCAATATCACAGTTCTGAACCATGACATACTCCCCTCTTTATTGAAATTCCCCAAATTTCTCAGGGTTACAGAGAAATGTTAATTAAACTGTGGGCTATATGCAGTCATGGTCCTGCTACGGCGCCAAATGCCACAGGGTAAGAAAAATGTGCAACCTGACATTGACTCGAACCAGGGACCCTCAGAATAACGTACCGCTGCTCTAACGACTGATATATCTGGCGCTTACACACTTTCCTAAATAGTGAACAGATCTAACCGTATAACAGGTATTATGGTGTTGTCGTCATACAATGGAGAGTTTATCTATAATTTCAAAAAATAAATTGAAACCAGTCGAAATATTGTTGCAGTTGGATACTAGGCTAGTTTTACATGCAATGTTGAATTTTGTCAGAAAGAATGGCTCTGTATAACTAAAATATCTTAAAATTACTTTTTTCATGTAAAATACTTGTAAACATTACATTTAAAATTAAAAACTAATTGTATTACCATTATTTAAAAAGAGAATTTAGTGACAAAGCAAATTTTATCCTATTCTTCTCCGGAAGTTGACATATATGTTGCTATAAATAAATTTGACAGATTCTCAACTCTTTACAAATTCAATTTTGATTGGATAGCTGTTTGGAAAATCCAAAAAATAGACCAATCGAATATATCGTTACGTGTTACCTTTGGAATAGTTTGTAATTTCCGGGTTTTACACCGCGCCATAATCAAAACAAGGAAAACAATAAGAAATGAAAAATGATTATTAAAGACTTTCGAAGGGAATTCTACGATGTTATTCAACATCAGGTATATTTAAATCTTAATCTTGTTCATAAAGAAACTTGTCAACAGTTGTCATATATCCCTCTTGGTCTGTTTCAATAGTTCAAGTGTAGAGCTTTAGCAGTTTTTATCAGTTAAGAGGACAGAGGTGGGATTAAAATTTGTTTTACAAAATTTTATGAGTAAATTTCTCTATTGTTGTTGACAGACAAAATTCCTCTTTTTTTGCTTCTGATATCTGATATATATACTGTTACAGTAAAACAAAATTAGAGTGGGTGGACCAATGCTCGGCGTAAAAATACTATATTTGATATGGCAAATTCAAATCAACGTACATCAACAAACCGCAATGTTATATGTCCATTTTCAAGACCGATGATATTGTTTTAAATAGCCATTGTGTAAAATTCGCTAATCACATAATGATGTGCAAAGCTGGAGCTATAGATAGTCCGGATAAACAAGAGTGAAATTTGCGTGAAATTGTACCATAGCTCGGCGTACAATACTACATGATGCAGGATTGTTTTTCGAATAAAATCTCTTTTTTATCTTATGAAGAAAACATATTGAATAAATTGTAACAACCAAATTTAGTTCATACATTTACAAGTACTCAACTTTTAGCTTAAATTTTACAGCCCCAGAACTCTAGTGTTAAAAGATTTTAATAATTTATATGTTGGGGATTACATACGGTTGTTCGTCAGCTATAAGCATTGTCACATGACTTTACCAGCAGTGAACCACACCAGGATAAAATGGTGAAAGATGTAAATAAAAGCACCAGTGACCTAAATCGGAGATAACTGGAGACATTTTCAGATATTCTAAAAAAAATAATTTTTTACGCCGAGCATTGGTATGCGCCGAGCATTGGTCCAACCACTCTAATCCTTGTATAAATACCATATCATAAGTTGATAACTGCACTTGAAATAGGAATGTCTCTGCCTCTGGCTGAGTGGTTAAGGTCGTTGAAACCACTTGCGCTCACCACTGTGGGTTTGAAACCCTACAGGGATTTTGAATTAATCATGTGAGGTAGCTATCCAGGTACCTGCACCAAATAATAACCAAGGTCTTCCTCCACCAGTAAAGTTGGAAAGTTGCCAACTGAGTTGGTGAAACGTTAAACAGGCTGGTGAAAATGACTGATCGGGCTTATAAATGACATAAAAATGTTAAACAGGCTGGTGAAAATGACTGATCGGGCTTATAAATGACATAAAAAATCATATTTCTAGAAAAAAATAAAGATATTTCATTTAAACTTTGTTTGTTTAAACATGACATAAACAGAAAGAAAAATATTTGTTTACTGTCACTTTTGTGACCAGCCTATTAAAGGCAACTAAAAAAAAGAAAAGATAAACACCCCTTGAAATATCTTTTTATCTTTTGTTTTAGAGAGTGCTAGTATTGGTAGCATTTGATGTGGATGCAATATGTGCTTGCAAGATACTCCAGGTAATTGTTGATTACATTCCTAATAGACTTTCTCACTGTGCAATAATTTTTTTAGTTTTCCTAGCTGATCCAGAGGTACAAACAAATTTTTACAGTACAGTTTTCACTAGGAAAATAAGTGGCTGACTTTATAATTTGTGAAAGGTAGTGCACTGTAAAGCTATAATGGTAAAAGTTTATTTGTACCATTGACATATAACATCTATTGTGCGGGTTACAACTTAACTTTATATTTATAATGTCTTTTCAATGTAGAAAGATTTTGGTAAATAATTTTTTTTCAAAAAAGCCTTCCACTGTTAGAAGATCAGTGGTTCTACTGAAGTGCTAGGTTTTGAGGATATAGATTTCCTGTCACACTGTGTGTATATTAATGAGAGTCCATCCACCCTTTCAGGCACTCAGAGTACGAACCCAGTTTTGTTTTGTCACACTGTCTTGCTGTCCATCAACTAAATACTGGAATGAAGGAGCACTTGTGTTTCAAGAGGACACATTTCTAGTTTAAAGATAATTTTTTTATTCATATGTATATACATCTTATAATCAATAGATTGATAACATGGCCTTTATTATGAATATCAGAGTTAATTTTGTTGTGTTTCAGAGTTTATTTCAATGTGATCAGATATTGTACACAATAGTGCCTGTGTCAGGCAGGGAGGAATTAGAGAGGGCCTTCATCGAGAATTCAGAAGGGGTGATTAAACTATTTATTTCTTTTGTTTGTTTTTTTCATCCTGCAATTATTTAAAAAAAGGTCTTAGCTGCCATTTGCCTCTTGTTATATAACTTATAAATTAATTGTAATTTGACATCTTAAAAAATATATATATATTATCCTGAGAAATGTAAACCCATGTATAATGTGAATGGTTCTAGATGTATTCTTATCAAATTTCTGATAAATGTTATTATGTACATGCAAACTTTGAACTTAGCAATACTTAAACTTTCTTAGCCCTCTTTTAGTATAATCAAAGTTTGGTAATTTAAAATGTGTAGTAAAGATGAATTTATATGATTTAGTATGTATTCTCAATGTTGCGATAGGTTTTAGGTCATTTAGGCTGAGATCGAAAATGCCACTTGTCTGCTCGTAATTACGAGTAGAGTTTAAGAGAACTTGATGCAGGACAAGTGGAAAAATGTTGCTTGCACATCACATTTAGAAGCTACTCGTCCTGCAGGATGAGTGACTCTGAAAATATTTTCAGTGCCTGTGAGGCTAAATTTAGATTTCTCTACTTCAGAACGTAGTTAGATGGAGTTTCTATTGACTTAAAGCAACATTTTGGAGTTTTGCATTGGTGTTAATAATATTCTTATTTAAACTTTGGTTTTATTTTGTTCTATTTTCAGATTAAGCATGTGATAATGATAAACTGCGGAGCAAATATTGATATAGTAGAAGAACTACAACCTGAGGAATATATCAAATTTTATATCTGTGATAGGTATGAATAAAAAACACTTTTTTACTCACAAATGAAGTCACAAATGAAGTATAATTAACATGTTCATCATCAAACTGTTTTTAATTATTCTTTACCATTATAAAATGTATGGACTAATCCTGTACTCAGATTTCCAAGACTTCAGAAAACTCTCAAGTGATTGCCATTTAATTCTATTTGAAAATAGTGATTAAAGGAAATGAAAAATGCACAAAAAATCAGTATAAGTTTGTTGAAAAATGTTAAGCAGAAAAGTGATTTATTTGACATAATTTGTATTATTGATGTCATTTGACATGTAAAAGTTCCTAATTTAGTGTGAATGTCATATTACTTTGTTTAATGAGGAAATATTGCCAATAATATAAAAATGAGCGCTTAAGCTTGATTATGAAGAAACCTAATAGTAGCTTGTAATGACCACTCTTTGAGTCCTGGTCCTGGAACTAGCTCTCTATGGGGCTAGTTAATATTTCAAATCTGGTAACCCGACCATGCTAGTGGATTCAAATCTGGATTTTGTTCACTGCAAGTGTCTTTAAAAAAAACATGATTGTGACCCCAGTGGTTTCAAACCCATGATATCTGACTTCAAAGGCATCTTAGTGAACCACTTGGCTACTGCTTCCAGTGGAAGAATTGTCATTAATGTTTTATGAAACTACCTTTGTTATTGAAAGCCAATAAAAAAGTTATATATAAATTTATACTTTCTGCTTTCAGTCATCGGCCAGTTGATGTACATAATGTATTTAATGCTGTTCAAATAAAGTTGTTAATGAGATCTTCAGAGTTGTCTGTTCCTGAATATGATGAAGTCTTCAGGGATGATGATGAGGAGGTAAGCAGTAAGATGTATCTTTCCTTTATTAGGTTTAAAGGAGTTTGCCACTATGCATCTCATAGCTCCAGCAGGTGAGATGGTTTTGACCCCTGGTGTTGTTTTAAGTTTGTTACAACCAAGGTTATCTATCAATCATCTATCCTGTCCTGTGCCTTATGAACTAAATTGTGTTTGTGCACCTGAAAAACAAACAAACTTACAATATACAGTATATACCTTTTACTTGTCAAAATAAGGAGAAATTTTTCATGCTTTGAATTTCTTTGATGAAAAGGCACCTATCTACTACCTAGCTAGTTTAAAACAATTAGTGGCTCTATTCAGGTTTCTGCTTGTGCTTGGCTGAAATAATACATAGAGGGACATCTGAGGTTGGAATGTTGCCATGTGACCTTTGACATTTTGATATGACTTATACCCTAACAAAAGATAAATAAATAAATGAAATACCTAAATTTTCAGTCAGAAATTCCTTTGTTCAGTTCTCTTAAAATGCAGTTTTTTAAGCAATAACAATTTTGCGGCTCGATTTGACACCAATTTATTTACTATTTCCAGTCAGACATGGATTCGGGAAATGACAGTGATGAATCAGAGACACAGTCCTCACGGAAACGAAAAAAATTTGATGATGCAGCTATTGAGAGACGAATGGAAAAAAGGAAATGGGAAGAAAATAGGTAGACTTTATATCACATTTGACTAGACTCTCTTTGGCAGTCATAAAACTTTTCCTTGACATGGTTAATGTTTTTTAGTGTTTTTTTTTTTTCAGGCCCCAATATTTAGAATGACCCCATTCATTCTCCCTGTCCAAATGATCAGTATGGGTCAGGAAAGATCATTAATGTTGTCTTAAAAAATGAATTATATAAAGGCCTGCTGACAAGATTATAAGTAAAAAGGTATAATATTAATAGCATGGACATGCTGATATACATGTATATAGATGGAATACATACACCAAAATATAACAGATATTTCTCTGTTTATCATGCACACATATCAATGTGTAGCATATCAATTTATACCATTACTCTGACATGACACACTGAACAAAGGAGTTATAGTGCATGTATTTTAGAGTGCTACTCTGTATGCAAATGAAATATTTGATTTTTTCTAAACTGTAGTATGATATATTAAATAATAATTTATGTTTTATCCATTTTACAGAAATAAAGTATTATTTGAATACATGCAATTTTCAACATACGGCACATCAGTAAGTATTTTGTAATTCAATTTTCATAATTTTGTTGAATTTGTTCATCCTCAGAAACTAAATTGCTCTGTTACTTATTTGGTTTTGAACATTTTATTTTGTAACAAAAAGATCCATAATGCATCAGCAATGAATTCCTAAATTAGTGGGATCCAAATTAAATTTTACACAAAGCAAGTAAAATACTATGTAGGTTGAGTGTTATTTCTGAACTTTTCCAAAAAAATTTCTATAACTTTTTGGACGATGACCGAGAAACTTAAACAATGCATTCCTCATAGTGTCTATTCATTTTAGCTGCATTAAGAGGCCTTATTCTGTTAATATTTTCATTTTTAATTTTATTTTATTTAGAAGGTCGCAATGTTAATAGGATGTTGAAAGTCTGACAATATTTGTCCATAGATGATACATTTTAGTATCAATTGGAAATGTAACCAAATATTGGTTAATGAATCAAGGTAATTGAGTGGTTACGTGACTGAATGGTTAGCACGTCTAACTTGTAGTCTAAGTGTTGCTGATTTGATGGATTCAAACCCTGTGAGTGGGAACCACTTGTTTCTGTTAGCGAGAACCATTACATTGTTTGTTTAGTACAGTACTGGTTGGTTTCAGGAAAGGATTCGTATTTCAATAAGCTTATGGCTTCAAACATAAATGAACTACAATGAATTTGTATATTTAAAACTAAACAAGCGAATTAAAGCTTGGATTTAAATATGTATTATCATTGATATTTCAGTCAGCTTTATTGATGTTTGAGTTGGCCTGGAAGATCTCAAAGGATTCTAATGATTTGTTATGGCTGGCAATAATTGGTGTTACAGATCAGTATATACATTATAAAACACCGAGGGAAAAATATATTGAAGATGTGATGGCACTTCAATCACATGTATCTCGACTTAATCACAAGTATGTGATATTTTATTGATTTGATGTTTTTCTGTGAGAAATCAGAATAATAGAATATTTCTGTAAATAAACACAATTCTGCGATCTAGATCATAGACAATTGTATAAGTATTGTATAAGTGAAAATTTTTGTAATTATGCCCCCGCCATGTAATGGCCGGGGCATATAGTGTTACCCTGTTCCGTCATTCTGTCCTTCCGTCATTCTGTCATTCCGTCATCATCAGTTTCCGTTCATTATCTTAAGAACGGTTGCACACATTCAACTCAAATTTGACATATGAATATGTCATGACAAAATACAGGTCAAGTTCGAATTTGGTCATGGTTCGATGATTTTTGACAGAGTTATGCCCCTTTTACTTTGAAAATAATATGAAATTTCAGTTTCCGTTCATTATCTCCCCAACGGTACAACACATTCAACTCAAACTTGACATATGGATATGTCATGACAAAATACAGGTCAAGTTCGAATTTGGTCATGGTTCAATGATTTTTGGCAGAGTTATGCCCCTTTCACTTTGAAAGTAATATGAAATTTTCAGTTTCCGTTTATTATCTCCCCAACAGTACAACACATTCAACTCAAATTTGACATATGGATATGTCAAAGGAATGCCCAGGCCAGGTTGGTATTTGGTCATGGTTCAATGATTTTTGGCAGAGTAATGCCCCTTTCACTTTGAAAATAATATGAAATTTACAGTTTCTGTTCATTATCTACCCAACAGTGTTACATATTCAACTTTAATTTGACTAATGGATATGTCAAAGGAATGGGCAGGTCAAGTTGGAATTTGGTCATGGTTTGATGATTTTTTTGCAGAGTTATGTCCCTTTCACTTTGAAAATAATATAGATACATCTTAGGAATAAGCAGTTTAAGTATGAATTTGGTTGTGGTTCAATGATTTTAGACAAACTTATTTTTCCTGAATGTTGGAAAAATTTTGTACTTTCAGTTTCAGCACTCATACTTTTAGCCATTATTTTGGCTACAAATATGAAATATGCTATTTTTAAAAGGTTAAGACTGAATAATTTCAGTGTCTTGAACATTGTATGAAAATGGTTTGTGTTAACATTTTAAAGTTTTAAGGGCTTTGAACTTAAAATGAAAAAAATAATTAATGCACCATCTGAAATTTTGGCTGCATGCGGGGGCATCCGTGGCATGATGACACATTTCTAGTGTTTTACATCATGTGTAATTATGAAGGCAATTTTCAGGATGACAATAATCAAACATTATTTATAGGGATGTCATCTGGAGCCGAAACGGCCATCCGGATATCCGAATCAAACATCCGGATGTTCGGATCCTTGTTATGATCGTTGTCTATATTCTTAGTTAGCTGATATGACGTAACCTTTTTTCGCGACCTTTTTCAAAGTGTAGTATTTCGTTTCATTTCCTTTTTAATTGAATGTTACGTATCAAAATAATTTCAGTATTGATTTTATTCTTGTTTTCTATATAGAATATGACTGTTATCGATAAATTAAGTGCGTATGATACTTACGATTTCAAATGAAATGAAAATGAAATTCATCGCCGATTGTCTAAATTCCTTAATAAGTGCTATAATACACAATAACACTTGCTCACATTTGTGAAAACAAAATAACACCCGTAAAAAATTAAAAGTTTCCATTGTTCAATAACATGCATACAATTTACACACGATGACCTTTGACAGGTGTGTAGCCGGCTTTTCAAAAGAATCTGCCAATCTTTGATGTTTACCAACATGTAGCCCTGGCTGTTTGATTCGAATCATCAAAGAAGTTGCCGAAACTTACATGAATTACACACATTTTAAGTGTTCATAAGTGAAAAAAACTGTGAAAAAATTGTTTTTAAAAAAAGGCACATGTTTGATTAATACTAAAGGAGAAAGTTATTTTGTCGGATAATTATCGTATCAATTTCAATAAAAGCTGTGATAATTAACATATTACTATTCGTAAGTGCATTTCTTTATTTGCTAATTTTATTTCTGCAGATTTTTCATTTTCTCAAAATAAGGAGTCGACGGGTCGCTAAGCCGAAATATATGTTAAAAATAGCCTAATTAAATATTTGAATTTTGACATAAATAATGTAAAATCGTTGCCGATGACAATCGCACAGGACTTTGAATATTCATCTTGAATCCTACAAAACTTAAAATTGTTTGGTGTTTAACATACATGTAGATTAACAACATGTGTCATACCCGAATCGTTATTATTATAGTAATTATTGATATTTTTTTGTGGTCTGCAGAGATTATGATGTGAATTGTCAAATTAAGGTACAATATACAATATAGTGTCAACACCATGTCTACGTCGATTATCTCAACGCATATACATGTATTTTTCACATTTTCTCAATATTCTGAAATATTTTATACGAACATCCGGATCCGAAAATCGGCTCCGGACACCGAATCGTGATCCGAACGTTCGGATATCCGGACTCCGAATGACATCCCTAATTATTTATTCAAAACAAATAATATTCTGTACCAAAACATGTCAACTTTATATTTACATGTTGCTTTTGACTACAAGTTTGAGAAAATAGATCGAGAAAATAATATTACACAGATAATTCAGTTCGTCTATGAGGCTTCGCTTCCACGATGCTTAACTTCAACAAGTTAGTTCATTGAAGTTGAATTAAGACAGACAGTGTTTCAGTTAAGCTTCGAGCCTTTTTTTTTTTACTATCAAGCTTAAATAAACATATAAACTTTAAAAAAAACTATATATTCAAAGTAATGAATAAAGTTAAACTTTCAGTCCCATCATTTACATGTAATTTGTTATTTTTGTTTGCTTATTTCAGAGATGATGAGGATATTATATCAATAAACTGTTTGAAGATAATGTACGATGATGAGCTTCAGTTAACAATGTATAGACACTGGTCATTGTTTGACAGTATATGTCACTCTATAAATATGGCATGTAAATTCAAAATATGGACACTTAAAGGACAGAAAAGATTACATGAGTTCCTGGCTGAAATGGGGTAAGTTATAGATAAGGTCAGGGATCGAAAATAAAAATTCAGATAGGTAGCTTCAAATTTCTACTTGTCCTGCATGCTATGCTACTCGTCCTGCATTTTGTGTGTGATTTTTAAGATAACCCTAAAACACAAGCTTTGATTCCGGTTTTCCATTGTTAAATGTAAACAAACTGATTGAGATTTCTAGCAGTATATTTTGCATCAGAATATTTCAAACTGTCCCATAATACAATTTGAAACTTTTCCTGCATCTACTGGTAAATATTAGTGGACTAGTGGAATTTTGATCTCAGAAGTTGCATGAATGTATGTGAAAGGTTGGTCCTAGATGTTTGTATATGATGTATCAAGTTTGACTTTCATGATGTGTGCATTGCATGATTTCTAAAGGGACCTCTGTTTTATAAAGTTTTTTAAATTATCTTTTATCATTTTACACATGATTTCAGATTACCACTTACACAATGTAAACAGAAATTTGCATCAATGGACTCCAGTCTAAAAACAAATATCAGGACCATGATTCAAGAAAATATGAACAAATATGGGTAAGTTTTCATTTTATCTGGATATGCTTAGTCAAATTTTGATTTATAACTAGCTGCATTTACCATTTAAAGGAAACTTTCAGGTTATTAATAACTTATTATCTGAAAATATAGAGCTTGTATTTGAGTTTGATTGTATGTATGAAAAAAAAAGCATAGGTTGCAAGTATTTTTTGCCATGTATAAAAACCATGGCAATTATTTTGATAAAAAAATTTGAAAATCAGCTTTTACAGTATTAGGTATATTTAACTTATGTAACCATCTGTCACTCTGACATAAATCTGTTAAATTTTGTAATTATGTCTGCATGAACGATAAATAACTCACGTGACCTATGGAAGTTTCAATGAATATCCACCCAAATTTTCATTAAAACATTAAATTCACAAAAAGAGTGTGGCTTATTTTAGGTAGATTTATATTTTATTCTTAACATTTTCTAATATCAAATGTTGGTAAATCACCATTATAACAGTCAATCTTTTGAAATATATTGTTGATTTAGCTCAGCTTGACAATGAAAAATTGAGCATGTCACTTTATACTATGAAATCTATGCAGAGACAAGTCCATTCAACAATTTCAGCATGGTCATTTGTTGAAGCATTAAGTGATAAATTATTTGTAATGTTTGTATTTTACAGATTAGTTGACGAGGATGTTATATTGCCGTCATTTTTTGCACAGTATGGTTTTAAGAACAAGTTATGTGCCACTGATGTGACTTGTGTAACAGTGGCCATATTAGAACATGTTGTAAGTTTCCTTTTTACTCTATCTTTATGTTGTGTATTTTACCTACATTTTGGTATAAAATGAATCTATCAGACAGTATTGCAAATTTTGCTGATTTCAATCAAACAGTCGAGTGGGTGAAGAAAGTTGGGTAACACTTTCATGCATGGGGTTAAATAGCTAGCTTAAATATCATCAATTTTCACATTAAAGTGCAGGGTCCTGCGCAAGGTTTCATACAGTAAGAATTGCTACCGGAGGTTTTGTTTCACAGCTTATATGACCTTAATAATGTCAAGTGTGAGTTAAAACCAGAAATAAAAGATGAATTGAATAAACTTGTTACTTTTATACATCATTTTACTACAATATTTTTTTCAAAATCTTACTTTTGTGATACTACATATATATTACTTTGATGTTATTATATGTGTTTTATGAATCTCAATGTGAAATATATAACAGATTTTCATCCATTTGTAATTGCTTTGCTCACAAGTGACTTGCTGTGTTGTAAAATTACAAAAATGATTTATTGGTTTGCTTTTGGAGTACATTTATTAATCTATTATGGCTTTCAGGAAAAAGGTAAAACACCTACAGACAGTTTTCTAAAAGCAATGGATGTTTTATCAAGGTATGTAAAAGCATAAAATTTAGTCTAAAAACAGGCCATTTTACCAAATGAAAAATTTGTTGTAAATTTCCAGTTTAATCATCCCAAAATTTTACAAGATTTCTGCCAAGAATCTTACTCAACTTTTTAGGCTTATGTAGCTAATTGTAAATTTTTTTTAATACAATTATATTGAAAAAAGTGAACATGTTAAAGCTACATGCCTCCAGATGAGCCATAATATGTCAAGAAAATAACTTTGAGAAAAATTAACAATAATTTTAAGAATATCTACAATTCAAGTAAAAATTTACATGTTATTTGCAATTAATGAATGTCTTTATTGTATTTATCACCATATTTCTACCGTGTTACAAAGGCAGGAAGGGCTATTTTTGCATGATCTGTCCTATTGTTGATAAATTTTGTACATTTTAAGTGCTGTTTGCAACATATAATAACTTGTTCACTTACAATATTTTTCTTTTACATACATTTTAAAAACTTTCTTGAAAATAGACTTATTTCGGAATTAAGAATATTTGGGATTTTCTCAGCTATTAACGTAGGTACAAACAAACTTTTAGAAAATAAGCAAAACAGGTTGACTAATCTACTGTGATGGGTAGTGCACTGTGAAGCTAAAATGATGAAAGTTAGTTTGTACCTACAGTACATATTAGCTGGGAAAAACCCACTTTGCCGAGTTCGAATAATGTCTGTTAACAATGAATATGGAGGCATGCTGCTTTAATAGATTTGTTCAATTTGCCCAATTTTCAGGTAACAATCATTTGATAATTTAAGCTTAATAATTTATGTTATGACGTGTGAAGATTTTGTTCTGGTGTTGTCATTACAACAGTTTATTATAATTTATTTCAGATACCTTGGGACTGTTTCACAAACACCCATGAAATTACTGTATTATGATTTATTTTCAGATCCAACACGGCAGCTATGGAGAAAGGTCTGGAGTTAGCCAAGCGACAGTTACAGGCAATTATAACACAGGTGCAAACATTCCTGGATATGCATCAAGTGATTTCTGCAGGACCATTTCTCTATGCTTTCATGCAAGAGGTATGCTAAGTCATGTTGCCTAAATTGACGTTTGAAAATACTTTAAAACTACATGTAACTACTGTTAAGTTTATCACTATTCTGTTTTGCACTGCTTTTACTTTCTGCAATTGTAAACTTTATTTTATCTTAAGGATTACTTTACCTTGATAAAATATTATGTTGAAAATCACTTATGCTAAAGAAATACTCAATACTGGGGAAGTAAAATTTTCATAATATACCATGACGATGGAAATAGAATGAAGGGAGATACAATTTCATCATGTACATAAAGTAGCAGCACTGGCAAAGATCATGATATAATGTAAAACTATCCAACTTCCTGCATTTCTTTATTTTTATCCTATGTATTGATTCATTGTATTAGCTTAGGCATTTTTGCACTTTTTAACATCCTTGTTCAAAGAATTGAACCAACCTGATACATTTTTAGCTCTGACATGGATTTTAACAGAATTATGACCCTTTTTGAACTAAGAAAATTCTACATTATCCAGGCTCTTCATTTACTATCAGGCACTGAGAATAGTCAAGCATACTGTCCTACTGATAGCTCTTGTTGTTTGTTATTTTAGGGTGCACCAGATGTAAAATTGTTTGCACATCAACAGTGTGTGATGAGAATGGCAAGATTTACTCTAGAAGCCCATTGTTCAGTGGTAAGTACATTGTCAATATATTAATGAAGATTTACATCTACCCTATAGTTGGATATCAGATTGGTAAGGTCACTGAGGGTGAAAATCATTATCCTTTAAGCAACATCAAGGGGCCTCTATCAGTGTCACATAATATTCTTGTTTAACCATTACCAAAATAAGATTTTGTTTAACTTTAGATGGACTATTACAAATTTAAAGCAAGGCCAATTCAATACATAAATTCAGCAGGTGAAAGGCTCAGCAAAATGCCTTCAACCTTTTGAATGCCTACTGTGATAATCATATGCCAAGGCCACCAATAAACAAACATGCTAATCTGCAAACACATGTAATATTACATACAAATATAAGCAGACATCATATTGTCCGTTTCTAAATAGTACTATTTTGGTATCAAGTTTGGTATCAAAATTATTTCTATTACTTTGATGGGTGCCTGTTCGTGCCTGAAATAATACATGATAGGGCACCCTTATGACCTTTACTGGGACTTAAAAAAAAAGAAAGTAAAGGAATATTCCAAAATCAAAGCTGGGCAAGTCCATTATACAATTGCAAGGGTGAATGTTTATTTTGTTCTTTTCAGAGCCGTAACAAGAAGGCCAGGAACTTGCCTTTGGTGTTAGGTGTGCCACTAGATAGTGAGAAGGGGACTATTTTAGTTATAGGTATACCTCCACTCTCAATGGATGACGAGAGGAAAAAGTAAGAAAATTTTACATAAAATACATGCATGTTGACACTGTAAGTATCTAGTGGCATTAAATGTCTGACTAAAAGTATTTTTGATATTTTAACACAAAACCTAGGCAGAATGGTTTAAATAGGTCATAACTTTAAGTGAGTCAAGTGCATACATTTTAAGGGGGAAAAACAACTCATTTTCTTCAATATTCCGTAGTATTTAATAAAGTACACAAATTCATGATACTAAAATAGAGCGTTAAAATGGCAATTTGAAAATGTTGCAGACTCGGTTTGATGGAGCCTGTTCATACATTTTACTAAAAAGTGCAAGCTACTGTCTACTCCCCCTAGCACTGGCTTAAACAGAATTCAAAATTTAGACATGAAATGTTAAAAGTTTTAAAAGACAAATACTTGTAATATTAAAGTTTATTATCAGTAGTACATGTATCTTTTCTACCACTGGAAGATTTAATGATTCTATTTGTTTCTGTTACAGTTTTTTCGGGAAAGCTTTTGAACAGGCTGCAGCCAGTACAAACTGCAGAACATTTCATGACCTGTTTGACACATTCAGTAAGTAAATAAAAGTTTGGCTTTTCATGCCCATTTTCTTTCACGCTAAAAACGTTGTGAATTTAGAATATTCATTTTGAAATTTTGGAAATAGCTGTCTTTATTGAATTTGTTCTCGATATGTATGTGTCATGAATAGTGATGAAAATTGTTCTTGCTTCCTTGATTTCATGATTGCCACTACAAGTACATAATATGAATAGGGATGCACATAGTTTCTGCTCTTCATGAATAGTGATGAAAAATGTCATTGCTGGGATGAAGCTTTTGTGAAAATTGCCACATGAAATGAAAATTGATGAAAGTAGTTATTGTTTTCCTTTAGAAGTGATAAATGTTGGCATCTGATCTGATGTAATATTTTTAAGGAAATCTTCAAATTCCCGTTATATTTAAATACACATTTATACTGCTGTAAATATAAACTGACTTCTCATATAATGTTGTTGTTCATTGCTTCCGAGGGATGATCCTTTTTTTAGACTTCAATATTTCACAACAACAGGTCAAATGCCTTTTATATGGCAGCTGTAAAAAGTTGCCCCCATACTTCACTTTTCAGTGATATATTTTTTCTGATCCTTTGGGATCATTGATTACTTCACTTATTTGTTGAAGATTGAAAACTGTTTGCCAGGGCAGGAGGCATGATGAGATACGTTGCATTAACTCCCATTAGCAGAGTCTGCAATTTTTATATTGTTGTTATCATTGCCTCCAAGATCACCAGCTTAAAGAAATTTATACTTAAAATGTTTGTTTTGCAGTTATGGAGATGAAAAGTGAAGACAGAAGTAAATTCTTTGATGCTCTCATCAGTTTACTGAATTAGGAAGATGTTGGACACCATCCCAAAATTTCCAGCGATATCATTGGTCAGTTTCAACCATCCCAAAATTTCCAGAGATCTCATTGGCTTGTTTAAACCATCCCAAAATTTCCAGCAAACTCATTGGTTAATTTCAAATTATAGTTTAATAAACAACATCCTATCAGAATCATTCAGTTACTCTGTATGTGGCACTGTGATATAAACTAGACCTGCCAAAATGAAATTTAAGGAATATTAAGAACTGTTAACACATTTGGAAGAATGTGCACTTTAAATATTGTGATATTCATTGGACATTAGTAGAAAACAAAGTGCAACCTGTAAAATCTTCATGGAATACTACTAATCATTCTACACATGTAATGAAATTAGAATATAGAGTTTATATCAAAATAATAAAGTTTTAAAGCAGCATGCCTTCAGATGGGCCAAAATGTTTCAAGAAAATCAAACTTGAGAAAAATGTATGAAGATTTAAAAAAAGGAAAAGATTACATTTTATTTTGTGTGTGAGATCAATGACTGAATTTGCAGTATCAATCACCATAATGTGGTATGGGCTTTTTGCATTTTTTTACCTCTTTTTGGATTGTAAATAAGCTATGTTTGCCATTAGTAAATTACCATCCTTGTTCACTTCAAAATTACCATCTTGTTCACTTCACAATATTTTACCTTTTAACACATTTTCAAATGTTCATGAAAGTTAACATGAACCTGGAGGCATGCTACTTTAAGGACAACCTTACTTTACTTGAAGCTTTAGGTATATATTTTTTATTTATTATTTATATGTAGACATATGTGAAGGTAAACCAACATTTAACCAAGGTTGCTGTGCAACATATGGTCAAACCCATATTGCAACAAGGACAGCCTGTATATATTCCAATAAATTCTCGAGTTCATCTTATTATATTGAAAGTAACTGTGTGGGTTTTTTTTTATTAAATATCACACTTTAATTTAAATATGAAAGTTAAATATTTACAACACTTGAGTTTTTATTAAACTATAACAAAAAATAAATTTAATTTGATTGTATATGGTTGCAATATTTGATAAAAGTACTTGTTAGTATATTTTTTTATCAGTTATTGTACAAGGGTACTGTGATACTTATTTCCTGACAGTGGCCCTACATTACAATATACCGGTACATTGTCACTACCTTTCATGCATGTTATACCTTTTATCAAGTCTTTGTACAAAAGTGGGTCCTACGCTCGGGTAATTTTGCCCTATATGTGTTCTATTAGGAAAGTAAAATATTCGTTTTTAAAGCCCGATTTCCTATATTTCACGAAGTCATTATTTGGCGAGTGACTATTTGATTTATAATAGTGATAAATTGTAATGAATTTTTATTTATTATTCTTCACCAGGCATTGTTTTCCCAGATACTTTTCATTACTACCCATTATTTGAAATTATTTTTCTCTTTGTTCATTTATTGACAATTTTGATAATTTTACCAAACATTGTGTTCATGTTTTTCATATGTTTACAACAATATTTAATTTTCATCATGAAGTGCTGCAAAGTGATATTGAAAATATATTTGTATTATATTAAATGAATGTATGTAAATTTGTAAGTTATGAATTGTGCAAAGTACTATATTATAATACTGAATTGCTGATTTATTGAATAAAATTTGTATAACTTGCAGTTTGTTTTTAAACTGACTACTTGAAGAAAAAAGTGGGGATTGTGTACACCTTACCTCATTAACCACAGAAGGGACATACTTGAAATAACATTATTATTTGTTTTTGGTGTCACAAAGCACATTATGCCTCAGAAATGAATAAATTTTTACTTCTTTAGAAGAAAAAACATGATTTATAATATTTAAATTATAATTTTGAAGCATGTTAGATGCTTGTTACTTGAAGAGAGTAGTTTTTAATATGAAATATCTCACAAAAGTGGCAAAAAGTAAACAAAGCAGAATTTTGATTTCTATACAAAATACTAACTATAATTGTACTAATTGTCAAGAAGCATCAAAAGTAAGATGGTTCAGGTAATTGGTCAATGAGTCCCTTTATGGAAACTACAACTATGCCAAAAATAAAAAGCTTTTTAAAAATAAAAGCATTATTGGGGAATAATAACGTGCCTATAAGGAATGCAAGCATTGACATTAGCACCAGCTGCCATATTCACAAAAATATCCCACTTCATTAATATAACTAGAACTGTCAGTGTCATGGTATGAATACCCCCATACCACTTTGTCAGAATCAACAGAGGTCATTTAGAGCTGTTTTGTATTCTATAGGTTCTACTGACCTCAAAACTGTAACTGCCACTGCATGACTTGAATATTAAATCCCCCCCACCCCAGCTTTGCCTGGGGGTGTTTTATGATGAATTTATGAGAACATAATTATAGGCTTCAAATGTGAAATGTCAAACTCAATACACTGGACAGGCATCCTTAAGCATTTAAGCAGACAAGCTTTGTAGTAAAAGCCCCCTTGACCGTGACCTTCGACATAGTCACATAAAATCAAAAGGGGTTATCTAGTAGTAATAACCAACCTAGGTACCATTAATATGAAGACTGATGACCAAAGCATTCGGAAACAATTGAGAGCACAAGCTTTTTGAACTAAAGGCCCCTTTGACCTTGACCTTTGATCCAGTGAATTCAAAATCAATAGGGGTCACCTTATGGTCATGATCAACCTATATGCCAGATGTAAAGATTGTGTAGTTTTACGAACATTTATTCAATTTATATACAAAAGGAGGTATAAAAAGATTGATGTTTTATCTAGGTTCTAGCTTTCCTATCCAGCTTTAAGAACAATTGAGCATGTTGTTTGAATAATTGCTCTATTTGTGATATAAAAAGAAACTATTTCCACCAAGTTTCACTAAAAGAACACTATGGGTTATGATGCTTTATATAAAAAATACTTTTCACAATGCACAATTTCCTGGAAAGCTCAATTAAGTTAAAAAAAAATAATGTATGTAAAATGGCTGTCCCTGGTCAAGTGGTTAAGGTCCTGACTTCGAATCACTTACGGGTTCGTGAGGAAGCTATCTAGCTGGCTTACAGAACATCGGTGCCTGAAAAATTTGCACAAAGGGGCACTTGAGGTCTTCCTCCAGCAGGAAAGTTGCCATATCATATAACCGCTACAGTTTGTGAAACATTTACCCCTTCATGAAAAATGTATATAAAATCCCTTTATATTGCTAAGACAAAATGCATTTGTGACACATAAATAATTCTTGTTCTGAAAATTGAATTAGTGGTTTACTTCGGTTACTTCCATGGATAAAATATCAATTTTTTCTAATAATGTCTTATCCTGCCAAGCCTCATTCTCGTCCAATGGATGGGTTCCCTCGGGATGGATATTCTGATGTGAACCGCAAACAGATATTTTTTCTTGCATATTGTACTGTATTCTATCATATTTTAAATTCTTTACCTCAAACAATTTTTCATGTCATTTCATCCGTAACTATTTTCTTACATTACAACTTCATTCATAACGACGAAATGACATCATCCTAGGCATGCAGTTTCATTCTTAAATACGCCAAAATGTCATTTTAACGCGGTTCACTCACAAAATGACGCAATTGTATAGCAGGCAACTCATCTGTCACCTCCATGCCTGATGAAATTTCCTGCATGGGTAATACTTACAGAAACACCAGTCTGATATGCAAGATGATTCATTCTGATTTGTGTCCAAAGGATTAAATCAATTTCTTAATTACTTAAAACTTGACAAGTTACTAGCCTAGCAAGCCTGACTAGAGTTATTTAAGCACATTATACTGATGTACCAGTTAATCGTAAACTTTGGCAAAAGGATATTTTGTCTTTTGGATTTTCAAATTCCCGGTAAAAGTTCATCCTTGCCGGGACCGTCTGACTGTAAAATCCCCTCACTGACAGTGCAAAATATAATTACGTCATTGACAAGGCAGAATGAGGACAGACAGAAAACTTCTCAATTCTCACACTACCCTATGATTGGGGTGGGCTTGTTACAATTGAAGTTCATAAGAATGACATGTCCAAATAAAAGGAAACGAATATTTTCAGTTTAAAGTTTTAATCTGTATTAATAAATAATATATGCTTTGTATATTAACATTAAGTATAACACATTTTCTTTTGGCAAAATCATTTAACAAGAAACAATATACAAGATTATCAAAATCATATTTATCTGTTACTTAAAAAGGGCATATAAATCATCACTAAATGTTATAAAAACTAATGTATAATGTAAAATCAATGAATAAGCAATGCCTTTAGTGATTGCACTACCAAATAGGGAGACAACTCTTGCCATTCATTTCTAAACTACATGTAAAAATATACATGTGACAAATCTTGAAAATAACAAAGGAAACATATTGCACATTTAATCATGGAATATATATTAATACAGATAGCTATACAGTCAATTATACAAGTTCATGCAAACATAATAGCCCAAGATAATACATCAACTTTTAATACCCATAAAGTTAATAAATATGTAAATTTAGTGAAATATCATCCCATAGAGGATATTGAACAAGTGTGGTTTAATACTAAATTTATTGAACAAGTTTAATAAAATAAGAGGCGAGCATAATATTGTCTTATTAGGCAAACATAATTTTTATCCAACAGGTTATATAAATTTAGTATTGAAACTACACGAATATAATATTCTATTTATCACATACCCAAAATAAGAACTGTTTACAGTGAAAAAGAATCACTTTTTTATTGATGCACATATAGAGTGAGACTTTAGTCTCATTTGGCACGTCTTTATGCTATGTATATGTATAACTCAAATGACCTAATGCCAAAATATGCACAACCGTACAAAGTTTTTACGGAGCCGCAAAAGTGGCACGGGTATGTGATAAAGTATGATATGTAAAAGTCATAGTATATTTAACTCTATACCTGCCAGAACCCATTTGCCACCAGTACAGAGCCATGCCAGCTTGCCAAAACATAAAACTGATTTCCCTTTCAGTGATCTTTTCCTGTATTTTACAGCCGAATAAAGGCCGTTTCCCCTAGCCCAAAATAGGTATATATTCCCAAAAAAAAGCTAAATCCCTAAAATGCCCTGTACCAGAACCATGACTTATCAGAAGCTGACTTATATCAGCTAGAAAACAGAAAGCTGCCCCAATAGATAGCCTCTCCTTGAACCATGCATTCTAAATGGAATTGAAATTGAAAATTTTATAAAAGGTGTGGGTTAAATTCCATTCTTAGTTATTGGAATTTGAGTTCCCCATTTTATGATTTACTTAGTATCACTCTATATTTTCCCCTTAAGACACAGGCTGTTTTGAAATTTAAAAAATCACTGCCTTTGCCACCAGTAAAGAGTCAGGCCAGCTTGTGAGGTCTGTTGAATACTCAAGTTTTGTATTTTGCAAATATTGTATTTTGACATTGAAATCCCCTAAACTTTAATGGGCTATTCTAAAATTTCATAGCTGGGCAAATACCATTACACAAATTCAGGTGATTATAGGTTAAACAATGTTACAATGAAAGACAAATTAATGCAACAATATACAAGTTATTTAATAAATTCTGCTATGAAATTATTCCAGGGTTTTTATCAGAGATGTAGATAACAGAGATAAGCAGCTTCTATATATGTACTCCATTGAAAAATCACTCATGCCTATCAAAAAGTGAAAAATTAGGCATTTTGTAGCAAATAAAACTTAATGGATGTACATTTGACCCTTTTATATTATACACAATTTGAAAGTTAAATCTTTTATCTACTGCTGTATGTTAAAATATTGGTAACTCTGTGTGCCTTTCACATAGCAACACCTTAATTAACTACCGTACACGAAGGTTTAGGTAATTGTAAGTTTGAAATTATACATACATGTAGATAAGTTATTCTTAAGTATCACAATTAAGCAATAAATAAGTATTAGCAAACAAACAAAAAAAAACAAAAACAAAACTTTTGAATATTAATTTCTGCACTGCCAAAATATGAACTTATTCTTATAACAACTCACAAGTATCAGAATTCTTATTTATACTAAATTTTATGGCAAAAGGAAAAAAATGTATTATTGATGTATATAAATGCAAGTAACAAAATACCTGTAATATTTTACAGGAATTGTTATAAGAAATAGGTGTCAAGTAATTTACATGAACAAATGCAAAAAATGATGTTTTAAATATTACCCATAATCTGAACATGTATTTAAATGCATATCTACATCAGAAAATTTCAATTCTAACTTGCTTCACCAAACAGATAGGGCAATCAAGTGCATTATAGAATAATAAGCACAGTTTATCATTCAAATACTTTGTAATTATATTCCTACGCATTTGAAATCAAATTCTGCATTATTCTACAACAATGCACTCAAAATTGATATCTATTTCCTAAACACAGTGTTTACAGTTAACCATTCACAAATAAGTAAAACAATAACTTAGAAACTAAAACGAGTAGTGAAATAGTTATCAAATTCTCTGCAATATTATGCTTTAAACATTCAAAGTATCATACCATATATACTCTAATAAACTATAGGGGTGTTACTTTTTCCAGGGGGGGGGGGGGGGGTATTAGAGAAGCGGCATTTATTACACTGTTAATATTTATACATCTCTTTAGCACATAATGTACTTTCTAAAGTTTAACTTTCCTCAACTGGCATTGACCAGCTTTAAGTGCCTAATAATAGACTGCTATATGTATTGTTAATAACTATTTTGTAGACTTGCCAAACAATGTTTTCTTCGCAGGTTTTTCTTGGGGTGCCTGAAGACAAAAAATAAAAATTTTATCATTATAAACTTCATTTATAATCTTTTACTTGGTGATGTTATTTTTATTCACACCATGTTGATGAAGGTTGTATAGATACTTCAAACTCTAATGGTGAAAATAAAGGATAAAAAATCTTTTTACATTACTAAAAAGGAATGGTTTAATTTTGGTCACTTCAATGTACATTGCAAATGTACTAATGGTTAAAAAAAATTTCCCAAATATAATCTACTTCAAAGATAGATGACAATGCTCCCAGAATTTTAGACCCAGTACATTTTACCCCTTGCTCTTTCCTTTTGTAATTTTTTACAGGGGGATCTTAAATCAGACGTTTCCCATGTGTAATTTCTGCTTTTTTTTGCCTAAAATAGCAAAAGATTATCAATTTTTTTTAATTAGAACTAATAAAACATATTTTAAATAATCAGGTTTTTGTTCATTAAGAAAGCAAAAATGGACTTTTTTGGGCCTTATTTATCTTTTCTATACATGTATAAAAACGGGAAAAACCCAAATTTCTAAATAGGACAAATTTGTTAAACTTCATTTGATTATCTCCCTGTCATGTCATCAGCAGTGGACAACAAAACAGTCGTTATGGGCCTGTAACCAATGCCAACTTTATATCATGGTTCTTTACTGTTTTTAATTTTGCACAATTTAAATTGATTATTTTAAGGAAATCGATATTGGCCAGCCAGCAGTACAGAGTCTGGTCAGAAATAAGAATTTGCTGGCTGACCGCAATCTATACTGTTGGCATATGCAAATACCTATTTTAACCAGGGTTTTTTTATTTCACAGGTGGGAGAAGGGGCCCTCCCATAAATTTGGAGGGGATGATGGGGGGATAACACAAAATTTTTGCTAAAGGGGATGGTTAAGGAAACTGCATGATTTGAAAGAATTTTCCCATTGAGCAGCCCTTAAGCAGCATCTGCAATAAAAGAAAACAAGAGCTGGTTGAACAGGGTGATGCTCCCCGAATAGGTTTTGGACACAGGAAGCTATACCGCTTGTAGTGTCAGAGTTATGTCACAGACAAAGTTCAAATTGTACAAACAACCCAAATCACCATACCAAGTTTGAAGTTCCTAGGCCTAAGCGTTCTTTAGTTATTGATGGGAAACCGTTTTTACCTACAAGGTCAATGTGACCTTGACCTTTGACCCCTTGACCCCAAAATCCATAGGGGTCATCTGCTGGTCATGACCAATCACCATACCAAGTTTGAAGTTCCTAGGCCTAAGCGTTCTTTAGTTTTTGATCGGAAAACGTTTTTACCTACAAGGTCAATGTAACCTTGACCTTTGACCACTCGACCCCAAAATCAATAGGATTCATCTGCTGGTCATGACCAATCACCATACCAAATTTGAAGTTCCTAGGCATAAGCGTTCTTTAGTTATTGATCGGAAACCGTTTTTACCTACAAGGTCAATGTGACCTTTACCCTTTAATCGGAAACTGATTCGGGACGTACGGAGGAACTGACGGACGGACAGACAACCCGACGACTATATGCTGCCCCGAAATTTTTCGGGGAGCATAAAAATCCCTGATTGCCACTAGCTTTCAAGGAGTTAATAAGTGTTACCTGGGATATGAGCACTCTCTTGCTGTCATTTTTCATTGCCATGAGAAGATCAAACCATGTCCATATACAGTTATGATATTCTAACGTAGGTAATATTAGACTAAAGTCATGTACATCTTCTATATTCTTCTCCTTCTCTCCCTGTATAACAAAATCAATATATAATCATGTTAATAAAACCTGTAATATAATGCAATAATATGTACATTTACTTCAGTACAATATTATCAAAACTGACAAAATTTCATCTACCAGTAATTGTTGTGACTATATTGTAATTATTTTGATTATATTGTGATTATTGTGTCAAAAAACCCAGTGGAGCCCCTATAAACAATATAGCCACAATAAATTTTATTCTATTATTATAATCAATGTCAAAATTTGTGATCTGGTATCTTAGCAACGTAAATGGTTCCAGACATACCTTGTAAGAAACTCTTAATGACACTTCTGGTATCTTTATATACAAGAATGTATTGTTGTTTGCAGCTCTCTCCTGAAAGAAAAAAAACAAATAGAGATAAATATCAAACAGTGTAAAGAAAATGAGTACTTTTAATTAGTATTTTATTCATATCTATTTAGTCTCGATTCTGAAACAAATTCTCACAATATACTAGTACATTAATCACTCTCAAGTCAGCTTTCTTGAACTAATCAGTACTGGTGTCATATGAAGAAACATGGCCCTGACACAAGTAGGGCTCAAACCCTTAATCCCAAAGTTGAGAGGTTGGCCCTTAACCACTATAAGGTACTGTTCACTTCAACCTTTAATTGATATTCAAGTTCTGAAGAGCTACAGAAAGTTTACTTAATAATATGACCAAATACTAGTTTTCTTTGATATACATGACCCTTCCTTCTGAGTAAAGAGCAACAATATTAGTCTATGTCACTAATAAATTACTATAATGCACATATATGTAAAGATTTTAGTTTGAGACATAAAGATATTGATACAATACTTGCTTCTGATGTTAAATGTATATGCTTTATGTATTCATATTAGGTACGTGGGTATGTGCACACTTTTTTTCCAAAATATTCAATTCACTGAATATAGCCAATACAACAAATGTAAAAATTTTAAACTTTATTTACTTAAAGAAAATCATTTTCTTGATCTTTTCTAATTTTTTAAATAGATCTATCATAAAATGTTTTAACCATCCCTCCAAATTTATCTATTTAATTATCATTTTCTTATAATACTTTTTTAGATAATGTTTTGAAAATAAGATGGGTAAACACATACACACAGTGAAAAGGGAGACAACATTATTTGGGTGTTGTTTTTACGAGAGTTACTTTCATGTGATTTTTGCCATCTCAAAATTTCAGATACTATGGTAGTTGGAACAAAATAGATTGACAGGTTGCCATATTGACTGGTTCTGTAATTTCAGACATCTCTAGTATGACATATCCAAGCAAGTCAGCAAAAAGTACATGTGCCTTTTCTCTAAGTTTTTCGTTTGACCTACAAGTGGATTAAAACTAGGCCTTATTCAGACACCATCCAATGTCAAGTATATTATAGAAATAACTAAATCTGAACAAAAGATTTTGCCGAGCAAATTCAAAAACAAGCACACTTACACTAATTCATGCCTGTAAGAAAGGCTGTTTCAAATGTATTGTTTAAAAGTCACAGACAAGCCAATTAAACATCAACATGGAGTAATAATTTTAGACAAACATTTCAGCTAGAAGAGTGAATAACAAAAAATAACCAGAAGCAATGTTTTATTGTTTGTTTGTTATTTTCATTGTATAATAATAAGAAAAATGGAAGGATAAATATTGTCATGCAAGCGTTCTAATGGGACACAAAACACGTCATATCCTTCACTACAACTAGCAAAAAACCATGCATGTTTGGAAGTTAACATGTATTTCCACTATGCCTAAACTAGTATAAGTAAAATTATCGATATGAACAAACCAAATAACACAGGTACTTAAAATCTCTGTAAATTTTTAATAATTGAAAGGACTTTCTTTCATCAACTTATTTTACCTGGTATCAAACTGTTTTATCTTTACATTTCATTATATGTGTCCATAAAACTTGTCAACAATAAAAAGCAATCATACTAGGTCAATCTGCCATATTTATAGGTGGCAATAACTGATATTGGCAGAAATGTGTCACCCATAGGAAGTATTATATCTTTTTTTTGTTTCCATTACTCTTTAGAATTTCCCAACATTTTTTTCAAATAATAAACAAAAGCGCATACAAAACTTGTTGTTAAACTGAAAGAAGCTGCTAAATGCACTCCTTGAGAGAGATTACATCAATCACTTGCAACACTGCTATTACATTACAGCAGGCAGCACAAGCCAGTGTGGGAGGGTAAAAACAGGGTTTACTTAATGACTGACAGGTGGGCTTGTTTACAAATGACTGATGCATTACCATATAAGTTTTAAAACATTGTCATTACATAAAAATACTTTAAGAGACATAACCTTTTTATTTCATTTTTTTTTCAAAGGAAATACCACATGCAAATAAGAGTACAAAAAAGAATAGTTTTTGTATAAAGTTGACAAAGAATGGACATCTATAACAAATCAATATATAAATATACATATATATAATTTAAGGGGTGGGGGGACGTCTCCAAACCTTCATTGTAGAGATATAGCAATGTTTTCCACTCCTTAAAGATACGGTAGAGTAACGTCGCAGGTACAAAGGCTTTCTCTGACAGGTGAGAAAGCAAATTAGGTTAGATTATAGATAAATCATTATTAAATATTTGAGCTGCGTCATGACAAAACCAACATAATGGGTTTGCGCCCAGCATGGATCCAGACCAGCCTGCGCATCCGCGCAGTCTGATCAGGATCCATACTGTTTGCTTACCAACCCTTTTACAAGTAGAGAAACTGATAGGGAACAGCATGGATCCTGATCAGACTGCGCAGAAGCGCAGGCTGGTCTGGATCCAGGCTGGTCACAAACGCACTATGTTGGTTTTGTCGTGACGCGGCTCAAATCATTATAAAATATTTGTCCATAAGCTGCACCTGTATATAATATGGGGTGCCGATTGTTTCATTTTTTTGCAAATACATGTTTTTAAGAAGCATTTTATTACTAACAATAGATGAGATAAAAGACATATTTTAGTGTACTGTATCACTAAATTCACGAATGCACAAAAACAATATAAAGAAACTGTAAAATAATATTAAGCCAAGACTTCAATCACGTATTGCTATATAAATGTAATACTGCTGCTAGAACAAACATGTACATTATCTCTGCAAATAGCTATTTCTAAGTCATGTAGAATTATTTGATGGATTGTATAATAAAAATGCAAATAAAATAGTAACACGCAGAATCAATGTAAATTAAAATGAGCCGCTTCATGACAAAACCAACATACGCGCAGTCTGATCAGGATCCATGCTGTTCGCTTACCAATCCTATTACAAGTAGCAAAACTGATAGCAAACGGCATGGATCCTGATCAGTCTGCGCGAATGCGCAGGCTGGTTTGGATCCATGCTGGTCGCAAACGCACTATGTTGGTTTTGTCGTGACGCGGCTCAAATAGCATTAGTAAACAAGCAAATCTAATCTAAGTGTAGCAACCTAAAAATGCAACAAAGTCAAAAAAATTCAAAAAGAAATATCCAAAACTCAACCAATGTGGGGTTTTTCAAGCTAATTATCTAGTACAAAAAGTTTACCCTTTATAGTTTATAGTGCACTACAGTTCAAAAATAGATCAACCCACCTTTTCACTTTTTGTAAAAATTTTAAACTTTTTTAACTTTTTTTGAAACCCCCCCTCCCCCCACATTTTAAGCGGGGGGAAAACCCTTGATATTTTTAATTTGGAGTAAGCCCACACAAAATGCAATTGCTGAATTCTACAAGCTTTTTGTTATGACATTATGACTAATTTGCGATAAAAGAAGTGCAATCTACAGGCGGAAAATGTGAAAACAAATTTTAAAAACATGTACAAATTATTAGCTACAGATTTCTCCTTAATTAAACAAAGCTTTCTTCTCATTTTAACTAGTGACCTAAATTTTGATGCTAAGACCATCAATATTTACTTATGTTTAAAATATCATTAAAGCAAACAATCATACACAGTTTAATGAAGATCCGGTTGGAAATGAGACCTCTAGAATGTCAACAACCATACATGTATATGGACATCAGATGAAATACAACCGACCAATCATAATAGGTTACTTGTCAACAAATTATGACAATCATAAAATGTGAGTATACTCACCCTTTATTTATAGTGATTGATCAGTCAGAAAAGGAACAGTTAAAAGACCTCTGATGGAGGTTCGATCAATTTATCTGGCTGATTACATTCACAAATTAAAATTTGCTCAAAAAGATTTAAAATAATAAAATCTTTTTCTGTGATGAAAACTATTATCTAATTATCTATTCATATTATCATACCTTCATTTTATCTATATCATCAGTGGCTGTGAAAGATGGGGATCTCTTCAGCTCCTTTTTCTGTGATGACCTTTTCTCTGACCTGGAGAATGTTTTTTGGGCTGCGCAAGCACCTTCCATTTCTTCCTCTGTAAAAAAAAACTATTCATATGCTAAAGGCATCAAACTATAAGGGATTTATATTGTCTGTGGCCTAAATATTTTAATGAAGGCAAAAACTATTTCTGGTATTGTTGTTATTTAAAAACATATTATATATCTGGCCTTCAAATTGTTAAATTCTTCAAAAAAAAATTCTTGAATAAATCAAAGAAGAAATCTATGAATTACTCAACTGGCCTTATTGTATCCCTATATCTATATAGCTATATATGGGAAGAAGAACTCAGTGAATTACTAACCTTGGTCTTCATTATCAATGTTTTTATCAGGGAAGAAGAACTCCATGACTTTCTTTAAAAACGCTGAATGTCATGTTGAATCTGCGTTTAGTGATGTGGGATAACCAAATTCACTTCAAAAATGGTTTCCTTTCACTTGCTATTACCGCCCACTGAAATTGATTAATAGGTTAAAATCATTTCAATTCTTACGCCAATTTTATACCACGAAAGAACTTGAAAATAAAAATCAATAATTAATAATATTATCTTGAATTTTTCTATCAAACACGACTATTTGTGGGTTTTTGAATATGCAAGGCAATGAGGTATCTAACAGAGACATTCTCACTTTCTATATTAACTTGAGATTAACATTTTTGTGAATGATGTGTTGAATTGAGTTATAGATAAATAAGTATTCATTCACATTTAATATTTATGATGTTCATCAAGTACTAAAATTGATAAACCTTGTATGAAGCACCTACATGTACATTTGTATACCGGTATACATGTATTAAGACATCAAAGGAATAAAAAAGTGTCAGATATATAGACGAAAGTTCTTGTATGAAAGTTGTACATACATAAATGCTTTTTTAATAGCTATTAACAGTTTATTACAGGAAATATACATTTTGTACTCAAATCATTAAATTCAAAGCTTCAAAACAATTTTAGAACATCTACCTGGAGGTCGTTCAGTACAAAGCACTCTCAAGGTCATTTGTCTGTTATTATCCCGCCCAGGTGGGTCACGAGGTGCAAGTACATCTTTATATATTGAATTTGGCAGTAAATTAGTGGCCTTGACCCCAGCCCAAATCCACTTTTGATGACTCCAGGTTATCGTTATTCCGATTCACTTTTGTGTAAACAAAATTTCGTAAAGCTATATCAGCAATTCCTACTTGTCCGTCTGGTTCGGTTAAACGCCACTGAGCAAATTTGAAGCAAACTTCGTTTCTCCTGATAACGTAGGCTTGTTGCGTCTGCTTTGTTTGTAACGTTGACTGAACTTGTAACTGACTTTCCTTGAAGCAACTGATACGTATTGACAATTCCTCGTTTAAAATGTTCATGCGTTCCTTGCATTGTCGTAACTTGGATTCTAGGGCTTCTCGATCTTCATCTAATTCTTCGATGTAACTTTATAGACAAATGAAAAGAAAGTTTATTTATGAAAAATATAATAAAGATATAATCATGGTAATCTACTAGCCTTAACAGCAAAATCTATTTCACACCAACACAGTAGAAGTCATATTGTGGGATTTCAAAGGTACATTTGGCAAGGGGAAATGGGTTTTGAAGTTCAACAACCCTTTAAGCACTTTTGACCACATTAGCCATGTCGAAAAAATATTTTTCTAAATCCTAATAACCCAACATGAATGAAACATATTTTAGCCTTTTCTATTTCAAAAAATTTTCCTTTGAGGCTTTAATGTACCTTTAAAATATTTGACATTGTTAAAAGTCTAAAATATAACTTTTCACATTTTTTATCCTTAATTATAAAAGCTGACTGAATTCAAGAGGTCCGAAACAGGTATTTAAAAAAAAAGGGTCATTAGGCAACTTTTTCAGCTGAAATTTTGGAAAAGGTTGGGGAAATAATTTTGGGGGAGAAGCAACCCGGAGAAGAAATTTTTGTTGACATTCCAAAAACGTTTTAGAAAACATTTACTGTTAACATTATTTTACCTTTCTTTTCCTTTCTTCTTCCCTTGCTTTTATAACATGAAATAATTCCCTCTCATAGAATCTAAACTTCTCTGTTTGTTTTCTGAAACCACATTAATAAATAAATCATCATACATATTCTATATGATAGCAGTTGTTACTTGATATAAATGTTTACCAATTGTGTTCATGAAAATTATATTAAGAAAGTCTGCTGCATCTAAAATGGACCATTTATTCACCATAGAAATGGTGCAGTGAATTCATACCATAATACTTCACTACTGATGTTTGATGCCTGACAAAATGTGTTCATATTTACCTCACATTTTCCTGTAGATTTAGAATAGGTGTTTTCTGATCTTCAACTCTTGATAACTGCAGCTGAAATCTCATACTCTGTAACTTTTCTGTAGCTTCCTGTGAAACATAGAATTTTATCACATAACATTTGTTTATTTTCAGTATCATACATGTATAGATATTTTCAAGCTATAACAACCATATACAAATGATTAACAATTGCTAATGATGGACAAATCACTTCTCAACAGGAATTGCATGGCTAAACCTGTTAATTGCAAAATATACCATTACCAATTAAAAGCTTCCTTTACACTTCTTGTACATGTATTTATAATGCATATGTCAATATGAATATTCTGAGTGAAAGTCAATGATATTATATTTTGGCATCATCTATATAACTTCCAATGGAATAAAAATGGTGTCAAAAAGAGATTTTACCATTTACATGTATTGCTGTTTTCTGGCTTTAAAAATATTGTATGATAAAAAGGATTTAACACAAAAACATATCCACTTACCCTTTTCTTCAACTCTACATGTAGTAAAAGATTGTTTACTATGTCTAAAATCATTGAATACTGTAACTGAAAGAGAGAGAATGTTCATTAAAATGATTTATTGGTCTGTTTGTTGTTGTTGTTTTTGTTTTTTTTTTCCATCAAATTCTGTTGTTTGAGATAGCAAGCTGAGTAAATTTAAACATATGAAATGTTTCCGACAATACCTACACTTAACACAATTCAAATTAAAAAAAAATTGAACTTAATGTAATTTAAAAATTCAATGTACTTAATTTACATTAAAAATTCAATGTACTTAATGTAATAAAAAATTCAACGTACTTAATGTAATTCAAAAATTCAATGTACTTAATGTAATTCAAAAATTCAATGTACTTAATGTAATTCAAAAATTCAATGAACTTAATGTAATTTAAAAATTCAATGAACGTACATTAAAAATTCAATGTACTTAATGTAATTCAAAAATTCAATGTACTTAATGTAATTCAAAAATTCAATGTACATTAAAAATTCAATGTACTTAATGAAATTCAATGAACTTCATGTAATTTAAAAATTCAATGAACTTAATGTACATTAAAAATTCAATGAACTTAATGTAATTCAAAAATTCAATGTACATTAAAAAATTCAATGTACTTAATGAAATTCAAAAATTCAATGAACTTAATGTAATTTAAAAATTCAATGAACTTAATGTACATTAAAAATTCAATGTACTTAATGTAATTTAAAAATTCAATGTACTTAATGTAATTCAAAATTACAATGAACATTAAAAAATTCAATATACTTAATGTAATTCAATGTACTTAATGTAATTCAAAAATTCAATGTACATTAAAAATTTAATGTACTTAATGTAATTTAAAAATTAAATGTATTTAATGTAATTTTAAAATTCAATGTACTTAATGAAATGTTACTGGCGAGCGTAAAATTGTTTCATTGAAAGAGTTCCATAAATCTAGTATTGAATCTACACAAATATAATATTCTTTTTATCACATATATAAAAAATTTAAGAACAGTTTACAATGAAAAAGTGTAATTTTTAATTGACGCGGCTATAATGTAATGCTAACATCAGCACGATTTAACACTACATTAATATATAATGCAAATGACGCTACTTCAAAGTGTTATTACACTAGAGTAATATTGGCGTTTTTTACTGGCTTTATTACACTCCGCCCCACGGTTTATGTGATAAATGACTTTATTACACTCTTGCACCATGGTAATATAAAATGTTATATAACTTACATGGTTAGTGACAACATTGAGATCATGATGTAACAGTGTAAATGTATCAACACCCTCGTCTCTCTGCATCATATCAGAATCATCAGACGGCTAGAAAAATTAGACAGAATAAACGGGTTAAAATAATCTACATAGATAATACTAGAAACATTATTGTAAATGTTCCAATAAAAAAGAGATAATATTCTTCAGCAAATAATAACTTTATTAGTCATAACTTATACAGTGGCTATTCATAAATATTGTTACGCCACTTGGAAAATTGCTTTGCAGGACTTGACATACAATGTATTTTTACTACTTCTAAAACATTTATTACTGTACCTCAATATATATGGACGAAATGGAAAGTAAATCAAACAGCTATTATCAATTTGTTCATATTTACAAATTTAAAAATTAATCAAAGCTAATTAAAACTTGTGCATACAGGTTAGTTGTTATTTACTCCTTGGTGTATCCCCTATTGACATATATGACAGATATTACTTCTGTAATTTAACCATATACTGTATTTTGACAATCAAAGTTTATATTATAAGTTATTAAGATTTTTGAAAGGTTATATGGCCCTATATTAATGGCTATTTGTGCAAGGGTTATATTGAAAACAACCATTTATATTTGGCCATATAACCTGTCAAGAATCTTTATATCAAATTTATAATACAGCAAACTTATACAACAAATTTGAGAAAATATTAAATTATTTCATAACTTGACAGCAGCTGGGTATATAGATTATATAAACGTTATGATTATCCAATGAAAAGCGACATTACAAATAAGCATCATTACAAAAATAAACTTACAGGAGGAGGAACTTCTTGTAATAAAGATGGATCAGCCTCACCATAGTTCACATAGAAAAACTGACATTTACATCTTGATATGATTCTCTGCATCTGAACTGTCTGGTTTTTCTGTAAATACAAGGTACCATTTTATACAGTTAAGTTCTACTGATTAGGTTACATATAATGGTGGCTGAAAACATAAATGGTGGCTGGCCATATAAACTGGTGGATGGCTGACTAATTAAAAAGTTGGCTGGCCACATAAAAAGGTGGCCTCTATTGTGAGATGGTCTTTATTAATGACTATTTTTGCACATAATTCAGTTTTCAGTTCTACAAAATTTATATAATTCGCATTATTTTGAAATATTCCAGTGGTCCTATCAACTGAACTTCATAGGGAATTCATAAAAGTAGCCTCACTTAGAATGTTGTTTTTGCCTTTAATGGTTTGACAGGGATAATCTTATGTGTCATACAAACCCAAGTTTTTCCCTTCCATACAACTACATGACATTCAATATATTGATACAGGTATTAAAATTACCTGTAACAGTATATGTGTACATTTATTTTTAACATCTATTACAGAATGTAACTTTGAAAAATTAAAACTGATTAAAAATAAATTTGAATAAAGGCATAAAATATAGCCTATCAATGCTGCCAAGAAGAAAACTATTATATTAATATTTCAATTGAATCAGAGTTTTATTTACATCGTTTCCACTGTAACTGATGTTGACAATTCCGCCCACACTGTGTCCGCTACCTGCCATTTCCTGCAGACTGGACAGATCAGGTTCTGCCCGGTCCTCGACATGAGTTTTTGATAACCAGGGTATATTTTCATCACTGAATTCATGACCTGGATCAACTGTTGCATAATACTAAAATTATACAAAATAACGTTTTTATACATTTCATAAAAATTAAAAATACATGTTTATACATTAACACAATTCATATCACAAGCAAGTTAAATCTAGCAATAGTCTATTCAAAGTCTAAGGTCAAGGTTTCAAAATAGCCTTTAATTATTGTGGGTTCAAACCCTTATATGGATATGTTATCTTCAAATTGACAGGATCATGGTATCTAGCTAACCTACAGACGGTTGTAAGTTCTCACCATTTAGAAAAACTATTCCATCAGAGGCACATTCAGTCATTTTCTTACAGAAAAGCTAGACAATTTCTGATCAATGCTAATAGTTGTGTAAATTTGAAACAAATCTTCTCAGACTATTCAAGTCATTGACAAAAACTATTTTTTTATTATTTTTGTTTACCTGCATACAATCTAAAGACCCGACCCAGGTATCCTTGCTTCGGAGCTGATTGTCCCGCACCCAGATAGGTGCATGATCGCAGGAGAGAATTTTTGCTTTGGCTGCAGCCACGATAACAAACCCTTGTGTCTCACAACCTTGTACTATAAGCTGACTGTTGTGAAGCTCAACTGAAAAACAAATACAGTAGAACTTCGGTAAGTCGAAGTTGATGGGACTTGCGTAAAAACTTCGACACATCGGGACTTCGACTCATGAATCGCTCTCAATTCCATGACAAAATTTCGACCCGTGACTAGTCTATAACGAAACCTATTTCATGTTTTTTCCATCATTAATCTGATATTCACATTTTACAATGATAAATATAGCATGTTAAATAACGTTTTTCACGGCTAATTATTTGGACTACCCGTTGACGTATACAATAGAGTTACAAAAGGCGTAACAATACGAAAGGGCGATAACATAACCAACTTATAGTATATATTTCGCGTGTTATTCTCACGCGACACCGGGTCAAGGATGTAATCAAATGAAAGTAGTTCTTACTGTTTACTTTCAAATACCACTACGGCAATTAAAATAGTAACGATTAAAGCATTTTATCACACATTTTATCGCAAACAAAGGCTGTTTGAACACACGGCTGTGTAATTAACACCTGTCACACAAGTTGATTGGAAATCGTCTTCGCAGCCAGATAAGGTGTGAAAAATGTCTCGAGATCGACGGTGTCAAAATAATCGAACAACTTCGACTTATTTGTGGTAAATTGCACTAGATTTACTTAACACGGACCACGAAAAAACCTCGACACATCGAAAAATTCGACACATAAAATCTCGACTCATAAATAGGTTTTTATAAGGAATATATAGGGGGAAAAGTCAGGACTTTAATTTTTCTTCGACACATCGAGAAAATCGACTTATCGAAGTTCGACTCATAGAAGTTCTACTGTATATTTTACATGAATTTGTTCCAAGGCATGTGTTTTGTCTATTCTTTTGGCTGTAAAATAATCATTATAGTAAACTGTCAGTGCACCTTACAATAAAATCAAGAGCTGTCTATGACATGCTTGACTATTCTCAGTGCTTGATAGTTAAAGAAGAGCCTTGATAATGTAGAAGTGCTTGATATTTAAACAAGAGTCTGGATAATGCAGAAATTTCTAAGTTCAACATGGGCCATAGTTCACTCAAAATAATGTTAGAGTTATGGGCTTATATATAATGGACCTCAAATTGTGCTCTTTAATAAGTGTGTGAAGTTTCAACCAATTCTGAAAAGAAACATAGAGAGCTGTGAAGACAAAGCAAGGAGTGAAAATTGCAGACAATCTATATAATAAAATTTATCTATCAACTGTATTTGTAAAAGCAAAATACATTTATCTAAGTCAACAGAATAAAGCAATATTCTGTCTTCATCGGTAAATGTGATTGAATCAACAAATGAGAAAATGAATGCAACACTGATATGAAATAGCAGGAATTAAATTCTATTTGAGCTAAAATTTCTAAATAGAAAATATGCTTACTCAGCCATTTTTTCTGTATGACATCATCAGTTTGACAGGCAGCCACGCCCTGTAGCTGGTCCATGTTTGTACTGGATGGCTGAAATAAAAACCAAATAACAATTTGACTCTAAATTATATATTTATATTTTCTACATCATCAAACATATACTGCATATTGATAAAAACGCTTCTTAAAATTAATATTTCATTCTGAGCTCAGAAAAGGTTATTTATAATATCATAATTAATCTACTGAATGAAGAACATCCATAAATAGTATGAGGAATTTTAAGTGTCAAAATTAAATAATTGAGAGGCAATGCAGTGTTTTGTCATACTGTATTGTTTGAGAGGCAATGCAGTGTTTTGTCATACTGCATTGTATGTTTTCTGTGTCTTGGCTGATTATAACACAATTTTTTGGTCATATCTTGGTGATCAATCCACCTGATCAACTTTCCTGGATAACTAACCAGTAATTGCCAATTCCTCTGCAAGTGACTGACAACTAATCCCAAATGATTTTTGGATCAGCAGTGAGATAGACTCAATATCCGGGACAGATTGTCACAGAAAAATTATGCCAGAGGATTTAACCAGCATTCACTGAATTGCTTATCTGATGCTCTCCCTATTGAGCTAGTGGGTGGACTCTACATAAACAGTATATTAAAAGTAAACCAGCGGAACCATGAGTGGTGAGTGGAGATGTGTATTTATATGCTTGTATGCAATGAAAAAATTAACTTTTAAGCACTTACCTCTTCAGTAAAGGCAACAGATTTACTGTCAGACTCGGCTACTAGTTTCAGGAGCATGGAGTGGGCGTGGCTGGTCTGCATCTTGGTTGAGGGACTGGGTGTGGCTACCTCTTGAGCATCTATTGATAAGTTTGAGCCTTTTATATTGGATTTCTGTTAATAGATATAACATAAATGTTAGAAATCTTTCTAATCTTTCTAAAACTTTGTTTTACAATTATAATGTTCCTTCCTCTAAACAATAAGATCAAACTAGGCTTCAATGCAAAATATGTTATTAATAGAAGACAAGAAGAAATTCCAATAGTTAAACTCAGCAAGATTGTATATTTCCATTATTGACATACAGTTATACATGTAAACCCCAGCATTTAGGTGAACAATTACACTGAGACATGAGTGATCAAGCCTGTCAATCTCACTTTCTGTTTTTTGTTGTTGTTTTTTTTCATAATACAAAATATCAAATCAAAATATACAATATTATGACCAATCTTATGACATGAATCGGAATAAAAAAATATTTTATAATTAAAAATATATACCAAGCCCACTCTAATCTGCTCACTGTATTGTCTGAAAAATAACTTACACTGCTTGAGGCATTTCCACTCCCCTCCACTTTAAACCCTTTCAGGGCCTCTGAGGACAAGTTACGCTTCAGTGACTGCGCCTTCATGTAACTGTCATACAGACCAATCAGAACTGTTCTATTCTGATTGTTCCAAGATCCCCTTAAATCATATACCTGTAAGTTGTGGATAGGAGTTTTCTGAAATAATTAAAATACAAAATTGTTTCAAACTTCCTTTCGGGCATTTATGTTGCTCATAAATGCGTAAAATAAAAATAATTTTCAGACTGCAAATTTAATTTCAGTATTCCAAATTCAAATCTAACTGAAAAAGTTAAAAAATATCTCCCCTTCAAATTTAAAATGTCACCCTGTAATTAAAAGTCAGCAGAATTTATAGAGAACATCTATGGGAGGTATACAGTTACATATTTTTTGGTTTAACCCAATCTCATGGCATACATTTTGTAGGGGATTTTTTTTTTTTAATTTCAAACTATTCCCTTTGGAGTTATAAATCCATTAACAACTATTTTTCTCATTATCAGAACATTCACATCATTTCTATAACTATTCCTGAGAGACAGTAATCTAAACTTCGGACCTTCTGTAAAATAGCTGAAAAGGCACTTCCTTCAAAAATTCAATTTCTCTTAAAATATTCAAACTCAGAGTAACAAATAAGGGTGGGTCAAAGTTTTATTAATACTTACACTTTCAGATTTATCTTCCTCCATTATCCCATCTGACTTCTTTGTAGCAGATCTTTGATATGATACTCTGTTTAAAGTAACAAAGTGATTACCACTTCTTTACATTGTTTTATAACTTTATAACTTTAAAGATATATTGTTACGTAAATATCAACTTTAAAGATATATTGTTACGTAAATATCAACTTTAAAGATATATTGTTACGTAAATATCAACTTTAAAGATATATTGTTACGTAAATATCAACTTTAAAGATATATTGTTACGTAAATATCAACTTTAAAGATATATTGTTAAATAAATATCAACTTTAAAGATATATTGTTAAATAAATATCAACTTTAAAGATATATTGTTTAATAAATATTAACTTTTAAGATACATGTTTAACTCTAAAGTAATGAAATAAGTTTTGCTCTCTTTTTCTTCAAGTAAGTGATCTTTCACAAAATAGAGAATATTATCATGCCCTATGACGTCAGATTTGATGTTAATAAGGCAAATGTTGTAAAGTGAACTACTTTTCTGCTAAATGTCAAAAATGAAAATTTTGGAAAATTTTATTGCTGTGTAGTACAGTAATGTATGGACGATCGTTCAAATGCTATGTAATTAATCAATCACACCTACTGTAAGTAATGATTATATATGTACATGTGTAACTGGGCATCAACTTTTACCATGCATCATTCTACAACAATGCACTCAAAACTAATACTTAAAAGGTACAACATTACAGTAAAAATAAGCAAAATCATGAGCTATAAGATACGCTTACTTACTTTGAGAGACTGAGAAAAAAGCTCGTCAACACAGGTCTTCCTGTAGTTGAAACATCCAACTAGAAAATTATATAAAAGTATTAATACTATGAATCATACAATGATGTACATCTATTTACATTTAAAAGCTGCTGTAACTACTACTGTATTTGCATCATAAATTACACCGACCTTTTAAATGATATATGACACTATTTTTGCTTTACTGGTGGAGAAAGATCAACACATCTCTACAAATACATACATGTGAACTTTTTTTCTATGATCAAGTGGGAGATTTTTCTTCAAAATGGGAGATTTTAGAATTTGCAATAAACAAAGAAGAAAGTTCTGACATCAAAAAAAGGGAGATTTTTTTAATTTGTGAAAATACTCCTGCAGAAAGTGGGAGTCTCTTATAAATACTTTAAAAACAATTCACCTCATCTTCGTGCCGCACTTGTGAGCTACACAGCCATATTTTTGTACCAGTCAAAATACAATTCAGGTATATAACACTCCAGTCAGCATCCGGTCTGTGAATCAGTCCATCATTTATTGGTCGTAGAGTTAACTCATTTTTTAACTCTAACATGAAAGAGTTTCCTTCCAAAGTTGTTCCATGTTGCATGGAGAATGACATCCAGTATGAGATATCAAACTGGTTAAAGTTCACAGACAGTTGAGCATATTTGTAATGGCGACTGAGCTGTGGTTTTCTTATTTTCAAATTCTGAAACACTTGCCCTCGTCTGATTGGTCGAGTTACATTTCCGAGGCACATCTACAGACATATAGGAAATATATGGTTACTTCTTAGACATGAATGTCATCCAAGTCCTTTGAGGCAGTCTTATAATATGCTATGCAAGGTTATTATGTTCAACTGACTTTAAAGTCATGAAAATGTAAAATGGCGACTATCTCTATTCTGCTGCAGGGGCACAATTAGGTTTGCAGCTGTGCATTGTTTTCAGACATGAGTGAGCTACTGCAGTTGAACCATCAACCGTCTGAACCATCAACCGTTTGACAGCTAGCCTGATAGCTTCTTAACATAGGGAAATTCAAATTCAGGTCAACAAAATTGCCACAGAGACCTCTAAGCTTAATACTGGATAATGTGGGTAAGAAGTGCAGTCCGTATTATAAGACAGTACTATTGCATTGATTTACTGGAAAATTAAGAGTGATACAAAATATTCTCAAATCTAGAATAAGACATTAATGCCAATATGTTATTGACAATACACTACATGCATTTGAACATCTATTTTCCATTAAACCACTCACTCAATGACATCCTAAATAGAAAGGAAGGCAATAGACTTTAAACTGTTATGTTAGAGAAAAACAATCAAACAAGAGAAACTTACCTTTATCTTATCAAGGAACTTTAAAGTACTTGCATAAAACTCAAACTCTGGATGATTAGAAGATTTTGATTTCTGTGTCTCCAATGTGATACTCAAGCTAAAATTCTGAGATCTGTGAAAAGAAATTCATGTAGTAAAAACAAATGAGCTGCATCATGACAAAACCAACTTAATGCGTTTGCAACCAGCATGGATCCAGACCAGCCTGCGCATCCACACAGTCTGATCAGGATCCATGCTGTTTGCTTGCAAACCCTATTACAAGCAGAGAAACTGATAGTGAACAGCATGGATCCTGATCAGACTGCGCAGATGCGCAGGCTGGTCTGGATCCATGCTGGTAGCAAACCCATTATGCTGGTTTTGTCATGACGCGGCTCAAATGCTGTAAATATGAAATGTTGCAAATACATGTACATTAGTGGTAATAATACTGTTTACATCTAGTTCTGCTCAACAGCTGTTAATGATAATAATCAAAGTGTAAAACTCAAAAAGCTTTTGTTATGAGTGATTGCTATTCTTCCTAATTTGGTTTGATTTTAAAATTATCGAGAGGTGTAAATAATACATGGCAAAATTTAATAAGATTTGCAAAATATAGTGCATCAATTTCCCTTTCACATACCTAAATGCCCTGAATGAGTCATGTTCCTCCAAGGAATAGTCTGGTACTTTATCTGGAGCACATGGCATCACCTGATGATGGTCATTGGGATCACCTAGACATAACCAGTCTATTTTTGCACTGAAATGATTAAAAAAATCAATATTATAACCTAGACAGAACCAGTCTATTTTATTATTATGACATGACATAAGAAAATTCCAGAATCATAATTCAGATGTAACCAGTTGTATAAAGAATATAGATCATAAAGAACGTTACATACTGTATGAGGAATGTATCATATTCTGAAAAAAGAACATAAACTATAAAGAACATAAATTATCAAGTACATATATTATGAAAAGCATCTAATATCATGACTATTTACTATAAATAATATTTGTATAAAGAACATAATCATAGTACAAACAACTTACTTAAACTGAAGATTTGGCAGTTTCAGTATTCTAGCATCATCATATTTAGAAGCTGTCCTCACATATATATCTAGGTCACCTTTTAGTAGAAAGTTCACTGAAATAATGAGATAACATTAACAAATTTGCCACCTTTTTCAAACTGATTAATTACTTTATTGGATCTAGAGTCACACCAATAGTTGAACACTGTAAATGTCAAAAAGTGACTTTCTGTAAACTGCTGATGTTCTGTAATCATGCTGGATAGGCAAATTTTCCAGTACAATAATCATATTTAGACATTTAGCTAATATTAACAATAGTGGCTATGAATGGCTGATATCAACCAAGTAAACCAGACCAAAAAATCAAGACTATATCAGCATTTTGTAATAAAATCATGCTGAAAGTAAATTCTTAAAAGGTGCTAGAGTTTACATTAAATTGTATAGGTCTCATTCTTTGAAAAGGTTAAATGTTAAGACTTCAAAAATATTAACAGTTAATGCTGCAAAAAGCATATAACCATTAAACTGCTAGAACCAAATGTGACTACCGGCAGCCTTTACCACTAGCATAGAGCCAGAACAGCACATCAATGAAGTCTGACCACGCTCTAAACTGAGCGCAACTCAATTTTTGTTTATTGATTTTGAAATCCCTTAAATCTTAGATGGACTGTTCCAAATTCAAAGCATGGGAAAATCCATTGCATTATTTCAGTAGGTAAAGGGTTAATGAAGAAACTGTATTTCTGCATCTCACAGCCTTTAAACAGTACAATTCAGAGAACTTATAACCAATTTCTGTAACATTTCTAAAGAGAGTTCTCTCTTTGTTGAATCATGAGGATTCAGCGTAACAGAAGTCTTCAAAATTGGTTTAATCATTTAAATGCTAAGTAGCAATAACCATTTTCCAGTGCTCAAGAGCTAAGACAGCTTGTCTTTACTGACATGAAAATATATGCCTGGAGTTGGAATATAAAGATTATATGCAGTCCCAATGTGACGACTCGAACACAGAGTGTGAAATTCAGGAATTTGATCTGTATGTGTTTGTATGCATTAGTCTAATGAAAATGACCATATTTTCATGGTGAAAATAAAGACCATTACTTACTATTGGTCCAGTCTAAAATTAGGTCAGTCCAGGTCCAGTCCATTATTTCTGTAGCATTGTACGGATCCAGTGAAGCATGATATAACCAGCTCATTCTCACCACAGTCATAGTCAGTCGACCGTGAAACAGCAGACGTGCCTTGTCCCACCATGGTAAAGGTCGACTGGGGTCAATTGATGGTTTGTTGATGAGGTCAAGGGCAAGGTTGAACTGAGCTACTACAGGTTCCCAGCATGCACCATGTGCCATTTCAAAGGAATCCACATCTGCAACAAATAGACAATGATAAGGAAAAAAAACAATTTCAAATGAATTTTTCTGCAACAATCAAAACAAACATACAATAATAAGTCTCCACAAAACAACATTAACTGCTGCAATAAAATGTATTTTACATTTTTTTTTCACATAGTGCATAACAGTAACAGAAATTAGGTTTTATGTCATTTTATTTCCCTCTGACTTGGTCAGAATTTAGCTTCATTAAGATTACCTTGCTGGTATTCTCACCTATTTCAGACGCAAACCAGAATGCACATGAAATGAATTTGTATTAACTCTTAGCCTGCTAATGGCAAATAAATCCATTTAGCCATCTGAACTGCTTGTTATTCAGTCAGAACTTATTTTAAGATTTTCCCTAAAAATGTTGAATAGTTTTGTCCAGATAAAAAGATGGACAAGTCCATTTAAGATGTTAAGTGTGGTAAAGGTTAAGAAAACAAGTGTCAATGAAAACCTCTATTTCCATGCCCCCAAAAATTGACAGACTTACATGTATAAACTGCAAAAATTGTCACACAATTCATTTAACAAAGAGCTTTTTCAGAGCAAAAAAAAATATTTTTCTTAATAACAATTTAAGCAAAAAATATTAGAATTGATGTATTTTCTGAAGTTTCAACGTACCAGCGCTAAAGTCATGGAAGAACTTGAGTGCCGGGAGATTTCTCTGTACTGTTTGATCACCCCAAGGCTGTGCTACTTCTACTGTACATGAACGTTTAGCTGCAATTATTAAAGGCAATAAGTAACAGGTAAATATTTACCTATACAGACTTCATAAACATCAGTATTTGATTAAGTTATTCATTAATAAATAATACAGTAAAATCTCTACATAGTTGTTTGGTAATAACCTCTCTGCAAGAGTGACAATTTTTCCAAAAGTTTGACTTCACAATAACTTTAGCCCCTCTTAAGAGTAATATGTCTCAAGAGCAACTAAAATCAGTGTCTCCAAATGGGAGTTGCTCTAAAATGGTTGTACTAAACACATAGATAAACATTCAAGATTGCAGAGCAATATCTCAAAGCAGTATTGAATATGTAGGTTGAACAAAATTTGGTCCAGATATTCGTGCAGACACTCCACTGCCTACATACAAACAAGTATGATAACTCTCACCATTCTTCAAATATCACTTAAAGTCACTACTGCACACTTTCATCATTCTTCGTGCAAAATTAATAGTAACTTAAGTTTTGACTACTACCTGTCTGTCAACAAAGCTAAAAATTTTAATAATCAGAAACTGGAAATCATTGAAGAAATTGTTCAATATTTTAAACAATATTTCAACCAATATTTATGCTGGATAAGAAATCAAAAAATAGTTATCATAACTACTTTACTATAGATTGTTCTTAAGCTAACACTGAATGATATTTAGTCTATAATCATATTCACATCATTAATTTATACCTCTTTTAGCCCCTTCTATCTCTGCGCCAATCAATCGCCCCCACAATGCCATATCTGCTACATCAAGGGCTAGCTGAGGAAAGTCTCGGAACTTTATAGTCCATGATTTAACATTTACATTTATATACCTGCACCATAGTGTGGAGTACTCCACTGGTTCTTCTGGATATGGACTGAAAAAGAAAACATTAATGACTTTCTAGCAGCATATTAGGGAAAAAAAATAGAGAAAATACAACTTGAGAGAAGCTGGAGTTCAAAGCAAAAAACAAAGACGTCTGACAATAGGTCTAACCATAATAAGTGAAAAAAAAATCCATCTCATCAATACATTACAATGAATTAAATTTCATCATTCATAAATGATACTTGCCACATAAGACAACCTTATTTAATCATATATTCCTAGCAATATAACCATTGCTTATAATTTAACACCATGCAAAACAATCTAATTATTACATATACTGTAACATCATGTTAAACAGTCTAACTTATCAGATACATATCTTTTTTTTTAATTCTAAGTAATATCAACACTATTTAAGTAATGTGGAGACTTTTCATCTTTACTGGTTCCCAAAGACCTCCAGTGCCCCTTTGTGTATTATTTCTAGCATGAGCAGGCTCCTGAGTAGAATCACTGAAATTCTACCAGCTAGCTGGATAGCTATCAGCTACAAATGATCATCATTGTACTAGCAAACATTTACTCAATGTTGAACAAATGTGTAAATTTCTATTAGATACAGAGAATATTTGTTAGTTTCAATGTAAATCTCAATACATGTATATTTCACCATGCAAACATCATATGAGATCTATTGATTCCTTCTTACCTAATACAATGTAATTTTAATACACAGTAACTTAATTAACTTTAGTACTTGTTTTTGTCTGGCTTATGCGGTGATTTCAAAATTTTCAACACATTTTGTTTTTCTGGTTTATAGGGATTTCAAATTTTCAACACATAATTGGTTATATCTCTGCTGTAAGTCCACCGCACTTACTTTCCTGGTTAACTAACCAGTAACTACTGATTTCTCCGCAAGTAACCAACTGCTTACTTAGTAACGTAACAATTTTAACATTTCCTCACTGAATAATCTTAATACTCAGTAATATCATACATTATAATCAATTAATTTTAAAACCTGTCTTTATCAATCTCTTTCATATGGGTAATCACATTGTCTTTTCCGTGTATGGATGTATCAGCCATGGCCGTTATTTCGAGGTTTTCCATACTCCAGGTAAACAGTTTGGTACGTAGCGGAGTGATCTGGTACAACTGACGGGATCTCTGTATGTATATGTCACTGCTACTCTTCGCAAGAGAAGCGTACACTTCGTCTATCTTATGTGCTGAAATGTGAACAAAAGATTGTTTAAACGATTATGTTACTTTTAAATTAAACATACATATACTTCACTTGCAAGTCTGAGTTTGGACAGTAGACAAACCATTTACATGTTACTAGATTTAAACCTGAAATCTTTTTATTTTAGGCTTATCTAATATCAATAAAATGTTGAATTTCATTGATGCATGAAATAGCAATATCAGGGCCATTACATGGAAGTAGAATCACTGTTGCTTGGTCATACATCAAAAACAAGTTAAAAAGTTTGTGATAATGAAAATATTTTGTTGAGTTTAAAGTCAAACAAACACTGTCATGTCATATGGTGTATTCCCAACTTTAATTGAATAAGACCTCAACTGTCCATTTGAGCATCATTTCAGGAACATGCAGGCACTTGAGTGGAACCACTGATCTTCCGAGAGCTAAATAGTTAGCTTCCAACTGACTTGTGTGATTGTTCAATATAACTTTTTTTTTTATATAATTTCATGTGCATAAAGCATTGGGTATCAGTTTTTATGGGAAATTTTGACATTTTATATGTGGCATGTCAGATACAGAAGTCTCACTTGCATGATACTTTGTCTAATAAAAACTCTACATAATTTTCTTTTTGTTAAATAACTAACATAATTACCTGGTATGATTCCATAGCCTTTCTTTAAATTTTGAACTTTCTGGTCCAGCACTGTACGTCTTTTTTCACTTTCCATGTATTCATCTTTCATCAGTTCATAGTTGTCACCAAGTTTAACTTCAAACGGATCATCTCCTATCTCTAACTTAAATGTCTGAAACCACAAACAACATCCCATTTCATTCATTGAAGAATCTTGTTTTTCCTTTTTTTCTTTGCAAGACAATTTTTCTTTGAGGGCGGAGGGACAGTGAAAGTTGTAATTTAAGTCAAACCAACACTATTAAAGTCTCTTAAAACAAAACTTACTAGCTAAGAATCATGCAATATTTCAGACATGACTTGGAACCTGAGCAGAAAAACACTGTCAAAGAGATAAAATTAAATATCCCCCTAGTGGGATTTATACCCAAAGTGAAAAGGAGCAAATGAGTCAGAGACCTGCTTCACCACAAAATGTATGGGCCATTTATAAGTATTTTTATGTGGGTTCGATCCCCTGGAGATGCTTCGGTAGTTAAGCCCGGAGGAAGGCAGTCTAGTACTGGTGTAATTCTCCAGGAACAATGGTACCTGCCTGTATGACTGAAATACTGTTGGGCAAAGGCGTAAAATGAAACAAACAAACAAACAAATTATATAAGTGTACATTTCACTGACTGTATCAATAAAAGGGGTTAGCCCATAATAATGTTGTATTTTTATGAAAAACTGAATATTGTGTGTACACTAAAACAATATAAAACTAAATCAATGTTGACCATTATTGTGTTACCTTTACTCTAATATCCAAATCTGGAGGTAGTTTGCTGTCAACTGTAAATGCCTTCTTTTTAACTTTATGTACAAGTTTGAGCCATTTTTGAAAATTAACAAACTGAAAATAACAAATACATACATTATGTTTATTTAAGACAGATTAAATGACAAGTATTTATGTTACGGTATGTATTACAGAAAAGTTATGATCTGCAAACATTACAAAATTAAAAGCAACCAAAAGTCAGTTTTCTCCATATTAATAACATATCAATACTAACTTTCACCATATTCCAATAATTGTTTTTATATATTCCAATGAATTTTCAGCACTATTACTTAAATAACCACTTATGACCATTTCAATATTGACATTTTTTAAAGAAGCCAACATGTGTCCTACATTAAACATAAACACAGCAGATATAAGGTAACACAGACAGATGATTCAATCATTATATGTCTCCTTTCACAGGCACGTATAATATGAGCCGCGTCACGACAAAACCAACATAATGGGTTTGCGCATGCACAGGCTGGTCTGGATCCATGCTGGTCGCAAACCCATTATGTTGGTTTTGTCGTGACGTGGCTCATATGTGTGTGTGTTTGGGTTTGTTTACCCTCGCCTTCAGAAAAATGACCATATGGGTGAGAAATGACAGTTAACAATCAAATACATACCTCTTCAAAGCAAGCAGCAAAGTCAAAGTTGAATGGAAACACAATGGATAATAGATCAACAGAAACCCTCCTGAATATATATATATGAACATTTATAAGTTAGAATGTTCATGCTTTATTTGGTTTTATCAATACATCCATGCTTATTAACTAAATTTTCAAATATGTATCTCATTCTTAATGATGGAATAGAAACATTGCAGATTACAGTTTAAATATGACAGTAAATTGCCAAACTATTAAACAATATTGATATATCTAAAGGCACTATAACTGTCAACTAATATAATTTTGAAAGGTTTAATGGCCCAGTATAAATGCTTGTAAGCTAATATAACCTAACAGTAACCAGTAAAAAGTTATACAGTAAATAACCTGTAATATATAAACTGTCAAAAGCATTTATAGATTTTTTTGTACTTACCATAGTCTATTTGTTTTCAAAGTCAAAGTTTTAAAGAATTTTCTTTCCTCTTTAAGTGTATGATCATGAAGGCTATCAATAACCACACGCTGGAATAAAAATAATATACATGTATATTAAAACCAACAACATTTCCAGAAAACTTTAAAAAAAAAATATTTCCCTAACTTATGTTTGTATAATACTATAAGATTGTCCTGTCTGGTACCATGTCTATGATGATACTAAGTAAATCAAAATGTACTTATTACCATATTTAGTGCCACTTATAAACTTTAAGACTAACCAATGGAAGTAGGTGTTACTGTCTTAAATAATTTACTTAAACTTTGTTGCCATGTGTCCTGAAAGCAATGATTTAATCACAATATAATGAATTGATACTAAACAGATAAATAATAATAATACAGTAAAACTTGTATTAAGAGACCACACAAATTGTTGCTGAATACAACAGTCTCTTTAAACAAAGCATGAGAAAAAGTTCAAATTTATTCTTATCTTTTCTTTGTGGCAGGGGAGTTTTTCCAGTTCATTTCTATAAATGTATAACAATTATTCATCTCATAATCTAAATAGCTGCTAAAATTTTCTGAAATGGGTCACATAAGACAAAAGTCACTTAATACACATGGTCACATGGGCAATTAGACTGTAATAATAAAGGTAAGTTATTAATACTATCTAGTCTACCATATTGCCCAAAACTACAGTACAAGCCAGAACCATCCTCAATACTGTTTAGCAAACAAGATTCAATGATGTTAAAATATAAGGAGGAATGAATATAGTTAAAAATTAAGTAAGTTAAGAGTCATACCTCAAAGGTAAAAACTTTTTCTTCATCACAGAATATGTTTAATGTTGGTAGTTCTGCCACAATCTCATGTGGAGAGAGGGCCAGTAGAACTTTATCTCCTATTAGTGTTACACTGAAATATAAATATATATTACAATATGATTTAAATGTATTTTTGTTGAGCCGTCCTTTTAGGTCAATAGATAGAGTGTTGGACTGTGAATAGGGCAACTCAGGTTTGATTACCTGACAGTGGAGGTCAATATCAGGATCATGATGAAGACTGTAAAATTATTCAAATCACTTTTACAAGTCTGTCTACTGATTTGCCCAATACTGGTATCACATGTCAACATTGTAAATGCCCCATCAAAGCCATGATCTCGAAGTTAACCTTCCAATACTTAACTACAAGACCAGCTTTACTGGTGGAGGAAGACCGAAGGTGCTCTTCCAGGCACAAACAGGCATCTGAGTAGAAACACAGACCCATGAAGGGCATGTGGTTTGAAGTCAACGACCTAAGCTATTCAGCCCTTGATGATTAAGTAACTCAGTCAAAATGATTATATAGTGCCTTGATTTTAAACTAAATGTGTCTGTATTTCTTACCATCCTTTACTGGTTTTAGATTATCATTATTGTTTAATAGGTTTACATAATTAATGTTGTACATTATCTCTTATATATATATGATTATGTTTTATCGGATTTATGTAAAGCACTCTTGAACATTTATTATTTATGAAAAGAGTGCTATAGAAATGTGGTATATAATAATAATAATAATAATAGTGAAGACTTTAATTTGACTACTTAACTACTTTTATTAACATGTATACAACACACATTATGTGATATTTTACAATATGGCTATAGGCATTATACTAATTTTGGTACTAAATAGGTTTGTTTGATGAAAACTATGACCCTTTAACCACTCTGGAGTAGTTGTACACAGCTTGCTGATATCCACTAATTAAAGAGCTAGTATCTTCTTTCAAAAACTTGGTTAAAAAGTTATATAACAATAGAATAGAATGGCCTAATCTCACCCAGCATAATAGTCTTACCTGTGATTTGACGACAGGTGTAACTTGACCGTGAGTTGTGTCATTACCATGACATTAACAGACATTCCGACATTTTCCTCGACAGAAGCTTTCCTCACAGGAATGTTTGGTTCCTGGCCAACAACTTCACCTCCTAGTAAAATCATTAACAAAACAACTACAAGTTGGAATCATGATACATCAGGCACAAATATGTTAACTCTTAACTTGTTGATTTTTTGGTATTAAATGGCTACAATTAGAACAGTCCATTCATAGTTTTAGTGATTTTAATAACTAAATACAATAGTTAGACTAACCACATTAAACAACCTGGTCCGAAAGCATGTGCAGACTGGCCTGTCTCTATACTGAAAGTTTAATCACTTATTATTCCAGGAAGATAAAGGTTGAAATAAAAAACCAACATATTTTTAATTTTTTTTATATCTTCTAAAGTCACATTGATCATATATATAAATTTAGAATGTGTTGCCAGTCACATTTTTCTTATAAAAGACCATATAGGTGCTCTAATATATTCATCATTACAGACATAGGTAGATCCAATTATAATAACATAGCCGATACCAGGGTAAGTAGGTTAGCCAACTACTTTCGAATAGTCAAGCTGAAAAACAACGTGGTGTCAAAAAAAACCTTCAAATTTTGATTATTTTGAGAATAAAAACTTACTTATTTTGTTATTCATCTCTTTCACATCCTCTATTGCCTGTATTATACACATGTGACATGATGTCGACCAATCAAAATATAGCTTTTTAAATAACTGAATATTAAATGTCTTCTCCTTGACATTACAATTCATTTTGATGTCTTCAAGGTTTGCAACTGGGTGATCCAGCTCACAAGATCTTGCAATGGGTGTAAACTGAAGAAGAAAAGGTAGAACAAATGTAATATTTATACCATACAGTACATGTTTTTTATTATAGCATGAAATTACATCTATAATGTAATAACAAAATGTTTTTGTGTTAAACATACATGCCCCCGAAGTCATAAAACTTATGATGAGGGTTATTCAGAAACAAAGTCAAACAGACAATGGTTGGACTGATGGACATATGGTTAAAATACTGTAAGCCAAAAAAGACCACAGATGGACAGATGGTTTAAGTACTGTTAGCAAAACAGACAATAGATGGACAGATGGTTTAAGTACCATAAGCGAAACAGACAATAGATGGACAGATGGTTTAAGTACTGTTAGCTAAACAGACATTAGATAGACAGATGGACAAATAGTTTAAATAACAAATAGTTTAAATACTGTATGCCTAAAAGACAATGATGGAAAAAAGGTTCTGTCAGACAAAAAGACAAATAATTGAAATAATGAAAGTCAAAAAGAGATGGATGGACAGATGTATATCATTCAAATATTGAAACCCCACAAAAAAGGAAGGATTGATAGATAGACAAATTGTTCAAATACTGTACAAAAGCATAAAAGACAATGGACAGACAGTGGACAATGGTACAAATACTGTACTGGACAATGATACAAATACTGTAATGCATAAATGGTACAAATACTGTAAGCCAAAAAGACAATGAACAAAATTAATGGATACTGTAAGCAGAGCTGCATCAGTACTAAGGGTGTAGTACTTAAGTACCAGTACCAGTACTTGGCAAATTATGCAGTACCATTACCAGTACCAGTACTAGATTTTAGCTCGGTACTGCAGTACCAGTACTTTTTTTGGTGAAGTAATTAAGTATCAGTACCATTACTTTTATATATTCATCAAAGTTTGAATAAATACAGTGTCAAACAAATAATAGCAAATATTATTCAGCAAAGAAATAAAATCATTATTTACTTTAAAGCTGCATGCCTCCAGATGACCCAAAATATTTCAAGAAAATTAAACTTGGAAAAAAATTACTAAAACTTTGAGAAAAGTAAACAAATTAAAGATTCAAGTGATAAATTATATCCTATGTGCAATTAATGACTGTATTTTGTAGTATTTATCACCATATTTCTACTGCGTTACTAACGCAGTAGGGGCTATTTATGCATGTTTTGACTTTTTTTGGTAATTTACATGGACTTTAAGTGCCGATTGTAAGGTGTCAAGTACTTTCTTTGTTCATTTATTTAAATACATTTTCAAAATTTTCATGAAAATTAGGATGAATCTGGAGGCGTGCTGCTTTAAAGTTAACATAACAGATTTACAACTTTATAGTTTTAACATACTTTTTACAAACAATATTTACAACATATATTCATGTCATATCTAATTGTTTAGTAACCAGTCAACTGTATAAATACAATGGAAACATCTTTCATTTAAAACACAACAGTCTTTTGTTGCCTTTCACACCTTCACACCTCTGTTCAATTTAAACCAAAGTAAATAACAACTTTTTATGGTGCTAACAATATCACTTTTTTAACTTGAAATGGGATTTTTTAGAATAGAAGAAATTAATAAGTGTTTATTTTGCTCTTTTACTAATAAATACAAAGTAATAAAAGATTTTAATAAGGATATTTTAGGGTAAAGAGTGAAATTAAAAGAGTTATTGAGTCTGTTTATCTTAATTTAATTTTTACTTAAAGTCTTTGGTGCTTTTTATGATGAATACTATGTTAACATTTGAAGGAATATTGCAGCAAATTATCTTTAGATTTGATAACTTACTTTTTCACAAAAATAAAATATAGTTAATGTATTTTACAGCTTTATTTTATGAGAAAAATTGATGTTATTTTTAATTTCAAAACCAAAAGTACTGGGTAATGCAGTAGCAGTACCACTTTTTAAGACAGTAATGCAGTACCAGTACCAGTAGTAGCAAAATTTTGTAAGAGTAATTCAGTATCAGTACCAGTACTTGCAAAATCGCTGCAGTACGTACTGCAGTACCAGTACCAGTACCAGTAATGCAGCTCTGACTGTAAGCAAAGAAGACCATACCTTATCAGTAATGTGCATGTACTTCAGTTTTGTCCCTTCTATAGTTATCTCAAGATTTTGTCTGTACAGAACACCTGCTGAATCTATCCGCAACATTAAACCAACTGAAATACAAATGAATTCACTTAAGAATGATAACAAACATGCAGATATGTACAGAAAACTTCATCATGCATAAAAAACTTGAGTTTTTTATTGTTGCTGCAAAAGAATCATTGCCTTACCAAGTTCTGATAAAAATACTGTTATTCAAATTATTCAAGTATCCTTTAAATGACAGTAAATACACATCAGGCTATTTCTTATGCACAGTAAGGTCTATTATGAATTAAGATGCTACATGCAGGTGCAGTATAGTTTAGTTTAGGAAAGCTACAAGTAAATTGAGAATTTAAGTTACATTTAAGTTGAATTTAAATTGTTTAGGAGAGCTACATATCAATTTGAATCTAACTTTACCTACCATTATAATTATTGCACATGAAAATGTTTGTATTGGTGATATCAAATTTTAACAACAATGATAAAGTTGTCTCCCTTCTGTTGTGTTCGAAGTGAACTTGTCTGTTTCTCTTGCGCACAGGTCTCAAAGCTGCATTCGAGATCCTCCTAGGGGCAGATAACTTTGCCTTGGACAGTGTCAGAAGAAGGGAGGTAATTATGCTAATTGTACTGGATGACCACTCTATATGTAAATGATCTTCCATCCCTTGTACACGTAACTCGTCCCCAAGTTTGTTTATCTGAAATATATAAATTAAAGAAGATTAACTGTTAAAACAGTACACAGAGCTTGGGATTCATACTTATTTGTATAAAAGAGTGCATAAAAATGTTTACCATATGTTTAAATATCATAATTTTAGCCATACTTACAAACATACTTTCTACACAGAAACCCAAAAAATCATTTAAATATTCAGAAATACTCAGTTAGTAACAGTGGTAGAAATATTGACAATTTATTATATAAACATTTTTTTTTCTTGTTTCACTGTGTCACTTAGATAAACAAAATCTTTTTTTTCTTCATACATTGAGCCCTATTAAGCCTTCCAATGTATAGGATGGGAACTAAACTTATAAATTTCACTGTTTCAAACGTGTGATGTGACTCTGTTTCAAAGTTGCAGTCAATGATTTAAAACAATAACATCTAGGTTAAGTCTGCCATGTTTGTAGGTGGAGTTATGTATGCAAATTAGCACATGTTCAGATAACCACAGTGTGTGCAGGAATGTTAGGGAAGTACTATACCTTTATCATAAGTATGTTCATATAGAGAACATGATTCCAGAAATGTTTGTTTCCATTCAGTTCTGATACAGGTATCTGGGCTTCTGATTGTGTACAATATAGCGTGTCTAACTCCATCTCTACTGACATGTCATGTGACTCTAACCATGGCAACCAGCCACTCTCTGAAAATTTATAATAATTGTGCATGTTTTATAGCTGTGATAATAAAACGCTAATAACCTATCAAATAGGGGTGCCAAACATAATCAAACAAATATTGATATATTGCAATAAATACAATCTTATTGCAATACAGATTGCAATATGTTGATTTTTTTAAAGCCTATAAAACTATTGCTGCTTATTTACATATTGTTAAAAGCTCCACAAAAAAATTAAATTCTGAAAACAGTGTTTAAACAGTGCTTATCTTTTTCAAATTTATAAAGAATATAAGAACTTTAGTAACTGTATACTTCCTTAATGATAAAACCTCTTCAAGTTCTTCCAATTGATTAAAACTTCAAAACATAAAATTTTAATTATTGTGTCCACAGTTTCCTTATACATTTTCTCACAGGGAGTGAAAATTTATTGCTAGGTATATCATGCTTTCTTCTTTATTTGTGTACCGCACTAAACACATGAGTCATGTTAGAATTTAATCAAATAAAAGAAGCCCTTGCAAAGTGTATCATCTCACCTATTTCATGTACACTTCTCTTCAGCATAAAATGTTTCCTGACTCGTGACACGCCGAGGACCAGCCCGGGACAAGATGCTGTAGAAAATGATGTGGATATGTTCAATAATTCTGTGTCAATCGTTAACTTCCTCTCCTGTAATAGCTTTGATAGTCTACTGTAAAATAAATCCATAGACTGTGTGAAAAGACTATTTTTGAGATCATTTCAATTTGGGTGGAAATGTGTGGAAATATAAGTTCCTTGTTTTCAGTGAATTTAATTTTGATAACTGCTCTGCTATTCTTTTATCTTTTCTTATGGCCTTGACCTTTGAAAGGTAAAAAAAAATCTATTTTTAGCCTCGGTGACCATGACTTTTGCCAAAATCAAACTAAAACACTAATAAAGGGTAAAGGTCTATTAGAGGTCCATTATAGGTACCAACAAATCTAATATCTAACATCAGTCATTACGAGCAATTTTTACTACTAATGTAATACTTTTTTTTCATCTCTTTTTTTAAATATTAACAAATGTTGACACCATTTCACAATTACAAAGATAAAACACACTCATTATTGTACACTTTTGTATCATTGTCCCCTTGATTTGGGTTAAATAAATGTAATTTTGTTGTTGTTGTTATTGTTGATAGTAACTTGGTGTGACAAAACGGATGAGGAACAAAATAGCAACATTGTGCAGCTGCTACACCCCAAAATTTTGGTCATCGTAACAAGTAATGTCAGAGAGGGCCATAAAAAGTTTTAAAACAATCTGACAGGAGTTGTGTCCCTTACCTTTCATCATTCTCCTTATTCTCAACTGGAGACAACTCTGAGTTGACTGTTTGATTATCTTTTCCTTGTGAGAATTGAGCCATGACTAACATCCAGTACTGGACTTCGTCATGATGATAGTGAAAGTAGGCATTCTGTATCAATGTTTTCATCTTTATTTCTTCATTTGACATCTAAATAAAGTTAACATAATCCTATGTAAAAAGTTAAATAATAATAATGATCAAATTAAAAACAGTCACATCAACAAAAACCCTATCATTGTTTTATACACCATGTCAGAACTGTAAAGATTAAATACCAGTATCATTTTTATTGTAAACTCTTTTGTTATTGTCCTTGTGATTTGGCTTTTACACTTAACATACTAAACAGACTTGCCTATCTTTCAATCTGTATAAATGTATAACAATTGCTGACTTTTTTGGGGAATATTTGTACTAAGAGCAAACTGTGCAGGGCACAGATGTGCCAACAAAGCTCAGCCGCACTGGTCGCATTGGTAGAATCTCTTGCTGACAGTATTCTTGTAAACTTGCATGCAACAAGCTGAACAAAAGGCCTGATGTTTATTTGTAAATTAGTATAATGATGCGAAATTTGTATGATGATGAAAATACAGTTTAAATATAGTTATATCTGTATATAGATAATTTACATATAAACATCCCTTACCATGGATTTGACTTCTAGTTTTAACAGATCAGCAAATCTTGCTTGTTGAGATTTTGTACTAAAATCTGAAAACAATGCCAAATATTTATGATTTACAGGCATTATAATCCAAAAAAAAGTTTCATAAATGTTTTAAGAACAAAAAGACAAATTTTGATGTATATGCTACCCTTGCTTCCATTTCAGTTTCTCATAAAAAAATGAATAAAAACTGGGACAAAATTTAATCGAACAAACATTTTCCGACTAGATAAAGAGGTCTTATGTTGGTGTCTAAATGACAGATAATTAATCAATCAGCTTAGTGTTTAAAATCATATATTACTTATATGACATTTCAGTTTTGAAACTGAGTATAAATGTTTAAGTATAAACAAGTGGAAAAATGCTGAAATGTGAATTTTGATTCTGATCTTTTATCCTTGTACAGTCAAACTTGTATTAAGCGACCGCGCAAGGGAAACACCCAAAACAGTCGCTTAATGAAACGGTCTCTTAAGACAAAGCATGATTAAAAGTCAAAATTTATACATGACATCTTTCTTTTGCGGTGGGAATGTTTTTCAACTTCACTTATATAAATGTTTAATAATTAGAACGCTCCGATAATCTAAATGGATGCTAATGACGTAATGTAAAAAAATAACTTTCAGATAATTATATACAAATCAGTTTTGATCCATTACGTCGTACATGTTTGACATTTTTCCAGAATTTTTAAACTTCTCCGTTGTATTTCCTTGTCTCCAACACGAAAACCCTGATAAGTGAAGCTTTTTCTGTTGTGCATTTTTCATTTGAAATCAACAAACTACATCTGATTGTAACGATAAATTTAATTTCTGATCAAGTTCAAGGTCAATGCAATGAGGTCTAAATATCAACAGCTAAGCGTATAAACCATCTGAGTAGGGGCGGAGTGTTGCATTGTTTTATCGATATTATTGGATAATACACGTCACACGTATACTTACCTTTATTTGCATTCACTATAACGGTTTGGCATAGTTTTTCACACGTTTATATATTGTGTTTTGATTGTCGACACTTATGCCATTACGAGGCGGCGTTCTCTAAAAACACAATTACTTGACAGGTAAAAGTGATTGTTTAATAAAAAGATTGATCTCAATAAGCTGACTAATTAGTGGTTGTTGGTCGCGTTGAGCAAAAGTCGCTTAATACATTAAAGATATAGAGAGAAAATGAACGGGGGGAATTGAAAGTGGCCGCATAAGACAAAAGTCGCTTAATACATGTGGTCGCATGGGCAAGTTAGACTTATACACGCGACCTGGAGTTTAAATGCTATTAATAGTAACATCATTTATATCTTCTGTTTTGGAGAGCACCCACTATTTTTTTTTACCTTCTAAAAGAAGAGTGCAGGTAATTTCATGAGAGTTGTCTTCATTTGTTTGGTTAATCATATCTACATGGAAATTCTTTATTCCAACGCCAAGTGACCTGAAAGAAAATAACATTTAGCAAAAATTATTCAAATGAATTATTAACTACCTACAATCTAATGTGAAATAATTATCCATCATCACAAAGGATAGACAAAAGAAAACGGCCATCTGAAACTAAAAATGTGTCTGTAGGACACGGACGTCCCCACATTTAACTGTTTTGACGGTCTATGGACAGACAGTGTGACAGCAGGATGGACAAATAATAATTTCAGTGAGCAAATGTTGTATATGCAAATACTGAGAAATGGCTATGTGAATTTTTGTGTGTGCTATTTTAATGGTTTGATATTTTATATAATTTTTCTTAAAGTCACGTTAAAAGTCACTCTACAGATCATAATTATGATAAATTTTAAACTTTACTGGTGGATGATCAAATATAAGCCAGCACAACTTAAGAGCAACTTAATCTTCAGTAAGCTGGCTAGATAGTTTTCTCCCCCAAATGAAAGATGAAAGTCCCTGGATGATTCAAATCAACAGCAGTCATAAGTTCAAAAGTAAGTGATTTATCAAAAATACTTATCTTTGAAATATTATTACCAAAATCACTTTTTTTTTTCAAGAGAAAATACAGTTATCGTAAATTTGGAAACACATAATACATGTACATATATAAACAAACCTCTGTTTAGTTTCTCGTACAATTTTTATATCCACTTCAGTGATATCAACACCAAGTTCTTGAGGTAAAATCTCCTTCAAGTTATACTCCGGTTTTGATGTAGATGTATCTGCTCCTGGAAATATATAAAAACCTATCCTTACATAATATGAAACTTTTAAAGGGGCTCCACTGAACTCCAAAAGCCTAAAACATAAAACAGGCACCATCATATATCTGTAAAATTATACCAAAAGTGGTATTTCTCCTACCAATACAAACCTAAAAGACTTAATCAATGAGCCCTATCATGCCTAGTAATAAATTGTGAAAAAAACATCTGGGGTTTTCCTTCTCTGGATGTTTTCTTTATGTTTTGTGCAACAGTGTTTTTGTGATTTAAAATAAATCAAAAACGAAAAAATAAATATGAAAGATCTGTTTAAATAGTTAAAACTAAACGTCTGTTTTTATTCTGATAAAGCACTGCACCAGTAAACTCAATCAACAGGAGCATTTATAATTCTGCATTTTTTACAAACCTGGCTGCTGTTGTTGCTGCTGCTGTTGCTGTTGTGGTGGAGAAGATTTATTTTCCTGCAGATTATAGGCCCCCGATAGTAATCCTAGTAAAACAAAATATATACATGTATTTCAGATATAATAATAATCATGTTTTAATTTCCTAAAAATTTGCTTTAAAAAAATAGTATTCCAATCATATAACAAAAGGCCCACTATGCCTCAGAAAGGCTGTAATTTTTTATCTCTCAAAACCCTCTTATATTTGGTATCTTGTTACAGTTTCAAAACAATACTCATTTGCCACATAGATGCACAATCTTTTGCTTTCTTTGCTCTGTTGGTAATTTGTATAATTATAATGAATAAGTATTTTGAATGGAAGTCAAACTACTATTTTGTTTACATTTTGCTACCTTTATGACATAATACTTCACATTCAGGGCTACTTTCTTCAGTTGTAAAACATCTTGCATGCTCTAAATGCATTATTTAAACATCATTAAACACATGTTTGAAATTTCTAAATATGGATTTCTGAAGCATAATGTGCCTAGGTATAACTTTGAAACCAAAATTTAGGGGGATAAATAATTTGATACTGGCTTCCAATACTGTTTGAAATATCTGGCATGACTATAATGAGTGTAACTGTTTATGACATTAATGAAGTTCCCACTCAACAGTTACCCGAGAGACAGACATTCCTATCTGTGGCCAAAGCCTTTGATTCTTTTGCCTAAGACAAAGACGCCATGACAGTCCAATGATTTGTCAGTCTAAGGACAAAGAGTGTGATAGCAGGGTTACTTGATGAGGGTAATTCTATATGCCCCCCTCGACACCTAAGTTGGGACATACAAAAACACCAGAATAACACAAGACTTATCATACACAGGAGTGAATGATGAAATGTTCCAGAAACAGTCACAACACTAGAAAATCAAGTCTTACATGCAAGAAATCATTGACCTTACCTTCTGTTAGCATCACTTGTGGTTTATTTATCAGTAATCTTGATCCCTGAAATACAGTTATAGATAATTAGTGGTAAAACTGCAAATTTTGTTTTTTTTATGAAAACAATAGTGCACCTCCGGTAAACATACAGTGATAAAGTATAAATGGAAGACTTTTACACATTAACAATTATATATGAGGTAATAAATCATTGATTTATGTAAGAAAAAAATTTATAGCTCTCAAAGTGTGGTTTTTTTTTTTTTTTGTTTTTTTTTGGGGGGGGGGGGGGGGGGGGTTTGGGTTGGTGTAAGGTCACACCAACACAGCAAAGGTCATATATGGTGACTTCCAGCTTAACTGGTGGAACAAGACCTCAGGTGCCACTCCATGCATTATGTCAGGCACAAACATCCACCTGAGTAGAACCAATGATGTTCAATAAACTAGCTGAATAGCTTCTTTCAAAGTCCCTGGTGTGATTCGAACCTAAAGTGGTGAGGGACAAGTGATTTGAAGTAAACAATCTTTACCTGTCAAAGTGATAACCCTATATATTTAACAAAGTTAAAAAGGGGCATTGCTCCATAAACACAGCTGTCAGAATAATGTCCCTTGTCTTACAACTAAGCCTTATGATAATCCAAGTATTCTGAGTTTCATGTTGATACCTTGTAAAGGGTTCGAGTAATGTGCTACATTTTAGCATGGTGACAACAATGGTGTTGACACTGCAGATTTCATAATAGCTTGACTTTTCCTTCAAAACAAATAAACAAAATAATGACCAAGCATTACTGTAACACAAAATTTAACTTTTGATTTTTTTTCTGTCCTAAACAACAGCTTACCTTGACTCTTTTAATATTGTCTCTATATACACTGAGATCAACATACAAGCTGAACGACATTTCTGCCAGATGCTGACCTTCTGCCTCCGCATTTGTCTAAAAAAACAAAATATTTTTTTTGCTCTTTTAACCTTTATTGTGCTCAATTTGTATAATGGACTAGCCCTGCTTTGAATTTGGAACAGTCCATTAGCAGGTTAAAGTGATTTAGTATCAAAGTACTTCAAATGAGCAGACGACAGTAAACAGACAGGTCACATGTACAGATATTATGCTGGTGAATCAGGCAAGTTCACCAGGTTATGCACTGCATATGCTGGTGAATCAGGCAAGTTCACCAGGTTATGCACTGCATATGCTGGTGAATCAGGCAAGTTCACCAGGTTATGCACTGCATGGTTAAATCTATATTTCTGATTGCCAGTGGGTGATGATCAACAAATTTATGCCAGAAATAGAGCCATGCTTGCTTCCATAAATGTAAGGAATACTACTTGTACCCATAAGGTTAGGGCACTTATTATATAAATACCATGTTTAATTTAAACATATTTCATTTTGATTGTCATGATTTAACTGTAATACCATTATGTTTTGACCCTGACAAGGCTATACTCAAAATCTCCTTGTAAGTAAACTACTAAAAAATATTTAAAAAAAAAAGTTTACAAGCAAGAGCTTTAAGACATGGAAATTCCTTGTGCCTGATGGCATATCAAGAGCCTTGCACAAAAATTGAGTACAATACCCAACTATTTATAAAATCAATAAAAAGTACAATAAAATATTGCTTGCACAAGACTTGCAATCATAATAAATAACAATTCAAACACATTCAGACAAAACAAGAAATCATTTCTGAGCTTACCTGAGAAACACTTTTCAAGGCCTTACTGTTTACACTTCCAGCATTGATAATAAACTGCAAACTAAAAATATAATATTCAAATTTAATCTTTCATGTATTTGTAATAAATTTATCAAATGTGAGAAATATGAAAGGCATTGTTTACTTTCTAATGACATTATATGACTTTTATACCAAATTGTTTGTGGTTGTTCTTTTTTTTTATCTCAATATGCATAATTATAATTAGAGTTTATTGTCATTGTAAGTCAACTGATATAAGACAGAGTATAATGTCTATAATTATCAAGCCAGTTTCAAGTTTATGAGGCACTTTTCCCTAAATAAACATGACAACCTCTGATGTATTTTCCTTTTAATACCTATCTGACCAAAACACACCCATTACCAAGACTCTTTATCGTTCAATAAATATATTTCAAATGCATTAGATTAACCAAACTACATGAAATGTTTAAATTTCTGAAACTTCCCTCAACCATTCTGTCCCTAACATTAATTATAATATTCCTAAGCCTATTTAATTTCTCCCCAATCTGTTACAAATGCATTGCTACAATGTATGTTCAAATCATAAATCCTTGCCTTCAAGAACATGTTTAGAATTTTATGATTAATTTCTTTTAAACTACTGCATCTAAAGATTTATTTTATATGAACCTGGTTCATTTCCTTAACATACCTGTCCTCAATGCATGAGATATCTAGACCAAGTTCATTTCCCTCAATATGAATAAGACAGTCTGCTACCATTGTCTTTAACAGCATTACTGTCAAGCTCTGAATCTTTAAACCAAAGTGCTGAAAGAAAGAAAATAATTTAATCTCTGACCCAAAATGCTGCAAGTAACAAATCTTTTAATCTCTAACCAAAAGTGCCTGACAGTGACAAAATGAAAATCCTTTCTTTATCAATCGCGAATGTCTAAAGGTTTAACATTTAACAATCTTATATTATCTAGCCTAATATTAAGTATTAAATGGTGAAAAAGAAGCAAATAGTTAATAAATCTAACTTGGAGGTATGCAGCAAATTTTGGAAGAGCAAATTGTTTTGATGGTACACTTGAGGGATGAGGAGCTGTCTTCTTTTTTCTGTCATGTGACCCATCTGTGTTGGCCTGAATCCTGACCTCTCCCATACACAACACAACTGGCTGCCTGCAAGTGAAAACATAAACCTTTACATAACAAGAGGGCCATGATGGCCCTGAGGTCGCTCACCTGTATATAGGACCCCCCCACCCCGGGCCAATTTTTACCCAAGGGCTTTTATTTGTTTATTTGAACAGACTTGGTAGACACCCATAAGAAGATGTTTCATGCTAAACATCTAAGTTCTAGCTCATTGGGTTTTTTAAAAGAAGATTTTTAAAGTTTTTACTATACACATATAGTAAAAAACAATGACACCCCTGGGGCAGGGCCACTTTTGACCCCCGGGCTTTTATTTGAACAAACTTTGTAGATATTTACTTAAAGATGTTTCATGCTTAATATCTTAACTCTAGCTATTTGGGTTTTTTCAAAGAAGATTTTTAAGTTTTTGCTATACACTTATAAGGAAAATCAATGACCCCCCCCCCCCGGGCGAGGCCAGTTTTGACCCCAGGGCTTTTATTTGAACATACTTGGTAGACACCCATTAGAACATGTTTCATGCTAAATATCTTAGCTCTAGCTCTTTGAGTTCTTTAAAAGAAGATTTTTTAAGTTTTTACTATATGCATATAGGGAAAATCAATGACCCCCTGGGGCGGGGCCAATTTTGACCCAAGGGCTTTTATTTGAACAAACTTGGTAGACACTCATTAGAAGATGTTTCATGCTAAATATCTTAGCTCTAGCTCTTTGGGTTCTTTAAAAGAAGATTTTTTAAGTTTTTACTATATGCATATAGGGAAAATCTATGACCCCCTGGGGCGGGGTCAATTTTGACCCCAGGGCTTTTATTTGAACAAACTTGGTAGACATTCACTAGAAGATGTTTCATGCCAAATATCTAAGCTCTAGCTCTTACGGTTCTTTAAAAGAAGATTTTTTAAGTTTTTACTATATGCATATAGGGAAAATCAATGACCCCCGGGGCGGGGCCAATTTTGACCCTTGGGCTTTTATTTGAACAAACTTGGTAGACACTCATTAGAACATGTTTCATGCTAAATATCTTAGCTCTAGCTCTTTGAGTTCTTTAAAAGAAGATTTTTTAAGTTTTTACTATATGCATATAGGGAAAATCAATGACCCCCTGGGGCGGGGCCAATTTTGACCCCAGGGCTTTTATTTGAACAAACTTGGTAGACACTCATTAGAAGATGTTTCATGCTAAATATCTTAGCTCTAGCTCTTTGGGTTCTTTAAAAGAAGATTTTTTAAGTTTTTACTATATGCATATAGGGAAAATGAATGACCCCCTTGGGCGGGGCCAATTTTGACCGCAGGGCTTTTATTTGAACAAACTTGGTAGACATTCACTAGAAGATGTTTCATGCCAAATATCTAAGCTCTAGCTCTTACGGTTCTTTAAAAGAAGATTTTTTAAGTTTTTACTATATGCATATAGGGAAAATCAATGACCCCCTGGGGCGGGGCCAATTTTGACCCTAAGGCTTTTATTTGAACAAACTTGGTAGACACTCACTAGAAGATGTTTCATGCCAAATATCTTAGCTCTAGCACTTTGGGTTCTTTAAAAGAAGATTTTTTAAGTTTTTACTATATGCATATAGGGAAAATCAATGACCCCCTGGGGCGGGGCCAATTTTGACCCCAGGGCTTTTATTTGAACAAACTTGGTAGACACTCACTAGAAGATGTTTCATGCCAAATATCTAAGCTCTAGCTCTTAGGGTTGTTTAAAAGAAGATATTTAAAGATTTTTCTTTCAGTTGCCATGGCAACCAGAGTTCTGCATGGAATTAAATTCTTTGAACAATTTTTAAAGGTGACCACCAAAGGAACATTCCTGTGAAGTTTGGATGAAATTGGCTCAGTGGTTTATGAGGAGATGTCATTTAAAGCAAAAGTTTACAGACGGACGACGGACGGACGACGGACGGACGGACGCCGGACGAAAAGCGATCACAAAAGCTCACCCTGTCACTTTGTGACAGGTGAGCTAAAAACAGATCACAAGAGTGTAACAAATTGAAAGTGTTTCAAAGAAACTGTATCCCCCACCTCATCCACACCCAAGAGCAGAAGAAAATAGCTTCCAGTTGTAGTGTAAATTATTAAAACATTTATTAACCCTCAGTTTACTTAATTTCTATAATGAACTAGTCTTGCTATGACTTTGGATCAGTCCATCTATTTTCTTTTGTTGGGTTTAACATTGCACAAAAGATGATTAGTAGAAAGAATTTCAATACAGAGACTGGTCCGTTCAAAAAGATGTAGGAGAAAGCCTGGATCTATTTCTAGTGCAAGTTTGTAATATTATTGCCACTGGCAATCAAAAATCAAAAAGACAGATTTGATTTTCCCCTAAAATATATTCAGTGCACTAAAACCTGATAAATTCATTGATTGCATACACCAAGTTGTATATCGGGTTTCTCCCTCAATTTAGAATATTGTAGGCAGTTTACTTCCTCCTTCACAATTAACATTATTGTTATCAGGTTAACAATCAGATATCATTTTGCCAAATTGTTTGTACTACCAGGCACAGACACTGTCACAAGTTATCTTTTTGTTTTCTTTGAGAAAGAGAATCTTTTTCATCTCTTAAGATTTGTTACAATATCATTCAAGCAATAGTCAACAATTCTTTTCATGGCAAGGGTTTCTTTGTGGACTAAGTCTGATATCCATTTAATGCAAGCCAATGGTATATCAATGTGTCTATAAAGTGATCTTCCTGTAACATAATTCTATAAAGAGGGGCATAGCCCTCACTACTTTAAGCTCAAATAAATGCCTAGATATATATCAGCAGTGATTTTTCAGTGACATTATAAAGTTGTGTTTATTACAAGCTAATTTAAGAACTAGTTGTCTCATGATAAAGTTGGGCATACTGCTTCATGAACAAATTACTGCATGCCTATATATAATGTAATGAGAGATTTATCAGTAATACGTCAATATAAAGATGGATATTGTGCACCCTGCTTCAAACTGATATACTGTTATATTGTTGCCATATAAATGAAAGATTGTTAAAGAAGAAAATAAGTTCTAGTAAAATGTTGATCATCAGAAAATTTAGCAAAATTTCAAATTTCTTTAGTATAATATCATCTTAACATTTAAAGTTTATTGCTTCTGAATTGTGTAAATGATATGCACTGCTTTGGATTTGCAACTGTATCTGTATCTGGTGTCAGTGCTAGCACCAATACTTATTAGCCTTTGCCACCAGTATAGAAGTTAGAACCAGGTCAGTCTGCACAGTCATGCAGTATGACTTGGCTCTAAACTGTTGGTAGCACAATTTTTGAATTTTGATATTCAAATAACTTTAACTTTGAATGGAATGTTCCAGATTCAAAGCAGGGTAATCCATAACAAAAAAATCATCATCGATTTTGATACTGAAATTTAAAATATAAGCAGACAACAGAGTGAGGGGAGACTCCCAGGGCCTAATGGCTGACATGGCTCTATACAAGTAACAATAACACAGACATTGAACTGTCATTTTTTTCACTAACATTCTCACCCTGGATCTGCTAAACTTCTTAAAATGGACATGTCTATCTTCTATTTTTGGAAATGTCCATTTTTATCAAAGTTGGGGACATCAATATAAAAGAGCCTTGGCAGACTGCATGGATATACAGACTGGCCTGGCTCTATATTGTTGGCAAAGGCTATTCACTTTCAGTTCCAGCAGTGTAAGGGCATAACATGAGCCTTACTGATGTGTTACAGGTGGACAATTAAGAAAAGGGACATAACTCTTTTAAAAGGTAACTCAGAGTTATGGGACCTATGCTCATCATGTTTTATAATTACAGAAAACAAGTGTGACAGTGTGAAGTTTCAACCCATTCCCTTTATTAGTTTTTTTGGAGATACCAAGGCAACTTGAATGCAAAAACTTAACCAAATTTAAGTGTGACAGCGACACCAACGCGAGATCAATAGCTCTCCCTATTTTTCAAATAATAAAGGTAAAAAATATACTTACCTAATTTCCTCATTGACATAACAGCTAGATAACCAAACCTTGTCAATTTCCTGTAATACATGTATATTGAAAACTTTATTTATCTGGCATATGTGACTATAAAACTAAAAACACAAAACATTGAATTTGTCACCTTTTTGCAGTAACAAATAAACTCCTTATATAATTTAATAAGAGTTAACCCATTACTGCACTAAGGTGACAAATTGTTAATTGATTATTCACTTTAACAGAGACATATAATACTAATGGTTTATAGTGTCTCTGACTTAAATAATTAAAGATTTCTAATCCTTGTCTTGTTTGTCATTTTACGCCTTTTCCCAACAGTATTTCAGTCATATAGGCGGGTAGTTTCCTAACCATCATCCTGGAGAGTTACACCAGTACTAGACTACCTTCCTCCGTGCTAAACTACCAAAGCATCTCCCGGGGATCAAACCCACGCCAGAGAGGTAACCGGATTAGAAGTCATCGACTCTAACCCCTCGACCACGGAGGCGGTATTTCTAATCCATTAGATACATTGATATACCTCAATCTTTCACACATTTACTGAACAGCAACGTCTTTAAATAAAGCAACATTTATTCCTCACTGATATGTATTGCAAATGGGCAGATAATGGTGGCCTCTTCAAATAACAAATTGAATAATTATTTCAATACCACTCTAAAAGAAAAAAACTTAACAGTTTATACATGTTTTTAGAATTGTAGAATTATTTTTAAATATTAATATGTCTATGTGTATGCGATGATAAATCAACTTCATAGGAAACAAAATTTAACAGAGAAATTAATTACCACTTGTAGACCTTCCCTTATTGTGATGTGAATATTGTGAAAGGCTCCAAAACCTGTACGAGCAATTCTGACAAGTATACCGGTCTTTCTTTTGATGACAAATTGAAGAATCAAGGCCAGGACCCTACAAAAATAGCAAGAATATAAAATAATTATGTAACATGCTCAAGCTCTTGCATCCAAATGGATGCATAAAATATAAAATGCTAGCTTAACAAATCTTGCTTAATAATATAACAAGAGTCAAAACCCTTGCAGTACATAATTTTTTGTTATATATACATGAGTAAGATAAAGTAAGAGTAAAACACTTAATTACATGTACGACTAGTTTAGCACATCTAGTACATTAAAGCAGTAGAGAGAAATCAGTCAAACACCATGAATTATTGATTGGACCCCCTTTAAGCCTAACTAAAGAAGATTTGGCCCATTTAACTTTTATTTTCTACTGTCTGACCATTGGTTTGCGCGTTAAAAAAAATATGGATGTCTTTTTGACAAACTTGTCAAAATTGAAAGTGGAGTAAATCCATGCATGCAAAATATCTTCATGATAATGTCATTTACCAGACTTTCACACACGAAAGTGTCCTTTGAATATCAAGCTAGATCTCTGGTTTCATTTAAAGAAACAGTTAAAAAATCTTATTGCTGAAATATATAAATTCATCTGCATGTCAGACCATTTGGTATTGCTGCTTTGCAATATTCAAGTTCAACAAATTATCATTGATTGAAATAATTTACGAGGCAATTAGACAAGAAAAATATACAACATTCTAATGATTTTTACTTGATCAATAATAAGTTATAAGAATCTGTATGCTTAACTTTTAAAAAATCTTACTATCATTTTCATGTTCAATGTGTTACTATTTTTAGAAACGGTTTCAATAATTTTGAGATTGTCCCCAGGTACGGAAACAAGCAATGTCAGATTGTCATACCTCATTGAGAGCCATAGACCAACAATGATGTAAAGAATGGTCCATATTATCGACGGAATATACATATCTGTTATATCAAATGGAATAAACAGTGTCAGAAAAATAAATAGCTGGAAACGTTTGGAATTTCCACCCACTGCAAGCACCTAGCTGCCACCATGATCATGATTAGTAGGTCAATGTTCATGTGACCTGAGTTGACCAATCAGATTCGGCTTCCCTTGCCGCCTTGTTGTTCCCAGAAGTCGCCATCATTGTCGCCATATTATGGTGGTTTTTAACAATTAATGGAAGAAATTAAAATTACAGGCTAGCTTGTGCTACTGAAGGGTTGTAGAGGTAAAGTTCGGTGCTTTGGTGAAAGATAATGGATTAAAGATGAGCGGGCCGACTCCTACCGGCAACAGTTGCACGCTAGAAGACTGTTACACAAATATTTTTGCCCTGGTCGGTATTTTTCAAAACCTTTCATGAATTTCATAATTTTCTATTGTTATATGATATGTTTATGGTACAGTTTGTAGATAAGTAGTATATAAGCCATTTGATATAGTTGGCAACCAGTGTATATGCGTTTTATGTTAATCAGACATCACGGTGTTGATATTTCAAAAAAAGTTTGTAGTGTGAACTGAGGTTGACCTCGTTTTGGTGCACACATGTGTTGCTGTCAATTGTTTAGAGCAGTGACATATATTTTTTGCACTTTCACAGATTATGTATTGAAGGTTATGTTGCATACATAAGTAGCAGTCCATAAGGTTGAAATTGAAAATGACAGCAGCATAATCAGGATATAATAATTTATTATTATGATAATTTGTTTTAGATTTAGTAATTTACAGAACAAGTTTTGATTATGTAGGAAGGGAAAAATGTTTGTTTATCACTAGGTAGTCAGTAATGTTTACTTTTGTATAAATTGGCAGTATTTCCTACAAATTTGATGAATGAAATATATGTACTACAGATCTGTACCGAAGAGTCTAAAATAAAATATCCATGTGTGCTTTCCCCATAATAGTCTACATCATATAACTACATGTGTTCATTGGAAGAAACAAAAAATTTAAATTTAGGAAAAAAGTAGACACAGGAATGTTTCCAACAAAAAAACACATCAAAACATTTAGACTTAAGGGTCCCAAGCTAAATATAATATATGTATCTTTACATCATGAACTTTTGCTCTGTTAACAGCACACTTAACTTTGTTATTTTGTATAAGATGTTATTTGATTTTCATGTAAACTTGCACAGAAGAATGATTCCTTAATACATATTGACATTGAGTTTATGCCCTAAAGGGCACTTGAAAAAGTTGAATCGAAATAAAATTTATTCCTTTCTAATTTCTTATCATCAGAAGTTTAATGTGACACTTACGGGTAACATGAAAACTAGAATTCTTTTACCAATTCAACATCAGATAACTAGTCTATGGTGCTGAGGTTCTTGTGTAGTTATTCATTGGGTTGCCATTTGAACTTAAATATTTATTGGGACAAGTCAATGTGCATATTTATGGCTTAAATGAGTTTTTGTTTTGGATTGGTGCCCAAGAGTTTTTGTTGTACATAACTTTCAAAGTAATGGCAAAAGTAACTACATTGCTTCTCTTATTAATTTATGATGACAAAGTTCTTACACCTTTATATATGTTGGTTCGGATGAGTCAAAGAAAGGAGGGGCATGACTGCATCATGTTGATAAGTTCTGCAAAGTAAAAAAATCAGCCACAAATGTAGTGTCATTAGGTTTACTTTACATATTAGAATTGGAATAGTGGTAAAAAATTAAATGTGAATCATATGTAATATATACAATTCAGTACAGGGTAATGCACCTCTGATAATCTTTCTTTTAGTGATTTATTTTTCATGATACCCAAGTACTGGCAACAACCATGATTGAGCCAGTGGTTTGGGTTCCTTAATCTTTATTTTATAAGATATGTAGGTACTAAGGTAATCACTTGTCATTGGATTAAATGCATGAAATAATTCAGTTGGGAAAGGAAAGAAAATCACATCACATTTTTGGAAACTTTGTACCTCTAGTATTTATATCTTACTATCCCTTTCTTTTCAGACGGACATTTGTGGGATTAAATGGCGGAAGTTGTGTATAGATCCGTTGCAGACCCACATTGATCCACTTGAGGACCCAGTGTTGAGTTCATATGCAAAATGTCTTAAAGAAGATATACTCTGTGTATGGAGAAGAGTGGCAAAACATTCAGAGTCCAGACCAACTGATATTTCATTTGGAAAGGAACTGTGGATATTCTGGTATGGGGATAGACCCTCTGTATTGGATAGTATCTTGTCACCAGACTTGAAAGGTAAGATTCAATTGTCATTTTGTATTATGTAGAACTTTAATATTTTTATATTTTATAATTTAGATAACCCCCGATAATGACTATAGTTTAAAATCTTGTTAAACCATTTTATGATTCATTCAAGGGACAACATTTGCTTGTATGTGCAATTTACTGAAATAATATTGTTTTCAGAATGATTTATTTTGCAATTGTTAAGCATAGGCATATGAACACTATCTGTTTAGGATGAGTATAATTGAGATCATATTTTAAGTAGAAACTGGTAACAGAGATGAACATCAAACTATGTCTTGAGAAGTTAAGAGGGAAATAAATACATTTTAATGATTTTACCAGCATTAGGGTAGGGGGATTATACCTGGAACTTTAAGGGGCTTGTCTTTATAGTAAGTAACAGCTCTCTGGCAATATGACATTGATCAGAGATTGGTTCAAATAGCTTTGGTCATCAAAGGATATTTGGTGCATGTTAAGGTTTACCAAGCCTTATGCTTAAAGTAATAAAAAAAGTGTGGAGTAAAATAAAATTGCTGCAGTACCACAAGACCTGGTAAACAGTGTCCTTTGATATTTAATGATATTTAATTGTCATTAGCAAGGGGGGGGGGGGTAGTGTCAAAATCAAGAATGGCTAGTTTGAAATGAAATAAAAGAAGCTGAACAACTTTCACTTACAAACTTTTTGATTGGCCTCACTAAAGGTTGGCAAATAACATTCTTGGAAAAAAAATTTAAGCATATTCTCAAAAACTTCAGCCTCTTTAATTATTTAGCCACTTTAATTATTCTTTATTTCTGTAAGTTCCAATCCCGTCAGAGACTTAGTTAGGATTCAAACATGTGGAAGATATACAGCTAGCTAAATAATGGTGGGACACACACGTTAAAAAAACATTGAAAAAAGGATAAATTATTACATTGTTTATAAGTTTTGGTGAAAGTAAGCAGAGTAAAAACAAAGTAATAATTGCACTTTTTGTACTGCAGTCTGCCAAAAATAGGCAAAGCCTAAGTTAGATTGTAATGTATAATATTTAATGTAATATATATGTATAAAAGCTTTATTTAAGATTGATTAAAATAACAAATAAGCAATGATGAGACCTCAGTCTCACTGTAGTCAACTATATTTTCTATAAGGCCATAGAAAATTAATCTTTAGACTCTCATCCAAGTTCAAGAAATAATTGGGGCGGGTGGGTGGAATTTATAATTTATTTTATCCATCACTTTTAAGACCTGGAAAAAAAACAGAAATGTATGAATATATTGATGAACGTCGCATCATTTCCACCCAGATTTTGATCAAAACTAAACCCAAACCAATCACAAACAGTTTTCTTGTTTACTTCATCATATATTTCACATATGACGAACATTTTGACAATTTTACTGATCGAAAACAAACGTATTTAAAATCTTGATCACTAGACGCTGTAAACCTCAGTCTGATTTTTATGTGTTCGTCCCGCCCCTCCTGCGAATATTCAACCACGATTTTCGGACGAATTTTCGTCCACAGACGTCTGCGACATGCAGGGTTCCCGCTGTTGATCGCCAATGGCTTCAAATGCGACAAAATATTAATTCTGGCGCATAAAATCTTTAATTTGCGAATTTAACTGGCGCTAACGTAAGATAAAAGCATCCGACAACTAGTACACTTAAATGTCATAAGCGGCCGCGTCAATTACATAAGCGGCCCAAATGTGAAAGGTCACGCACTATTAGTTTGTTTATCAAACTGTATAATCGGGTACCGTATAATCAATTATCAATTGTGTGACACTTCGCAGGGTTGTCATTAAGAGGCGGCAGGAGGCCAAAATGCCTGTCTCAAATGCATTATGGGCCGCCTCAAAATTAAGAAAACACTCTTTGTTATGCATGATAAAGACAGAAATGACCGCCTCAAATTCAAAACAAACCTTCTTCAGAAAATGTTAATGACAACCCTGACTTCGGGAACATGTGAAGATGAAACTAATTTTGACCCAGAGGGAACCCTGGAAATGAAAAAATTTTTTTTTTATGAAAATAAATTATTTTGGGGCGGAAAGATTTTGATACGGGCGGGCGGGGATGAGAGTCTAAAAATTAATTTTCTGTGGCCTAACTGTAAGTCAAGAGGTACATTTTTAAGGTTTATGCAAAAACTGTCTCCAAGGGATACAGCTAAATACTGTTTACCAGGTTTATTCTTGATGTACAGTTCTAGATCATTATTTTCCATCTTAAAAAAGCAGGTATGTTTATTAGCGTTATCATTTAACAAAGTGTCCTTTGTAGGCAAATTTACACTATTGTTTTCATAGCCATTTATGATTAATTACTTTGCATGAGACGATCCATCACATCAATTTATTGTTAAATACTTTGTCGTGACATAACCATTACATCAGGGAGTAATCCTAGCAGTTTAAAAGTTATGTCATTAATTACCATTCAATTAAATATTGGCATGTTGTTTTAATCCTGCATGCTGACAGCTTTCAAAATATACTGGTAATGTCCAATGTGCCTGATGTATTTTGTAAATACTGAACACAACATCTTTTGTAGTACAGCTACTGAGCTAGAGCTTTCAGATATTGACACAATATGGTTATGAATATAATACAATGTCTTGAGAGCTTAAATTGTTGACCTCTTATGCAGGTCATATTATTAAAATGTAACCATATATTTGGACAGCACAGCACTATCATATAGTATTGATAGTATAATTTTGATTTAATTGTATTTTATATGTTAATGAAAGTAATTCATTATGAACTTCCCACCCTTGATTTAATACCATGGATGTTCACCAAAACAAAAAAAAAGGTACAGGTAGTACTATCCTTTAACGAACCATAACTTAACTTTATTCAACAGCTGGAAATAGTTGCTGTAAATAACCAACATACTTGTTTAAGGGGGTGTTTTCCATAAATTATGATAAAATAGTGATATTATTTATTTTATGCAAAAAACCACAGTGCAGGAGTATTCGCCAAAGTCAGTTGAAGACTGGCAGTGTTAAAAAAGACAAACAAATCAGAATCGGTATAGGATTTCTTTTTGGCAATATAATTATTATACTGTTTGTTAACTGTATAAATAGCATGAACGATTGATGCCCCAACAAATAAAGGGCCCTCTCACCTGACTTGTAAACAGTGGACTGAATTTCAGATTATTTCTTAAGATAACAAGGGTATGAAATTGTTTGGTATTGATTTTTTAAATCAGATTTTTAAGTCCGATGAATGAAGAGTTTACACTGAATCAGTAGTTAAAGTTTAACAATAGCAAGTGACTTTTTCATTTGATAAAGTGAAAAGATGGATAACTAAGATATTTTATGTGTGAAAGTTTATACTGCAAAAACTGTAGCAGTTTTATTGGGGGGTTTTTGTTGAAAGTTTGGTTGTTTTCAAACAAAAAATTTCCTTATTACATACAGGGCTTTCATTTGATAAATCACATCCACTGATTTCAGATTCCCCGAGTTATTTTAGAGATTATATATAAAGTACTTTCTATGATCTGAAGTGAAAGAAAGGGTCATAGATAATTTAACAGTTGTTAAATGAAAAAGTTTTCTGATAATATAAATTTATATTATTCATGAACATTTTCCTGATGTTTTTCACCCAAGGTTTTTAATGAAATTTAAATTCAATTTAAATTGAATTGTGAGAACATAATTATTAATATTTTGTATAAAGTTTGGAATGGGACCCCTTGTACCCATCATACAAGGCAATAAAAATGCTGATACAGTATTGCAGTGTTTTTTTTCACTTTTGGGGGAAGGGGGTCGGTGCCCATTGGAGGGGGAAAAATGCAATAGGAAGGGGATTTTTATACGGATCTAAAATATTGATGTGTCACATGATAAACTTGTTGGGATACCAGGAGTAGCTCCCCTTACCTATATGAAAAACCTTGCTTAACAGTAAGTCTTACAGGCATAAAATAAAGCATTTTTCTGCAGCAAGTTGCAAAAAAATGATATTCATTGCAGGCAGATTTGGGCTGCCATATTATAGGGGGAAATTTCAGCTTTGAGGGGGGGAAAAAACATACTATTTTGAGGGGGGAATAGGGAGAATTTCGCCAAATATTTTGGTGAAAAAAACACTGTATTGAGATCTAGGTATTAAGGTCTAGTATAATGCCTGATATTTAGTGCATGTTGCATAACTTTGGTAATAGTCTGTTTCATCAACAGAGGTTGAAAGATTATGAACATCAAGAGCAGAGATTTTTCTCCTTTCTGTACCACTGAAAATTTGAAAATTTCGGGCATAAATGTAAAATATACAAGAATAACCAGTGTCTACATCAACATTTTGATTTCAGGATACTTCTAGGAATGTTACATGTATAGGTGCCACACTTCACCATTCTATACATTTCAAGTAATTGGTCTTCAAAGATTCATGTTATGATAGATTGTTACACATCAAATACACCAATTGACACATCAAACACATATGGTTGCATCATGCATTAATCTGGCAATAGACTAGACCTGTTCATTTAGGCTACTGTAATAAAACAAATATTTGATTGGAGTGGCAAACATTCTACCTTTATAAAGGGGGTAAAAAGAACTACTTTGTAATTCTTTTATCTTACAAAATAAGCAGGAAGAGTTAAAACTTTGATATTTTCCCTTGCATGATAAAGAATGTAGACAGACTACTGTTTATGATGTGTAACACACTTGCAAGCTTTCACCTTTACTTGAGTATTTCTCAGCCACTGTTTATGTTGTTCATCAATTATGTAGATAAGAGTGTGTGTTAGTGTCCAACTTATCTATACCTGTTGTCAGATTACAGTGAAGTTATTCATTTCTGTTTTACTGAATATTACTAGTGTCTTAATTGATTATAATTGATTGTCTGGCCAATAAGCTTAGTGTAAATCTGGGGCAAAAACTGCAGTACAGTTTTTACGCAGGTAATCAGTCGGAAGGTAAACAACGTAATTATAATCCAGTAGTAAAGTTCTGTTAATACTTGAGAGCCTATATATATTCTAATAATTATGGCCGGTTAATCTGTAAGCCTTTTGTTTTGGAGTGGAATGTATTCACGTTTCCTATATAAATGAGCATATATATGTCAGGTCCACTTTGTCTGTACGGGCAACTTTGTCCCACCTCAATTTAGTGTATAAGAGAGTAATTAAATACTGGAACTTGCCAAATGTATAAAAATGATTTCAGAGTGTGTTCCAGGGGCAACATTTTCATTATAATAAAACTTCTTTGTCAGCTTTTCCAAAATACCTCATTATCAAAGGTTGTCTGTGATTGAGTCAAATTAAAATAAAAGAAACAATAGCTTTTTAACCATTACCCAGTCCACAAGTTCATGTAGGTAAAGGGCATTGCTTAATGTTTACAAAAATATGACCCCAAAAATGTACATTGCTTTTTATAAGGCCATCCTTAAAAAAATGTTTGTTTGCAGTAACCCGACCCAGAATTTTCAAGGTGGGTAGGTAGGTCGATTTTTTTTTTTTTTTTTTTTTTTATTGAACTGTACTTCAAAATAAACATGGAATTTCAAAATGCTGGACAATATATGCTTTGTTTATCTGGTAACAATTAATAAATTGATAACTGAATTCTAATTTAATAAGACCTACATTTTATTTCTTCTATTAACCTTTAAAAGAACAAAACAAAGCACAAGGCATAATTTTCTGATTAAAAAAAAATAAAATTTTATCCTGACCATGAAAAAAAAATTTGAGTAGGGGCATATTTTGTGAGTCGGTCGCGTTACTGCAAACAAACATTTTTTTAAGGATGGCCTAACACAAGTGTTTGTCTTTATTAAAAGCCTCCATAGATTTAACTACATTTTGAAGAGGAAATACTTGAGTATATCAGTGTAAAAATGTTTTCATTAATATGTTTTTCATCTAAAAACAGCTTAGACTACATTTATTGCTGCTTTTATTCAATAGTTTTATGGTTCTTAAGAGAATCTTTTTATAATTGAATTAAATTGAAAAAGTTAAAAAAGCGACATATGTATCCATTGACTTATAATTGTATAACTTACAATCTAGACATTTTGGGTGACATTTTAATTGATGTCTGGCTGTACTGTACATGAAACATATCTATCGTGTAGGTGTTATATGTACATGCCTCTTAGTCGGCTGATGATGGAAAACACAGAAAAGTTGCCGACATTAACATATGAAAGAATCGTAGTTTGTTCTCGGATAGAACCCATTCAGCTAATTGAGTTTTCAAGCATTGATTTTCAGCATTTCTGGGGAAAGCCAGTGCCCATTACTTTTCTCTTAGATGACAAGTAGCAAAACATCTTTGGTGGGGGAAGTTATCCCTGATAATTAATTACTTGTACATAAAACCCATTGACATACTATCTTATTTCATCCGAACTTAGTATTTCTGTTGATTTGAAATCTATTGGGATTTGTCAGCTTATTTTTATCATTGTTATTTTAGGGTTGTTAGCCTTTCATTCAACAAGCTAGTAGTTAGTTGTAGCTGGCAAGATTCAGAGTGTACACAAGTAGGATAGGTTAATCGTGACCTACTTAACCAAACACTTAATTGTAAAATGTATGATGTATGATATTTACACTTACAATAATACTAGTGACATTTTAAACAGTATTTAAACTGTCTGTTGCCCACTTAAAGTTTGTGCGTAGTTCACAATAAAGCTTGGGTAAAAAAAGTAAAATATTAACATTCACAACATGCTTATTCTGGCATCTAAATTACGTGAAAACCCACTAGACAGTAGACATCATACATATGGTATTCATCGAAGAAATGTGTTGCAACTTTATTGAAGTGTCAGGTTACAACATTGGTTTTGAAGATATTATTAATATACAGGTCTGTAAAATATGAATAAATAGAATGATACACAGAATTGTAAAAATGCTTTCTGCTTTTAAACACAAGAGTTATAAAGTGGTAATTATTAGATGTTAAAGCTGCAAAATGCGGATTTGATTATTATCAGGAGTTGTTTAAAGACCCATCAAGAAGTTCATGTCAGTAATGTTTGTAATTTTAATGATTTGGCTAAGTACTTATAAAGCAACATACTTATATAATGTGACTAGAGTCATATGGTAAAATCTCTTGAAATGACCCCACACAGTAAGTTGGACATGCTGTCCCTTCAAAACATATGCATTTTCCCCCACTATACCCCACACTGCCCCAGGCTTGTGTATAAAAAAAATAATGTTCAGGTTTTACTAAATGATGATTGCCAGTATTTTATCTACTGGTACTGCCACTGGTACAGATGTTACTTAACAATACTTGTTGTCTAGAACTGTGTTCACTGTAAAACAAATTTATTTTAAAAATCAATCGCAATCTATTTCTGAATAGTTGTGTATTGAGGGGAGAATTCTTCCTGTAACAAGAGACAGATTATGTGGTAGGCAAATGGCGTTACAAATGAACAGTTAAATATGTTAATTAACATGTTAACTGTAACAACCTGTCTCATTAATATTCATCTTTTATAGCATGATATGATATAGTCTGTTTGATATAGAGTAATGCTTTATTGTCTACCTGTGCATATTTTATAATTACTGAGCGAACATATGGTGACCTGAAAAATCATGAATTATTGTAAACTTTGAGTGAATTTGTGCGTGTTTTTGTATTAATATTACTATAATATTCCTATTTAAGGACAAATCTTAAAACCAGTTCAATGTTGTTCTCAAGTTGCAGGAAATTCCTGTTTGGTTAGAATTCATTATTTTACACTGTTTTGCATGTTTGTTTACCTAATTCATTACTCAAAACTTTTCCCAATGGAACAGACCCAGACAGGTTTCAGGTTTCGTTCAGGTTGAAGATTAATAAACAATGTATTTTGTCATTTTATGCCATAATGTTACTGTAATGTCTCCTTAGAGTTTATAGAGAGAGAGAATAGGTATGCTAGCTATCATAAACAGCTAGCTATCGTAAACATTCAGTTAACCCTTAACCTGCAAGAATCAAAAGTTATTGGTCTTTGGCACCAGTATAGAGCCAGGCCAGCCTGCACTTAAGCGCAGTCTGACTAGGCTCTGTATGGTAAGTAGTTCAATCTGGAGGGACTGTGAGAAAGCTATTTATGCATACAGGCCATTGGTAGAGCCCACTTTTGATTAAAGTAATGCACAGAGGGCACTTGTTGTGTTCCTCTGCCAGTTGTCATACAAAATTAATAACTGGCTGCTTTGGTATGATTCAAACCCAAGCATGGGGATGTGGGGTATAATCGGTATATAAACTAACATAAGTTAGTAATCAACTTTCTTTTGCAGATGTACTGTGACCAATTATTTTTGTATTTTCAGAAAATGAGTATGGCTCCTGGGAAAAGGACAGTGTTATGTCATACGAGTGCAGGACTCTTCTCTTCAAGGCCTTACACAACCTAATTGAGAGGTAGTTTATTTAAATTTATATCTATGTTTGTTATCATGGTTACAATCTATATCGTGTAAAATAGATAAATCTTGGTGTAATTTAACAGTTATTAAACTAAAAATTGAGATTTAGATATTCACGCAAAGAAAGGAATATAACAATGTTTGTTAGACCATTGTACACGTAGCATTTAAAATAAGAAATCTGTTGTCGGACATATTTCCCCCATCTGTTGCAAACCACTAATATATTAGGCCAGGAAAACATTTAATGTAAAGGCATTAATATTATGAATATGGTAATCAATACCTTACTTATGAATTTATGTGATGTTTATATGTTTAAAAAGTGAAGTGCAAACTGTTGTTCAATTGATGATCATCTTTGTTGTAATTGTCAACATACAAAATTTAATTTGGTCCTCTTTAAAGTTATAATAATTTGTTTTATATATACATTTTATGTTTTGTTTTAGATGTTTGCTGGGCAAGAATTTTATTCGACTAGGGCGATGGTTTGTACAGCCTCATGATCCTCTTTCTGGTGCTGAACAGGGGTAAGTGATCGTTTCAACGTGCTAAATCTGATATGATTAGATTTAGATTTGTGTAATTGACCCTTGAAACAAATTAAAAAATATATATGAGGTATATTCTTTACATTTTCGAGTATTAGTCAAAACTTGTGTAATCAAACCCACCCTGATGTAGTCATTCTTATAAACAAATAACCGTCTAATTTCTTGTGACTGATTTGACAGAAATGGAAGATACTAAGTAGTTAGAAAATGATGAAACATTTTAAAAGTCTTTAAAAATCTGAAGTACTGAAATTGGTACTCATTGCCATACCTAATATAAATGTAATCATGTTATTGTAAAAAGAAGCTATTACAATGTGATCACAGAATATGTTTAGTATCATATTGCTTAAGTCTTACCATGCCAAATATCTTAAGTGGACTTGTCCATCTTTTAATTCAGCAAAATCATTCAGTTGTAAGAAAACTTTAACAATAGGTACAGTGCAAACCAATGAGACCATGATTAGCACCACAGATGTGCTGGCTGACTTTAGTTGCCTCATTTTCACATTGGTAGAATCTATCGCACAAGCAGGCTAAGAATTAAAAGGTTCATCAGCATTGCGAGGGAAACTTTACCCAATTTGAAAAAAATCATATACTGTCTATAAGAAAACTTTCAGTCATGACTGCAGATTGTATATAAATTTAAAAATGTGGTTATTTTTTTCCAGGGTGAACTTGTCATTCTGTTTTAACTTTTTCCTACATGGTGAGAGTACGGTGTGTGCAAGTATTGAGGTTAAACAGCATCCCCCTGTTACGTTCTTGAATGTTCATCACCTTACCCATGCTCAGGAAAATGGCTCACAGCTCAGTGGTAAGTGTATCTAGTATATTATGAAACCTAACTACAGTGAGACCACTGTGGAACAAAATTCTTTTAACAAAAGTATTAATTCTTCATAAACTGAGACTTCATATTATACTTAACCTCGAAAGAGCAACCCAATTCAGCAACTTCCAATATCTTTGTCTTCCAAAGGCTGTTGCTGAACAGAGTTTGTATTGTATACAAATAATGCCTCTATGGGCTACACCATTGGAAATTTGAAATTTTGCCACTTGCCCACGGACAAGTTGGCCAGAAATTTTTACTTGTCCGCAGCTTAAATGTACTTTCCCAAAAAAAACAACAAAACATTGGCCATGTGTTTAAACAAAAGTTAATTAGAGGTAGCAGTGTCCTTCCATACAGAAAGATGTGAACAGATTTGCTGAGTAAAAGCCAGACATCATTTCTGTAGTTTAAGGAAATAATCTACAACTCTTATAAAGCAATGAATGATGTCCAAACAATTATCCTTTTGATAAAATTTGAACCAAAACAACTTTACAATTGTTACCAAACGTGCATTTTAAAATTTACTTTAAAGAGTGGTTTTGCCACCATATGGCCTGCATGTATCAAGGAGCTTGCTTTCCTACAAGAGTTCCTCCATGGGATGAAAAAGTGTATTTCCTCGTAGTTAACCAAGAATCATAACTTTAAACTTACTACAATAAATGTTCCCCATTGATAAGCAACAAAAATACAGTATTTTGTTTTTCCTACTGGCTCAGACTTTCACTTGTCCACGGACAAGTTCTTTGGAAAAATGTACTTGTCCGCAGGCATAAAGTCCCGAGTCGGACAAGTCGGGCATGGGATTTCCACACCCCTGGATTAGTTATATTAAATAATGCAAAATCAGCTGTCTTTAAAGTTATTGACTTCATTCAGGTTCCCTCTTGCATCAAAGTGTTTACTTAGTTAAAATATCTGAAATAATAAATGATTTATAGTGAATTTAGATTTATTGACATATATAGTATAGTTCTTAGCATTTTAAATTAAAAGACAAAGAACTTGAGACATAGAAATTTCCATTCTGTCTGTACAAGATTTATGTTTTGGTTCTATGTAAGGAGAATGATCTATTGAGCAAGTAAATGTAGCGTAAATGATGTATCTTTCTCATATTATATTACATAATACTGCACTATGCTTTCCTAGTGGCAGTAAAGAAATTATTAAAAGAGGAAAAAAATGTATTAAATAAGGTCATTTGTTGAAAGTAACTTTATACTTAAAGAAATCTGCTTGAGATGGGATAATGGCATTCCAAACAAATAATATTTTAATTACATATTATTAATTCATATTTATAACTTTTGAAAATAGCAAATATGCAGGACATACATAAGGCTGCACAATTTTTTTTAGCTTATTGAAGACATTTAGAAGTAACTAGTCTTTGACTTTCATTTCAAATTGGTCATATGATATGTTATTTTTCAAAAGCAAAAAAAAATATATACAATTTTGTACATTCTTGGATGTTATTTATTCCAGTAATATTGGCTCCGTATGGTTTGAATGGCACATTAACTGGTGTAACATATAGAGATACGGACCCGACAACCCGAAAACACTTAGATGAATGGAAACAGTTCTATCCAGTTCGAGTAGATGATGCCAAAGAAGATATAAATAAACTGCCAAATGTTGTTGAAGTTGTTGTTGGTATGACTAACTATAATACAGTCATGTTGTTCTACTTAGATCAAAATGAATTTTTTGATACATGTTGTTAAACCACTACTTCCTCACAAAACCTGAATCACATAGCCCCCTAATCACTTGATGAAAGCTCAAAAAATTGTGAACTTGCTCAAGATGAACTAAATTTTTGCTTTGTGAAGTTCTTATTCTATGACAATTTTTAAAATGACTCTTAAAAATGTTTAAAGTCGGGGTGATCGAATATGGATAATGCATAAAAAGCTGTACCATTCTTTTGAAACTTTAATATATATAGGAAGATATGAAGCAGATTTTTAGAACACTTAATTTAGTTCATTTTTATGCCCCCACAATGTGGGAGCATATAGCGTTGCACTTGTCCGTCCGTCCGTCAATCCATCAGTCAGTCAGTCCGTCCGTCCGTCCGTACGTCCCGAAATCTTGTGAACGCAACTCCTCTTAAACCGGATGGCAGATTTTGCTTAAACTTACAGGGATGAACAACCTTAATGTGTAGATGGTAGTAAAGGAAGGAATTTTCGCTGTGACCAAATTTAACAGAATTATGGCCCTTTGTTGATTTTTTCACTAGATACTATGTAGAAATTTTGTGAACGCAACTCCTCTTAAACCTGTTGGGAGATTTTGCTTAAACTTACAGGGATGAACAACCTTAATGTGTAGATGGTAGTAAAGGAAGGAATTTTTGTTGCGACCAAATTTAACAGAATTATGGCCCTTTGTTGATTTTTTCATTATATACTATGTAGAAATTTTGTGAACGCAACTCCTCTTAAACCGGATGGCAGATTTTGCTTAAACTTACAGGGATGAACAACCTTAAGGTGTAGATGGTAGTAAAGGAAGGAATTTTTTGCTGTGACCAAATTTTACAGAATTATGGCCCTTTGATGATTTTTTCACTATATACTTTGATGTAGAAATTTTGTGAATGCAACTCCTCTTAAATCGGATGGCAGATTTTGCTTGAACTTCCAGGGATTTACAACCTTAATGTGTAGATGGTAGTAAAGGAAGGAATTTTTGCTGCGACCAAATTTAACAGAATTATGGCCCTTTGTTGATTTTTAGTTTTCAACTTGTGGCACATGTAGTCCAAAAAATATTTGACCTAGAGTCATAAGATTGACAGAACAGTGGCGTGTGGGGGCATCCGTGTCCTATGGACACATTTCTAGTTTCACTATATACTATGTAGAAATTTTGTGAATGCAACTCCTCTTAAACCTGATGGCAGATTTTGCTTAAACTTCCAGGGATGAACAACCTTAATGTGTAGATGGCAGTAAAGGAAGGAATTTTTGCTGCAACCAAATTTAACAGAATTATGGCCCTTTGTTGATTTTTAGTTTTCAACTTGTGGCACATTTAGACCAAAAAATATTTGACCTAGAGTCATAAGATTGACAGAACAGTGGCGTGCGGGGGCATCCGTGTCCTATGGACACATTTCTAGTTTAGTTAGAGGTACGATTTCAAAAAAGATTTATTGTTATGAAATGGGTCTAAGACATTTTATCATAATTTTTTTTTTCAGCTGGGGTACGTATGAAGTACCCATCATGTTTTGTGTTATTAGTGGATGATAGGCCTGTCCTAGATACAGGAATGCCCAGACCGAACAATATGCATCATGGCGGGCTACTCGGCTCTACAGGGCTGCACGAGGAAGCTGCTCTGCTTGGAGACACAAGAGGTCGAACCTTAGAACCAGTTTCAGATCTGACGTCAAAAACCAACAGGGCTTTCAGTTCCAAACTAATAGATCGGATTGGTCAGGATAATTGTTTGACTGCTGGCCTGTCAAAAAAGTGAGTGTACATTTGGTATTGTGCATGCAGTGATTTTTTCATTCATTTGCATTAAATTATGCTCTTCATTATAGGAAATAGGCCATTTGAGCATTTGAGTTGTCTTTTAAGGCATTTCTACATTCTTCTTATCAATTGCACAGAGGGACAGCCCAATGAAGAGAGCACTTTGAATTAACTTACAGTGAATTTTCTTTTGCTGTTCAGGGAATAGTTACATGATCATGGAGAGGGAAAAGTGTAGGATAAAATCACAGTTTCATTTAAAATAAAAAGGCATACTTTGAAAATGTCTTATTTCCTGAAATTTTAATTTGTATATCTTTTTGGATTCTTGTGAAATACAGTGATGAAAATGCCTTAAGAAATTTGTCTTAAAGATTATAATCAGAAGTACATGTAATACTGTTATTATTCTTCATCATGTTAACAGAATATACATAATTTACACATAATTGTTCATACATAGGCATGCAGAGAATATGACAGAGGAGCTACTAACAGGGACATGGGATTTCTCAGATCCTACTGCCAGAACTTCTTGTAACTGTTCAAGGTAACTTGTTAACATGCTCTGATTCAAGAACTTTTTCTTTGGGTAACTTGTTACTGTTTCATTGTTACAGAATTGGTTGATTAAAATTTGGAATAGAAAACTTGTACAAAAAGTTAAATTTTGTCTGTGCAAGCTCTTGATTTTAATCATTGTGTTTTCGTACTTTTAAAACTTTCTAGACAGAATTTAGGTCTGGATTTGTTCTTGCATAATTAATTTTTTTTTATTTTTTGAAAATGATAGTTATTTTTATGATCACAAATGAAGTAATTAAGATAACTGTGTTAAAGAAATTAATTGATCATCCAATCAGTTAGAATTGATTTTTCCATTTCTATCAATTAGAATGTTTTATCAGTTATCTGTGTAAGAGAGCTAATCATGCAAGTTTCCTTTGTTTACTTTTTTGCAAATCAGGAATGCTAGCCATGTTTCTAATCTGGGGGTCTTCTCAAGGTTGCTTTTGTTGTATAGACTGTCAAGTTTGCCAATGAGCAAAGACATATTAATTGTTGTAGCATTAATCATTAACTGAATATCATTAGTATTTGACTGGCTTTTTATGTTTCATGAGCATTAAGGCACATTAATGTAGAATTACTTAAGTTTTTCTGTCACTCTGTTTCTCTAGTGAATGACGAAAAAAAAAAAAAAAAAGATTAAAAATACATTTTAAAAGGTATCGACACAAAACTTGGAATACTTGCTAATTGTGCAGTAAGACAATGGGACATAATTCTAAAAGCTATATTTACAGGATTATGCCCCCTTTTAATTTTTTTTTTTTAAAGAAAAAAATAATAATTGGCAATATAATAGTCCTTGCCCTTAACATTAACACAGCATGCGGTGCTCTTGTATTAACAAGTATCTTAGATATTTGTTGTACAATGAATCTACCTTAGTGTTTTTTGTAAAGTTGATGGCAGTCAAAGTTATTGTGACTTGGGCATTGTTTTTCTACTTTTGTGGTAACTATTTATAAGTGTCCATGGGTGTCATATCTATATATTTTACCCAGATTCAATTATCAGGGAATGTGTCCTTACTGTAAAGCAGTGTTAAACTGAATGAGTCACTTACATGATATCATTATCATATGCCTATCAGTGGAAGGGGTTTTTGAAAAAAAAAATCTGAGAACAGAAGCATTAAAGGAATGCTGACAGAGAGTCCTAGTGGTCATATTATGTACATTCTTCTTTTCCTTACAGATTACGTGGTAAGAACAAGTCAAGCTCAAATCTATCCGGCAAACAACTGGAGAAGAAAAAGGGAGATAAACTACTGGAGAGACAGCAGTCTAGATTATCACGCACTACACCATTCCATCGTAGAAATCAAACAATAGAAGACTATGTTCATTATGACATGGATATGTTTATGCCCCGGGTGCCCACCAGTAACAGTGGAGTTTTAAATGCACCTGGGGTTCAGGTATCTGGGGCAGGAACTACACAGGGGCAGCAGCCCCAGTCTCAAAATAGTGCTGGCACTGAGGGTGCGAATGTAAGTAGTACAAGTATCGAGTCTCCGGCTTCTAATGCTCCATCGCCACTTGAGGATTCTCATAACCATGCACATATGGACAACGTGGCCAGCATGGACCCAACCATGCCAACCTTAAGTCCGCATCCGCCAGTTTTGAAAAACACTGAAAAGGATCAGTTAGTACCAAAAATACCACAAAGTGACCCAAATACAAGCCAAAATGTGAATAATAGTAACAGCAATGTGCTAGTGAATGGAGTGACTAGTGAATCAATATCATTTCATAAACCTCATACTGTGTTAAAACATGAAAATAATACATTAAATCATCCATTAGCATGGAATCATCAGTCTTTGGAAAGTACGAAGGCAAACATAAACAGTTGGTTGCGATCACAACAAAAGCAAGTAGATCACAAATCTTTTAAGCGGCCATGTTTGCCGACCACAGGTGAGGATCAGGACGAGCTCATTACAGATTCTCTCTACAATTTTGATAGTGTATCAAACTGGTGAGTAAATAAATCTATTTCAAATGTGATTCTTTACTCTTAGCAACATCAAATTGGGAAATTTAAGTGTAGTTAACATAAGGAAATTGGGGGAAATTTGACCCTAAAAAAATTATATAACATTCTTGGTTAAGATCATAACATTGTGATTGTGTAATTTGTGTTTTTCATTTACAAAAAAAAAATGTTCAGGTGATTTTGGAAATATTTTTGTAATTTTCAAGATTCATCATTGTAACCAAATGGGAAAATGCCCATATAATATTCAGTCTGTATTTTAAGCAAAATATACTTCTTTGATATCCTAAGTTGTTTATCAAGATTTAAGATAATTAGTATGAAATATTACTTACATGATAAATACAAGAGGGATATTGGACTTGTTCATTTATTGTCTACTTAAGAATCATATTCCATAATTATAGCAGGAAACTGCCTATATCTGACTGAGTAGACTAATTTTCTGTACTGCACTAACATGTTATTGGTGTTCTTGTTCTTAGTATATATGACAGTAACTTTATGATGGTAAATTTTGAATAACATGGTTTGAAAAATGATAGGTGCATTGTCAGCAAAACAGAAATATTTGGTCTATAAACATATAAAATTTGGGGTGATGGTAATGCTCCAATCAATTGCACCCTAGGCAGTATTTTAGCCATGGGAAAAGGCGACTTAGATTTTCAAAAAAGCTTGGTTTTGCAGGGACAGCCAGATGGTAAAGTTATTGCTAAATGCAACCACACTCCGACAGTCATCGAATTTAGTACTGGCCCGGTGGCCCATCGCCAGTGAAAATTTAGTTAAATATATAGTAGAATAAATTCAAAATTGGAATTTGGGCTAGTAAATTCAAAATCTTACATTCATTGACTGCTCTGATTGCATTTTAGGTATATGCTCCACTAAATATGACAGCAGTACAAAACCTGCACATTATCCAAGCACTGCTCTGCAGAACTTGAAAACCATACAGGCAGAAGTTAAAAACTCAGTTCATTTTCATATGCCCTGGTAGTTAAATGGCAGATACAATTGACTTGCATAAGTGTATTGTAAATTTCATAACTATCCAGAGCAAAGATAATATAAGAAACATAAATAATATTGTTTAAATCCTTCTTCAGGTCAGATTTTCCATTGAAGAAAGTGTGTTATGACAGGTCCGAAATGATGAACGGCATACAAGACTTGAGATCAAGTTCTAATTCTGGACAAAATCATCGTCCATTAAGATCGGTGTCCCCACAGCCTCCCGCCCCAGACCCTTACGCATTCTCAGATGAATCGTCAAGCACTCCAGCAACAATATCACGTGGTTCCATGAGGAATAGTCGAGACGATTTATTCCAACGACATTCACCTTTCAAGGTTAGTAAGATAGGTTTAATTTTAAAATGTCTTTACTGCTGGTTTGTGTGTTTTAAGTGCAAACAGACTGTTTTTAATGTTTTATAAATTCTTTCCAGACCGGGTTTGCTTTGGGGTAAAAAAAAAACAGTTAAAAGACTAAAAAAAAACAACAGCAGTTTATGTTACATTGTATTTGTCTTCCACAAAAGAATATGTTTTTTGCTGTTAGTGGATTTCTTACATTCAATTAATTTCACAATTAGCTGTGGAGGATATGATCAATATTTGTGCTATTATAGATAAAATTTTAGTCAATTTTCTCTCTGAAATCACTAGTTAAAACACCAATCTATGTCATATGATATTAAAAGGCAGATTATTACTTTGTTTTATAATTATTTGTGAGAGATTATTAGCACATATTAAATTAAAACACTCGCTTTTGCACGAGAACGTTCCGAGAAAGATTAAATAATTTATCAGTCTGGCATTATGAAGCTGTCTCCTTTGTGGTAAAGTAGAGGTGAATGTTTGCCTTTATATGGTAATGCTGAGAATTTCTATTGATCTGTATAAATAAGCTGACATAATTCAAACTTCAAGGACTTTTGTCTACATTTTTAATTGTAACCAAGTCTAATAGTTGTCTAAGTACTAAAGAACTTGATAGCACATTGTATTCTTATAACTGATTTCAATGTTTTAACCCAATTTGAATTTCTTAACTTAATGAAAATTAATATGTTCAGCACATTTCACAAGCCTCAAGGGTTTATGACAGTTTTAATTATAATTGTAACCATATTTTATAATTGTAAATGATAAATATTTTCTCAAGAATTCAAACTTGAATGACTTTATACTTGTAATCATGTTTAATATTTGTATATGGATTGAAAGTGTAAGTGTTGGTGTGACATCCACTCCCAACTCCCTCCCCCTTCCCTCTTAACAGAAAGGCTATTTTTAAAGATGTTGAATTCAGTATTTTTCATTATTCAATGTTGTGAATTTTAATAATTCTAATTTTAACAGTGTAATAACTCAATGGTTTTTGCTACCTACCAAAACACAAAACATATGTTGGCATGTTTTGTTTCACTTATAGGAAGATGAAAAACCAGACTTGATAAGAAGTGGAACAGGAGAAAGTTTTGGATTCAAGGAAGAGCGTGGGAACACAGGTATATTTAATATATATATTCAGTAATCAAATAGTAGATTGTCAGTAAAATATGATTTTGATTCTATACAACCCATTATAACCAAGACGTAGCAACATGTAGTAAGTCACATGGCTACTTTTGGTAATATTCTTTAACATTCGTCTATGGCTGTTCGAATTTTAAAGCTGCACGCCTCCAGATGAACAAAAATATTTCGATAAAATCATACCTGAGAAAAATGTACTAAGATTTTAGTTAAAGTATAAAGATTCAAAATTCTAGTAATAATTTACATGTTATGTACGATTAATGACTGATTTTTCAAAATTTATAACTATATTTCTACTGCGTTACTAACGCAGTAAATGCTATTTTTGCATAATTTGACCTCTTTATGGCAATTTACATGGGTTGTAAGTGCCATTGATAATGTGTAAACTGCATTCTTTTGTTAACTTCAAAATATTATACTGTTAAATACATTTTCAAATTTTCATGAAAATTATCATGAATCTGGAGGCGTGCTGCTTTAAGAAATGACGCCTTTTCTTTCAAATAAAATAAATCACATCTATTGTGCATGTTGATTTTGACTGTTTTATAATTAGCTATTTTAAAATTTAAACATGTTCCTTGCAGATTTTAACTCGATAACATCCCCACCGACTACACCAGGAACCCAAATGGGAGGTAGTCTCACGAGAGAAGTTGATCTGAAACCACAGTTCTCCGATCTGGACAATCTGTTTGAGTCAGATTCTGATTCTAATGATGATGCTGTAAGTGAATAAAGTTTCTTTAGGTCAAGTAGGATTTTTCATCATTTTGGTGGTAAAATTTTCATTAATGTGGATCAGTATGGTAAAAAATTTAAAAACAATGGCCATGAACTTAGTATATAAAAAGGGGAAAAAACATTTTCAAAGGTCCATCTGTCTAATGGTAAGATTAGTTTTTGGTGGGATAGGGGTCACATTGGGGAGTGAGAGTAAACAACTTTACGTAACTGTTGAATTTATCACCCTTCATTTTGGAACAAGTTTTGGGCTATTAGAAAGAGCTGTTTTTCTGTAGGTAAGTAATGTAACTTATACCTGCCTAGTCCTTTGAGAGTCTGACAAATGTTCTCACATAAATAATGAATTGCATATTGTACTTACAATTTTGACTAGAACACTTAGCAGTAAATGGGAAATGTTTGCTTGAATAAAGAAAATTACTTAGTGTTTAATGTAATTTGTGTGCTAGAATAACGAAAATCAATAGTTTGGTCGCCTGTTGCGTGACAGTTTGAAATTTTACTTTGGTATTATTTCTCAGTCAATTTAGATTAATGTGAAAATTCCACTTGTGCTGGGTTTTATTTGCCTTTCTTGAAAATGAATGATTGTAGGTTATATGTAATGAAGGACATCTTCAAACATATTTTAAGATGTAAAATTCTAAGCATAATTTGCTTAAATTTCCATATGAAAAAACTCGGCAGGTTATTATCTTGGTTGGGGGCCTTTTATTGATGGAATATTTTAAAGTAATTATCTTGAAAAGAAAAAGTTCTACCCACGATCTACCTTTAAGCTGAATAAATGTTGGGTGTATCATCTATCTTGGGTCTTCATTTGCCAGTAAAACTTCCAAGTTTCCATGTAAAGGGTGTTTTTTACAACATTTTGGTAACCAGGTCCACTGTTGAGAAAAAAATTCAGATAACAGATTTTTGATAATAAGATCTCATATTCTTATATATAAAATGGTTTGCTTATACCATACACCATGTCTTTCATTTTTCTTACCCAGGGGCCTTTGAATTAAATTGATATTTTTTCTTTCAAAATGTTCGAGGGGTGGAGCCTTACAACAGCTCTAAAATAGGCCGTAAATCTTTGCCATATCAATCCAAATGCCCACATTTCAAAACAAAAACGTGTGTATATGTTTGTTTGATTTTTTTGCAGTTTGTTCCTCAAAGTCCTCCAAAGAGTGTAGAAGATCTGAAGTCTACTAAACTTCCTAACACCACACCTGTTGATGCAATTGAAATAATAGGTAATCTTCTATCATCTTACAAATATTTCTGTTCTTTCTTAAATTGAAAATCTGCATGTATCATGATATATGAATTACATTATTGCTAAATTAAGAACAAACTTGATAATATATTTATATCTTGGTAATTACAAATTAAATATCTATATGCTATGAACCTGATTTCTTTTTATAGCTCCATCAGAGTTAGCGCGAATGTATCCCACACCACCTTCCCTGGAGAACAATCAAGGTTTGTCACCCATGACAAGTGCGGAGAGTCAGGTGGAGTCTCACACCATGACCATGGAGGGCATCAGTATCAGCAGCATTAAAACAGAGGTTGTAGCGGCCAACTCACTCGTGGAACAGCTCAGCAAGGTGGGGGCATAATATAAGAACATTCATTTCTTACTGTATTTTAAACATATATAGTACAGCTCTAGGAAAAACAAGGTTTTAGTGACAAATTTTGAAAATTTGAATCTTATTAACTTTGATTTTTGTGTCAATCTTGAAGACGCTAAAATGCCAAAAGGTAGAAATATGCAGAAACACCATTCCATAGATAAAGCAACCCTCAAAGCAATGGTGTTTTTACTTTTTAACTGTTAATAAAAGTATTGGAGTTCTTTCATGGATAGACCTTCAGATGACTTTACTTACATTTAGCTTGTAATACAGATTTCTGATCCCATTATTGAATATTTTGAATAAGGTAATAGACTGCACTGAGTAACTAATTGTTTGTTTCTTGCAGGATGGACTGTCAGTGTACACACCAGATGAGCGGGCTCAGTTTCCTAGTTCAACAAAATACGCGCCAGTAGAATTATACAGTTCCCAGATGTCTCCTCCCCCTCATGTGCCAGAATATAAACCTTCATGGCAGTATCATATGTCAATGCCAGATAAACATGTCAGGTGTGTAGTGTATCCCAGTAATTTACGGAACGTCTGTGGTTCTACTCAGGTGCCATTCGTGCCTGAAATAATGCATGGAAGAGCACCTGAGGTCTTCCTCCACCAGTAAAGCTGAAACGTCGCGATATGACCTATACTGTGTCAATGTGAGGTAAAACCCAAAACAAAAAAAAACAGCAGTAAAAATGTAGAAGAAAAAAATGTTTCTGCTAAACTGATGTATTTGGGATTTTCATTATGTTTGAAATATGCTGGCTTATTTTTAATTAACTAGGAGGATGTAGTTAAACTAAGTGGGAAGGAATGTAAAGGAATTGCTAATTGTAGCCATATGGAGTTTGGAAATTTACCCACCTTTGTAATAATTATTTAATTAAACCCCTGTGTACTATATATTTTTTTGTGTGCACATCTTAATGAAATAAAACAGCTTTATTATCGGACAACAAAAGAAGCTAGTTCTAATCATTTGTCAATTTTATAGGGGTCATAATTATTAGTTTAAAAGCAATTTGATATAGAATTTTAGTAAACTTTTGTGTCTATTTTTTAATTGCAGCAATAAATAAGATAAGGTTTTTGCAATTGATCTTTTGTCCTCATTGCATATTTCAGGTCAGTTATATGGCATACATAAGCTTTGTGATGCTTCTGTTCAAATTTTTTGTTTAAGATCGGGTTATTGTGTGTTCGATTCCATTTTGACATTTATACTTTCGAATTCTTTCATTTCAGCAATTATATATACTAGAGAAACATATTGAGATTCTTTTGAATTTCTTACATTTATATTAATTACATGTGTATTGTTCTGATTTGCAGCCATTACATCAATATCCCCTCAGTTGAGAATCTGCCAAGTATTCCATCAACACGAATGCCTTCCAGTACAATAGAGGCTTCACCAGCCATGTTTCAGAACAGTGTCGGACAACAAAAGACGCCGATGAGCTATGAACTGCAATCTCCTGCTTCAAATGCATCTTCGTACCTCAACAAAACGCCAAACTCGAACATGAATCATAATATAGGAACAAATAATCAAATACCGGAAGCCCATAGCTTACTTGTGAACATAGTGCTCTCAGATTCTATTCTTAACTTATTCAAGGATCATAATTTTGATAGTTGCAATATTTGTGTGTGTAATATGACAATTAAAGGGTCGGATCTAGGTGTGTATATTCCAAACCCAACGGGTGAACAGGAATATAAGTGCACATGTGGTTTTAGTGCTGTGATGAACAAAAGGTTCGGTCATTTGGCCGGCTTGTTTTATGAGGACGAAATAGAAATCACTGGTGTACCAGACAATCGTTTTGAAAGGCGCAAATCAAATTTGTTGACGTTAGATCCAAATAAAGTGGATGAAAATGGCGTGAAAGTGATGCCAAATGTGGAGGAAGTGTCTCAAGCTGTGATTCAGTTACTTATCGGTCAATTCTGTGTTCCATATCCGACCTGTTCTACAGTGAAACTTCTGCAAAAACTGAGTTTCAGGTCGAAAACATTTGCTAGTGATCCTGTGAATATTATGCATGTGCAAGGTGATTATTTTGTATATTTGAATCTCCATTTTTTTTATAATAGGAAAGGTATACTTTTGATAGTTTGTCAGGGTTTGTAATGTCTTTAAAAATGCTTTAATTTGAGTCCCTCTCTTAAAAAATGCTAACAAACAACCAAAATAGACCTTAAAAGTCCTTGAATATGGTAACTATCTTAAAAAGTGCTTAAATTTGTCTGAAAACATGCTTGAATTTTAGCATTGATTGTCCGTTTGAACTTTGTTAGTTAATCAAGATAAGATTTTGAAGGTGACAGACTGACAGATATTCAGAGATTAACAAATTTTGCCTTTGAAATGATAAAAACTATGTATTGTAGCTCTAGAATCAGCTGACTGACTTACTAGAACAGAAGTAAATATAATTTTCTCGGACAGCACTTCAGTATTAGAATAGTAGAATTTTAAAACTATTAGGTTTCAAGACTGGTCTTGTATTCTTAAATGCAGTTTGAAACAGTCTTAAACCTTGATATAGAAAAAGTAATTGAAATTGTCACTATTGAATTTTTAGGCTTAAAAATAATGTTAATATCAATAATCCATAACTCGGATGTTTCTTCATTATAAAGGTGTTATAAATGATGACTATATAATATATGTTTGTGTTTCAGATGGGAATGATGTGACCTATTTAGCCCTCGATCAAGGTCGACAAGCCATGGAGCACTGTCCGAACAAACTAGAAGATAATAGAATGAAGTCTACATGTTTACATAATTGGACTTTCTTACAGGGTATGTTTTCGAATGAATCCTTTTATAGTTTGAAAACTAGCAAATATTTTGTGGCCAACATTATAATATCAGTCCTGACTGCTCATCTGTGTAGTCAGACTGCTATATTTAGCACATATTTTATAGTAAAGTCATAATAATTCATTGCTTTCAGTTTAAAATGGTTCCTGAACAGTTGTTTATATTTATTTAGGCCAATGCACTTGAAAGATGCATGTTTGGCATTCCTGCCCTATGTTTATAGCTGTGCATATTTTCCTACACCCACAAGCTGGCTTGTTTATTATACAATCTGATAATGTTAGTGTGGTATTTTGTGGCAGTGTTGTAGTAAACAATTGTGTATTAATAACACAAGTTGCCTTTTTTTATAAACTTGAAAAGAATGATGCAACTGAAAAGTTGATTTCATGTATCACAGAAAGTACAAAACAGTTGTCAATCTTGTACTGGAGATACAGCTTTGTTTCTGCTAAGCCCACAAAATGTTGCTATTCTATCATTTGCATTGATTCAAGGGCAGATACTCCAGTAACTGCTTGTCAAAGTTTATTTAGAATGACTGATTTTTAAGCCAATATGGTGTCCTATACATATCAGTTGAAAATACATAATATCTTAAATATTGGATAAAACTTGTTGTGCCATCTGCAGGTTAGAAAATATTTAATACTTTGAAATAATCTAGACACCCACCCATAATGTCAATTTCAAACTTTCTATAAGTAACGTCAAAATTCCCAATCTAAGGGTAGGGGGTCACGTTCCAAAATATTGAGGAAGAAAAGGGGCCGGGGTTAAGAGGGGGGAGATATGAAATGAGAAGAAAGTTAAACTCAAAACATTAAATTTGCTTACTATGGAATGTTAATGGTTTACTTAGATGCCAGCTTGTGGCTGAAATATTGCATAGAATGTAGCCATTTTGAAGTTTTTATGACTTGAAACCAAACTTAAAAAGAAATAATTTGATTGATTTAAATGTTGTAGGTGCTACTCAGATACCGCAGAATTCTCTGGAGTGTGTGCGGCTACTGAAAGGTTTACAGCCATTATTACAAGATGCCATTCAGAACAAAAGAGTCACCAGGTTGTGGGAACATACATATAAGCTACAGGGACCCCTAACCTGGATAGAATTTCATCAGTTAGCTGGCAGAGGTATGGTATTGTTTTGTCATGCTCACATTTCAGATAGGTCTACATTAAAATCCACTGTGTTTAATAATTTATTAATTCGCTGAATATAATCAGTGATTTTCCTCCTTATATTATATAAAAGGGCCTATAAAAGGCTTCTTCCAAATTGAAATTTTCTCAAAAATCTTAACTTGCCTCAGCTTTTTTACTTCCCAAGTTAGCAATTTTAGCGATAATTTTTCCCAAGATCAAGAGGCTAAGGCCTCTTCCCAATTAAGCAAGAAAAAACATTGATAACAAATAAAGTAGGGTAGTTGTTATTATTCCCTTACGATTATCATGGAGGTTTATGAAATAGAGCATAAAATTACGTTCAACAGATTTATAAATTACAATTGTTGTTTATAGAATGATTTGGCACCTGTCATACTTATTGTAAGATGGTGAAATCTTTGGATCAATTCATGTTTAAGTTACAAGCTAATAGAATAAAGATATATTTACAACGGCATTTTTAAGTTTTAGGTACTATACTGTTTTACAAATTAATTTACATATATCAGTGTATTGACAAGTGTCCTGGAAGAATTGCAGTTATTTAGTAATACCTTATTCACAATATTGATGTTGTAAAGAGGCATATTATTTTGTTACTGAATTGTATGATAAATTTATAGGTTCAGATGAGAACAGTGAGCCTCAGCCTATTCCCTCATTGTTGCTGGGTTGTGAGAAAGATGCAGCAAATGTCTCGCCTTATGCTCTCAGGTTTTGGGTAAGTAATGTTGGAATGATTTTCTTGGTTTCCAATTACAGAATCAAGCATATTAATTTTTTGTAAAGTCTGCAGGGGGAGCTGGTTGTATGCTTCCCAGTCCAGAGATTACGGGTTAGAGGTCATTAAGACAACAAACATGGTTCCTGACATGATCCAAGTAGTGGTTAGTTGGAAAGTTGTGACAGATTCGACCCAAGTGATCAGTGCAGACAAAGATCAGCTGTCACATCCTTGCAGCCTAATGATGGTCTGCACTGTTTGCTATTCATTTAGTTGTTAGTATCTTGGATTTTGCCTAAAATTGATAAATGATTCTGTCAAGATTGAAAAACAGACAAGTATATTTATGATATTTAGTATGTTAAAGCTTAATTAGAAATTAAGTCAGACAATTGATTGGAGCCTTAAATTACAGTTAGATGTGCATTCATTAATTGGTGATTTTGTTGATCGTATTTGCAGGATAAGAACATATTTGAGCCATATGGACACAGGAGAGATGTCGCCTATGTTATTGTGACGCCAGAAAATGATTTTATCATGAGCCTTGTGAAACCATTCTTCAAAGAGCTAAGTACAATGTATGAATGGCTCAAACTTGGTAGACACTGCCCCATATCAGAAAAGTTACGGGATGGTATACTGCGTGTTGGTCGGACAATGTTGCAGAAACTTGGTGATCAGGACGTAGATGATTGGTTCAGATTACTAGGTGAAAGTCCAGTTGCATCAAAATTGAAACTATACGCACAGACATGCAAGCATTATTTAGGTAAGCAAAAAAGTTTTGATAACTTAAAAACAAATTGTCTGTTTGGTTTGTGTGATCAGTTGAAATTTTAGTGATTTTCATAGTACATCTGCTAAATGATTGTTGCTTGTTATACACCCAAAAAATTTCTTTAGTGTATATTAATATTGTTCAACTTTTCACTTCTATCTATGTTTGTTTTTAATGACAGTTAATATATTTGATGTTTCTTATTCCAGTTCCATTCCTGGCACAACAGACCGACTTTAAGACAATGTTTGCAGCGAGTGCAGCTAGTCAACGGCCTTCAAATCACAGACCTCCTGAGGCGCCAACGGAGAATCTCAATTCACAATCAGAGGAAAGAGGTATAACAATGTATTCTGATTCATATGCTTATAATTACTATGAATGATATATGTTGTCACTGTATGGCCAATCTACCTGCACTTTGTTAAAGGTAGACAACAAGACATGATTTTACTATTGGCTACTTCATTGTAGACATTTTCAAATTCCAATCTCCTAAATTAAGTGGACAGCCATTATAATTTGTAAACAAAACAATTGTTTTCTGATATGTGTGTGTAGTAAATATGGCCTGGTAAAAACAAGATGAAATAAGACCCTATACTTGGAAGGGAAAAAATGATCTGGTACCAACAAGGGTAAAAACAGCCTGGTACCAACAAGTTTAAATAACGATTTATCATAAGAAGCATACATATTTATTTATATCAACAGAAGGATCTCATGGTGACGGTACCCAGCGTGATACTCATGAAGACATCCCAGACATGAGCACGAATGGGGATGGTCCAGCTATCGTGATATATATCGTTAACCCGTTCACGTACGGCCATCAGGACTGGGATGATCTGAACAGATTAGCAATGATTGGTCTTCTAAAATGTTACCAGGAAATTGTACAGAAACTACCTGAACACATGCAGAAGAATGTTTATTTGCAGGTAATTATTGTACCTTTCTCTTCACATCATTGGTTAAGCTATATAGAATGTTTTTAAACTGGCAGTGTAGTCATATTTTATCATTAGAATCATACCAATGTACCTAAATTTGAATTAGTAAATGAAAGTGTTGTATATGAAGAATCATTGCTAATCCCTATTTTAGATAGCAAGTCAGACATCAGTATTAGCGAAAAAAATATTTCCAACTAAATTATAATGCATAATGTGACAAATATTGTAGGTATTTATTATCATAGACACTTTGCTTCTTAAATATTCATATGCATTTGAAAGACAAATGATAGTACAGTTCATAAAATTAAGATACTTAAAAGGAATATTTTTTTCACAAAATAGTGTCAATGATTATTCCTTGTTGACAAATTGGACCGGAGTTCTTGTTCATTTCATGAACATAAAATTACATACTTGGTCCAAAATGGGTGGATAAGAACAGTATTTTTATTGTCGTCAGAAAATACAATAAATGAGTCTGAACTGTAAACAAATTGTAGTATATAGAGTATACTTAGACAACACATTTGGAAGATGTAATGAAATAAATAAAAGAATATGTGAGATATTGTGTATATTTTACAGATTATACCAGTACAGACAGTGATTGATGCACTGGAAAGTAACAATCAGTTCCAGCTACTAAAGAACATCGCATTTTCTGTATTCACAAGCTGTAGATGGAATCTCTCCCATTCTGTTCTTGGTCGGTCACTAACTGGGTTTGGTCCGGCAGCAGCAGCCGAAATACTCATGAAGAAGAAAGATCCGGTAAGTGATTTGAAGTGTAAAACTGAATGGTTCAGTTGTTTTATTTATGGCCTGTTTTATGATTATGATGATTTATTTGGTAATTTTCACAAGTTACAAGCAAAATTAAGAGATACTGGCTTAGTTGTACAATTTATTTCTTGAATGTGCCGAAGTTACTTCTGTATACTGTGATTACTTTAATAGTACAACACTTAAGTTAGACGATTCAGTGGCAATTCTATAAAAAATAAAGCAATGTTTTGATAGGATATGATTTGTTTGTAGAATGATGTAATGGGCCAGTACAAGCTGTACAATCCTCCATTTGTCCTGGCACCGTTGAAAGATAAACAGGAGCAGCTGGCTGAGTCGTGTAGTGAGAAACGAGAAAACAGTACCATACTGATGTGTGTTTATTGCTTGTCCGAGGATCAGAGATGGTTGTTAGCAACCTGCACGGACGATAGAGGGGAGACTGTGGAAACTTGCACAATTAATATAGATATTCCAAATAGGTATGTAAACAAAAATTGTAATTACGGCCATTGTCTGTCAATTCTTGAAAGGGAACAGAATTCTTTCAAGCTTAATGCTGCATTTCATTATGATTTTTAAAAGGAACATAAGTCTTAGAGTGAGATCACAAAGCGGTCAGCTTACAGAAAGTTTGGTTCTAACCTGAAAGTTTAAAGAGTGATTTGTGATCTTGCTTCCTCAGAAATGGTGGGAAAATACTATTTGTTCTAGTATAGACTGTATAATTAAGTGACTTGATATTGAACAATTTCTTGTAAGGAGGCTATTCAGTCTGTTAGAGATTTGCTCATTCTCCAGTATTTACTTGTAACACAGAGAGAAGAGTTAGTCTCCCTGTCCCAGTGTAAGATGAAAAGTAGGCGCATGACCATATGAGAGTCATTTTCACTTAAATAACGACCAATCAACATTTAATAAAAAATATGAAGTGAAAGCCTCACAGTTGCAGCACACAAGTTTAATAAAGAGTTGTTGTTTTGTGATATAGTTTAGCATAATACATTTGCATTGTTTTTACATACTTAAGACAATATAGTGATTCTTTTGTTTGTTTCAGACACCGGCGAAAGAAAACATCTGCACGGAAAATTGGTCTTGGTAAATTGTGGGAGTTCATACTTGGTGTTATATCAATGTCATCAAAGCCTTGTAGAATAGTAATTGGCCGGTTTGGCAGAATGGGGCACGGAGAACTAAAAGGTATGTCGAAAGCACCATGACTTCAAGCAGATAGAAAAAAAATAATATATATATGTAACAGGAATTTCTGGAAATTAAATTGGAACTGACAGTAAAAGGGTTATTAAGTGAAAGGGTTATAAATATAGCTATATGTTTAATGTGTGTTGCTGTATTGTAATACCATAGTCACAGATTTGATTTACTGTATGTTAACATGGAAAAAAAAGTACTTGCTCAAACTAAGAAATTAAAAATGTTAATAGTAGTCCTATGTTAGTGTTTGACCCACAAAAATCAATTTTGACATTCTTTTGCTATACTTAATACAGAAACATTTTTAGTTGGTCATTTTCAAAATAAATAGATTTTATTAAACTGAATTTTAAAGGTGTGTTTTAAATTTTGTCACATTCAGGATGGTCTGGTTTACTGAGCAAGAAAAATATTCAGCGCTGTAGCAGAAGAATGCGGGACATGTGCTCACAGTGTTCGTACCAGTCTGAAGGCGAGCATCCTACCATAGTCAGTGCTTGTCTGATTTCCTTCGAACAGCACCGCAGCTTCAGTATAATGCCTGACTGTGTCAAGTCAGAGGAGAAGCAGCGTAGCAACTGTCCATTACAAACTCCGCGTGACGCGTCTTGTTCGCACATATTAGTTTTCCCAACATCGGCAACAGCGCAGGCAAATATGCATCAAATACAGCTTGATTCGACAGGAGGAATTGATCTTGGAGGTCATAATCTAGAGTTTGGCGTAGATCTTTCTGACACAAATATTATCAATGATTTTGGTGATAATACTGATGATTTTGGCAGTTTAATGGATGTATTTGTATCAATGACAGAGAATTCTCCACCAGGTTCGCCGAGACAAGATAATCCAGGATCACCAGGACTGATGGACCTTGGCAGAACATCTCCAAACAAACTGAACGGTGCATCTGTGGTGAGTGATAAAAATTAATTGGCAGTTAGTGAATCTCTTGTCATAAACCACTATGTTATTTGTACCTCTCTGAGTATGCTAAGACCAAGGTTATGTTTCATTTTAATAGGGTATCCTAAACAAACATTTGCTGACTCTCGACTTCTTTTCCTTAACATACAACATTTCGGAAAAAGTCCACTTCTACCCATGCACTTAATGCATTGCTTGGGCTACAGTTTATTTAAGGAGATTAAAACCACACCTTACTCTTAATTTCCAACTTTAAAGTGGTAAAATAATAATTTTATATTAATGATAATTATGAATTACAGACCAACAACAGCAGTACAACCAGTGACCCTCAAGATGATGCCCCTAATTTACTCCAGCAGCCCCTCGCTATGGGATACTACATTTCCACAGCTGATACTGGACCACTTCCACGCTGGTTCTGGTCAGCCTGCTCAGAAAATGAATTCTCACCTGTTAAATGCTTCAAGGTATGGATATTACTTCATAGATCTTGTTTAATTATTATCAGCCCCTCACCATTGTGGGTTCGAATCCTGACAGGGACTTTAGGTTCTTTCATTTATGTTAGATCTATCCAGCTAGCTTAACGGAATCGGTGGTTCTACTCAGGTGCCCGTACGGGCCTGAAATGCACAGGGCATCTGAGGTCTTCCTCCACCTGGAAAGTTGCCATATGACCTACCTGTTTAGAGTGAAGTAAAACCAAACAAAACTAAAAAGAAATTATTAGGTTAGAAAAAACAATTTTCCTACTTTTGTGTTAAGTCATAACTTATTTCAATTGTTGTTTTTGTATCTAAGGTCTTTAGGTACTATATATTTCCATATGTATATTTCAGTCGGCTCTACATATTCATGTGTCAACAAACATGGATGACTTTATGCATCAGACATCCTCTAGAAACACGCATCCCCTCGACTCAAATCTCACCTGTGATGTGCTCAGGTAAGAAAAGAAATAGGAAAATAATATGACTAAGGTGTTTCTTTGCATGAAAGGACTGCAAGTTTTTGAAATGCTGAATAAGTTAATAAATTACATTAAGATGACCTGTTTACTTTTGATGGGTGATTAGATTGCCTTTTAATGTTACTGTTTAGATCATCAGCATAGACCAATTTATCTAGTGTGAATAAAGATAAACAGTTAATGAAATTACTTCTGTTTAAATATCTGGACAAATAAGTTTAAGCTAAAATAAAATCGTCTTCCATCACTACTTAAAAGTACATCAATTTAATGATTAAGATTTTTTTTTTTTTTAATTTAAAGAAGAGTGGAATAAAAAGTTTGTTGTTGTCTGAAAATGAACACATTCATATAATTTTCTGTTTTCAGATATGTGTTAGAGAAATACAACTCATTGTCATGGCTCACGTTTGACCCAGTAAAGAATGATCGCCAGTCTTGTTTTCCGTTACATTTCAGTGTCTTAATGCAGCTGTACCATGCCATGAATGCTTATGTTTAGTTCTGAACCTTAAGCAACCATTGTAATGTAAGAACACTAGAGGCAAACAATTACACATAGGCCTGAGCTTCCTGTACTGAGTTGGGCCATTCTACAGTCTGATCAATCTTTATTCCGAACAGCTGTTCAGTTTTAGTATTTTCATATTTTAACCCATTTGACCTGCTGAATTATTGTAATGGAATTGCCCTGCAGTGAATCTGGAACAGTTCATTTTAAGTTATAAGGGATTTCAATATCAAAATACAAAAATTAAAGCTACCTACACTGTAGAACTTGCTCAGACTGCATAGATATGCCAAAGACTGGTGACTTTCAGTCCAAACAGGTTATGGGTTAAATTAAACAATGGATATAAATACCTTGAAAACTTAACTGGGTAGTCCGCAAGGTTCATTGTTAGTATTATCTGTTCATACATGTATCTGTAAGGGTTATTTTGTTTTTAAGTCATATATAAAAACTGTGTATAATAATTAACATGCCTGTGATTTGTTTAGTTTTCTTGTCAGAACTGGTTCTGATGATTGTATACACAATTACTTGAAATTTTTATATCATGTATTTGTTTTAAAAAAAAAGAATGAGATGTTAACAGAGTTATGTTAATAAAGCTACAAGTTTTCATTGATGAACATTAATTTATTGCAAGTATTTGGAGATTTTATTTTAATATCAAATATTTTTTGAAATGTTAAAAAAAGTTCAGAGGTACACCAAGGTTTCTGTTGAAACAATTTAAGGGGAGATAAGACCAGAATAAAAATTCCATTTAGTGAAGTCTGAAAATAAGAATCTTGCCTGTAAGATTTTTGTATGTTAAAACTTTGATAGGGCATTGTTGGCATAAATATAATTTTGTCTATGTATTAAATGTCTAGATCTATTTATAATGGCAGATCTGAACTTGTGATCAACCAATGATTCTTACTTCCATTATAAATGGAACCAGTTTTCTGAAATTACTGATGGCATTGTTGTATGACACTGACATATTTAATTGTGAATTGTTTAATAAATTTAACTTTTTGTAAATGTTTATTTATAGAAATGTATTGACCAGATAAAGCCAAAACCTAGAACAGTATAAACAAAGGGGTGTGGATGATTCTAATAGCAATTATGCCAATCTGTATAAAATAAACCTTTATTTGATGATTTTAATAAACAAGATGAAATTACATATTTATGTCATAATGTATTTTAAGTCAGGGCTCATGTTTTACATAATAAAGAACCAGCATGAAAAGTTTAAAAGGTTTTTTTTTTTTTTTGGTGGGGGGTTTGGGACTTTTTGAAACTTTAAGCTTGGAAAATCACCGTTTGGTACTTTGGAACACATACTGAAAGTGGTTGTGTCATAATTTAATTAGAATCATTGATATCCTTTTGTAAATGATGAATCTGCTTTACTTATCTATAAAAGTCATTAGTAACTTTGTATTTGAACGATGTATTTAAGTATTTATTTTTGCAAGTATTTATTACAGTATGATCAATTTTCTGTACATAAAATGTGTATATTAATTGTAAGCCTTTCTACTGTCCAAAAATGATGCATGTTGGTGGATAGGAATGGAATATGGTCTTGTTTAACCAATTATTTGATTAAACCTTTAACTTCTGTGGCAACTGAATTTACCCATACAACCAGTGCCGACTATTAGCCAGCACTTTGATGTTGTTTGATTATGGTCAGCTCTGTTTGTTAATCATGTCAGTAAATTTTTTGAAGAAGAAAATTCCTAAGAATAATGACTGGTTTTGTCCAGATTGAAAGAAGGATTATGATTATACTAAAAATTGGGGGTGGGGGGATCTAAATTGTTATATCGGCAGAAATTATGCTTTTCTTTTACAAAAGATTTATGTTTGTCAAAAAAAATTCAAACAAGTTTTTTTTTCTTGTAGGCTTCAATACGTACTGTTTAATGAGCAAATATTGGGTTGTAATTGAAAACTGTATTATTGCTACCAATATAATATGAAGATAATGGCATTAGTCTTGATGAATTTCAGATTTATTTTGATTGTTGACATCAATTTTTTTCTGAAATAAAACTTTTTAATACGATTTCTGTGAAATTATTCACACAGGTTGCTGTATGGCATGCATTGAATGTATATGATGGACATGTTTATATATAGACAAGTGCTACATAGTTTTAACATTGCCATAAAGACTTTATATTTTATATATATGTAAGAAAGTGTTGAGAAATATGTATTTATTGGAAAGCACACCTTTGACATAAGTACTGTGTGTGTGTGTGTTTTTTAACTTTAAATAGTTTTGCTAAAGAAAATGGAAAACCTATTTGTTGTTGTATATATATCATTGAGTTGTTCTCATTCCTTTATTAAGCACTTATTGTAAATAAATTATACATATTTTATTATATTGTACAGTTCATAATTAAATCAAGAGTATATATTATCAAAAAAATGAACTTGTTTATGTATGTATTGATCAGTTTCTCTTTGTGTTGACTGAAGTTGTCATCTGTCATATTTACTCACTTACAAGTCGGGGTTTCTTGTCATATTTTCTCATGTAAAAGTTTGGTCTCTTTATAGGACCCCCCCAAAAAAACCTGTCGTCGACTTACGGAGAGTACTGTTAAAATTTAATTATTTTTGGGTCAATAAAGAAAGACTAGTAGCACAAGTCTTTAAGTAAAATATCGGCCTTGTAGGTGGGCAACTATGAAGTAAAGTCTAGGACTATATATTCCTAAGGTTGAGAGTCACATGTGTTGTTTAAAATGGCTGTTGCTTCCAGATTGCTTGTGATTTAAATTACCTCTAGTCTGATAATGAGATTTCCAATTCAAGCTTGTGTTTGGGTAGAACTGCAATTGAAAAACAAACCTTTTAAGTTGTGTGATTTGTATTATTATTTTTTGCCTTGTTAACAGGGTCACAATTTTGTTTGAATGGAACAATTATGTCTCAAAGTAATTTTTTTATGCAGTAAAAAAAGAAAGATTTAGGGTAACTGATTATTATTAGTTATCGTAACTATCTATTGAATATGTCTGAAATTCATACTTTTTGTGTTTAAGAGGCTCTCTGAATGAATTAATGTTGAAAGCCATGACATGTATATCACTATAAGATTACAAAAAGACACCTTAAATTGTTGAATTTACAGTGTAATTTTACTGATCTAAAAAGCTACTGTGGTTAACACATTGTGCACCTTTGCATCTACAGGTATTATCATTGATCTGGTAATAAAATTGTCAAACTACATCAGTACAGAAGCAATATTGTTATCTTTGACCTTCTATAAGACTAGATTTATTGAATGAACTTGAAATCTGGTCTAAAGTATTCAAGGAATAAGCATTTATGATCAAACATTGTACATTTTCTCATTGTCATTTTATATTTTTGCCTATAGATGTGTGCCAGTAGTCCATCGTCTGTTTGTAATAAAAAATGGATGGTCTTCATAGTACTGAAAAGCATTTTAAATTTACTCTCTTTTTTTTCTTTCCAAGTTAAACACACTTTTAAAAGTGTTCACCATTTTATTGAACCCTTGCACTGTTCAGTTCCCTTTTATTTCATACCAAAGCACTTTTTTTTTGTCAACATAGCAGCTAAATAGTCAATATCAATTGTTAAACAAATCGTTAGTTGTTAGTGTCCCTTTGAAAATAAGGGAGAGATAACTGTTATGTATATAAGAAAGTAAGTATTTGTATATATTAGTTTAGAAAACAAAAAATGTTGTGAGATACTACTGCAGTCATATGTAACTAAACCATGAAATTTACACATTTTAATCATGCTGGTAAAAATAACCTTTCACTGGCTAATGATGAATAAAATGTGAAGTAAGTTGAAAACGATTTTTGTTGCTTCTTTCTCTCCTAAATCACCATATATGTGTTGTTCATGTAATCACGTTGATGATGTGTCAAGTAGACCAACTATTGCCTCAAAAGAATACCTTACAAATAGGCGGAAAAAAAAGGGATCCTTAAGGAATGCCCAAGAAAGCGAAATTGAAAATGTTGCAGGTTCAGTTTGAGCCTGTTAAAGATGGTAGTGGTTTAACTGCAAGTTACAGTCAACAACCCCTTGCACATCTTAAACAGTATTCAACATTTATACACTACAATGAAACACATTCAAGAAGTCAACTGTTCAAAAACACCTTAAAGTATGTCAAGCATCTAGTGTGTAAACCAATATAGTAAATGTCCCAAATAGAACATAGGCAAGATAATTTAATTAATGGAATTCGGAAGACAACACTTAAAATGTTATTTATTCCTAGGCATTTGTCAGTATTTACCCAAAAGTTTTTGCCGTAGAAGTGTTGTGATCCACAAAATCTTTCAATGGAGCATGTATTGCTGGTTTGGAACATTTTCTATCATTTATTATATTGACACCTTTAACTTTGGGGTGGAAATTCAGGTAAATGGAGTCGAGGTCACTGGCTAAAAAACAGTTTCTGATCAAAGCTTGTTAATAACTTTTAAAAGAAACATGCAGGAATCGTCGAATAATGTTGCACATACTCCTGTTTGGTTGAGTTGTAAGTTTTAAAGGAACTCTTGTACATGTAAAGAGTGCATCTGAAAGTAACATTTGATTATGCTCATTTCTTTGTTGAGCTGAAATGACTATATTAAAAAGATCGACTGTTATAATGGTGATTGACCAACAGTTGCTTTTGGAAAATGTTTAGGATAAAACATATCTACCCAACTCTATAAATTCAACTTTATAGGTAATTTCCAATGTATTTTTACAGAAATTTCCTCGGGTCATGCAAGTTGTTTATCGTTAATGTGAAGTCAATAATAAAATTGAAAGGAATTATCAAAATGTAAACCTAATCAGACTTTCACAGGTTCACTCACTATAAATCCTTGGCTAGGCCTAAAGTCAATAAAGTGACATGCACATTTCTTTGTTGTCAAGTTTTTGTGTCGCCTTGAAAAGGTGACATATAGGGGTTACTTATGTCGGCGGCGGCGGCGGCGTCTGTGTCGGCGTCGTTGTCGGCGTCCGCTAAAGCTTGTCCGGAGCATAACTCAGTCACTATAAGTCTGATTGACTTCAAACTTGGTATGCATGCTTCTTTCAATAACCCGAAGTGCAGTGCACAAGGACCGGTACTCTTCAGTTCTTATTTTTTGAGTTATTGCCCTTTGTTAATTTTCATACTTTAATTTTGTCCGGGCCATTTCTCTTCAACTAAAAAAGCTATGGACTTGAAACTTCATAGGATGATAGATCTAATTAAGAAGAAATGCAGTGCACAAGAACCAGTACTCTGCACTTCCTAATTTTTGAGTTATTGCCCTTTGTTAATTTTCATACTTTATTTTTGTCCGGGCCATTTCTCCTAATGTATAAAAGCCATGGACTTGAAACTTCATAGGATGATAGGTCTCATTAAGAAGAAGTGCAGTGCACAAGAACTGGTACTCTGCATTTCTTTTTTTTTGAGTTATTGCCCTTTGTTTATTTTCATACTTAATTTTTGTCCAGGCCATTTCTCTGAAAGTATAAAAATTATGGACTTGAAACTTCATAGGATGATAGATCTCATTAAAAAGAAGTGCAGTGCATAAGAACTGATACTCAGCATTTCTTATTTTTGAGTTATTGCCCTTTGTTGCTTTTATTACTTTATTTTTGTCCTGGTCATTTTTCCTCAAGTATGAAAGCTATGGACTTGAAACATCATAGAATGATAGATCTTATTGATAAGAAGTGCAGTGTCCGGAAACTGCTGCTCTGCACTTATTATTTTGTTAGTTATTGCCCTTTGTTATTTTTTATATTTCATTTTTGTCCTGGCCATTTCCCCTAAACTACATTGTTCACAAGGCGACACATCCGACTCGCGGAGTTCTAGTGATGAGATAGATATACATTTCAAAAGATTGACAATTTAAAGAGTGTAGGACGAAAGCCCCCCGTCTAAAAATGACAAGGTGGACAAAAGCCCCCCCCCATGAAATTTACACATAGGACAAAAGCCCCCCATCAAAAATACAGGTAGGACAAAAGCCCCCCCCCCCCCATCTTTTTTCACTTGCACAGGTGCTCAAATTCATCAAATTTCACCCAAACTTTTAAATAAAAATGAAAAGAATTTGTTTTAATGTTTATTTATAATGTATATATTGAAGTGATAACAAAGTATATGATAACAGATGAAATAATGCATGCATGCGATACTGAATTCATAGCTTTTCATATACACAACAAGGGTCAGAAGAGTAGTAATGTTTAATCACTTTTGTAAAGGGATCAAATTAATATCCTTAGCACTATGTCACCTACATGTGATGTCCATACATATCTTTTAAACACATAAAAAACACAACTTTAATACACTATATGTAAATTTGATCGACCATGGGTGGGGGGGGGGGCTTTTGTCCTACCTTTACTTTTTATGGGGGGGGCTTTTGTCCTATGTGTAAATTTCATGGTGGGGCTTTTGTCCACCTTGTCATTTTTAGACGGGGGGGGGGGGGGGGGGGCTTTCGTCCGGGGGGCTTTTGTCCGTATCCCCAATTTAAACGGTGACTGACTACACATATTTAGGTTAAAATATAAAAACATCATAAAATATATAGACTGTCCTGCTCCTTCAATCAACTGAGTGTTACTAATATTTATAGAAATTTTCTTAGTACTATGTGGGTTTTTGAACATTCTGTAAAAGTACATTATGAAATTTGAAACATATATTGTAATGTTATGTTGACTTTTACCTGTAACATTTACACTTGGATGGGCATAATGCTACTTTAAACTAAATGCATGATGTTGGACAAAATTCTTCATATAAATGTTTTTACCTGCATGGATGCAAGATTACAGGCATATAAGTTCAGATTTTTATTTTGGGTGACAAATTTCACCATGTTTTAAGGAAAATGGTTTTAAATTACAGTTTTCAGGTTTTTCCATATTTTCAACTTGCACCCATGTAAATGTTTACTGTACTGAAAGGAAATTAAAGAAGACACCGGTAATTTCCAAAAATTTATTCGGGTGTAAAATACACTTAAAATATAAAAACATAATCTGATAGCAATATCAAAAGCAAATACATGTAGGTCTTCAAAACTGATCTATATATTCTATGTAATAATGATAAGAATACACCCTCGCCATTATTTCCTTTCTTTATTGTAATGAAGTTAAAGATAAGTAATGACACCCAATACCCAATAAATGTAACAAATAGTAATAACTGCATTCAAGCTTAACAAACAAAATACAAGAAAAAAAGGTTTACAATCAGGTTGCATAGTTATTCAGTACAACAAATTAGAAAGGTGATTAACCAAGTTTTATAATAAAACTTGGGAATATCACCTTTGTGTAGGGCACCTGCTACAATAGGATACAAAATCAATTTCCCGTTTTACCTGGTAAAATCTGACACCTTCATTTCCTGCTTCCCCATACTACACAGTCTATATAGATTGTGATTTATTTGAAACATGAACCATAAATGCCAGTTTGCAAATAAAAAACATTTACATTTCAAAATAACAAATTTGGAATTGCAATAAAGGAACAGTTGTTGAAAGCTCTGTCGAGATTGATATATATTTTATAATACTATGTGATAAATGATAAAGGATTTTTCTTTCCTCATAAAGTAACACAATATACAAGGTCATTTATCAAGTGTTCCCATCTTCATTGCATAGTAAGCTGCATCACCTCTGGTTGATTGCTGAAAAATCAAGTCAATATTATATTACACTACATATTACATAAGATAAGTACATGATACAATAATAATACGGTTTTAAATAACATTCCATGTGTGAAGATATAAACAAACCTCATCAGTGGTTGATGAGATATGATGTTGCATGCAAAACTTTAACCACAGTGTTTAGCCGATGCCTGGGTTTGAAGGATAACCCTTCTATTCTTTGAAATGTCCAGTTAAAATATATCAAAATAAATAATCATATTGCTATGCATCATGAATATGGCAATGTACTTTTTGACAAGACTTGACTTGCTTACAGTATAGTAGTTAAATACCTGGTTAATTTCTTTGTGTCTGTCCTTGCTGACAATTTCTTCAATAATTTCACCATCACCTCTCACCAATCTACCAAAAGACAATAGAAATTGAGACTCTATCTACATGTAATTTGAAACCTAGTTATTACATTTTTAAATAAAGCTCTGTGATGTTAACGATTAATTAAAGATGCTGTTCCAATTGCAGTTTCCTTTTTGTTTTTATAAAAGATATTTTTACATAAAAACTGCAACCCATCGAATATAGTAACAAGACATCCATGATGGCACTGTATCCCTCACACAAGTGTAAAGGCTCAAAATAACAGAGGACTGATGATATTGTTAACTAGATGAAAGATAGGCATTATGTCAAAAGCTAGGTCAACTGCTATCAAAGTTCAAATCTGCATCTGGAACTGTTCATGTTGTAAAAATTTCATACACAGAGCTCCAGCTACAAAAAGTAGGTCAGTGGGTCAAATTCTAGGTCAACTGATATCAAAGTTCAAATCTGCTCCTGAATCTGTCAGCAGTAAATCAATTTTCAATGCTGTAGCTTTCAATACAAAAAGTAGGTCAATATGTCAAAATCTAGGTCAAAAATTGAACTTAAAATTAAACCGCAATGCTATAATTTGAACAAACGTGGAAGAGGTCCACAAGACAATCTTTCATGCCAAATATTATATATATCACATTTATAGTCTTCATGACTTTTGAGAAATAGGAATTTCTAAGTTAGACTCCTCAATATGTTAAAAGAAATCTACAAAAAGATCCTAGAATACTTGACCTGTTTCTCCCAGTTTCTGGATCGTACACTCTGCGTATTGTGTTCTGCTTTTTTTCCCATTCCTCTTTGGTCATTGGTCTCATCGCAGCTGCACGTGCCTGGGCTTCACGGTTCTCTGAAATACAGCTTAACAATGAAAAAATTGTCAAAGTAGATAAAAAGAGGTAGAGCTTCAAGAAAGCAATATACATGATTGAAAATATAAGACCAAGAATCTGATACATTGTATTTGATTCTAATAAAAGTAATTGATGAGAAGTTTTCTTATTGTTTGGATACAATGAAGTACCGTATGACACAACGTACTACAAGTTTTTATCATTGTATGGAATGATTTATAGAATATTCCAGAAAAAATCCAGTGTTTCAAGTAAATCATCAATATCACTTCAATAAAGTTCAATTTTGATTTCTTAAAATAATCACCTCAAGGGATGACTTCTTGCCTACTAGTTAACATGCCTTTTTTTCTTGCGAAAAGAAAATAAGATGTTAATAAAAAAATTTCTATGAGTATAATTGAAATCAAAACTTTTCTCGGTCTTGAATAATACCTATTACCGTCTTGAACACTGCCTGACGTAGAAGCAGGAGATGGCCCAGCTAGGTTTGATTTTTCTCCTTTTGCTTTCTTCTTCATCTTTTTCTTTAACTTCTTCTTCTTTCTTTTCTTTTCCTTTCTTTTTCTCTCTCTTGACGATGATGATGATGAGGACGTTGATGATGAAGAAGAAGAAGAAGAAGAACTTGTTGAGGACGAACTTGAAGATCTGTGATGAAGAAACAAAATGTGATAAAATAATGTTCTACAGCTTATTCAAGCTTCATTACCTACTAGGCTTCGTATTATGATCCCATAGGCATGTATTAGTAGATAATTACCTTCAGTAGTTTTGAAGATTAAACAAGAATTTTCTCAGATCACAAAGAGCTATTTAATTAACTACATGTATTTCAATCAAAATCTATGCTAGATTTATTGGGCTTAGACAGTGACCTTTGATACATGTATTAAATTTTAAGTGAATTCAGTTGTTTTGTAGATCGATGTTGCATGCAAAACTTAAACCAAAGAACAATAAAAGCAAATGCTGTAACAGTTGAAATACGCATATATAAGAGAAAATTTAAACGAGATTTCAGAGAGAACGGACAAAGTGAACAAAATCATAAAATGATATTATAATTGCCACATTTGGAACCAATCAATTACAAATATTACTTTTGTGATTGGAAATAATTTATTGGAAATAAATCAAACTATTGATAACTAATCTAATAAATATCTTTCTATAGAGTAACAATAAATCTTTAATAAATTACAAAACAAAACTTCTGTTTGTGAACAACTAGTTGCCTTCATTTTTTTATAAAGGTACTGATAACTTTGGCACATGCCAGAGCAGAGATACATTGCAATCACCCTTAGGATTTCATGATAAATCACAACAAAACTGACCTGCACCGTCCATGATTGAACTCGCGTCGCCTTAATGACAGTACAACGTTTTACCTATTGACATAACAGAAATATAAACTGTAAACTTATTTTTTAAAGGTACCTTCTTCTTTTGTGTTCTTTTCTGTGTTTCCGTTTCTTGTGGCTCTGCTCGCTTGATTCTCGTCTTTCTTTCTTTTTATTTCCAGACTCTGATCTTTCGCGTTTGCGATCTGACGACTTTCTTCTTTCTCTAGACCTGGATTTACTCCTCTTTCTTTTCGTCATAATGTCTGTATTCAATGTCAAGTTAAACTCGAACAATTACTTGAAATATTTATAAAATTGTAAAATGTTAATTCATGGAGGCTGACATGTTGATTTATCAATAGTCACAATTCATTTTAAACGAAATTATTTCCAATAACGGATTTTCGGCGGTAGACGCACATCGGCAAAATTACCCCCAAAAAGTAGATATTGAAAATAAATAAAACAAATAATTCAAGTCATTGGATTATCAACATAAGCACAAAGTTATTATAGGCCATCGATTTTTTTTTCCTTTTTTGAGTGTGACATGGGACCTGTGCACACTGCACAGAAAACCTAAAACACAATAAAATCCATACACAAAAATATAACATTTACAATGTTCAGAAAACAAATTTCAGTTTCAATTAATTAATGAAACATATATTAAATATCACCCAGGATCTTAATATATATTTGAAAATAACTTAAAAAAAAAATTAACTTAATGTTATAAAATTTGATATTTTATGAAATAAAATCGCAGGCTTCAGTTGAGATTTAGATTCATAATAAAAGTTCATTCTAAAATTTTCTCATATATTTTTAATACACCGTCATAACTAAAATGACATATAGGAACATATATCATAGATATATGCATGCACGGGAAATATTCATAGGCTGTGTCGGATATGTCCATCAATTCCCGCTTATAAGAGTGAGTAGAGGAAAGATCCGATACAGTAACAAAGCAGACGAGACATAATTGTCAAAATAACGCATGCGCACAAAATAGCTATAATTTTCCCGCGCCTTGAACACAAATTAATGTCAAAACTACATGTGTAATAGATAAACGGCCAGTAACTGTCTAAAATACCGAAACTTGTCCGTATAACATCTATACAGTAAATTCTTAAAATTTTCCACTTGTCGTACAACATGCATTTTGTGAAAAGACTTTGTAGACCTGTGTTGACTGTCGTGTCTCAACAGCTGTTATCAACGAAATTCAAAAATTAGATGTATTAGAATTTCAATCATGATATCACTTATAACTGAAAAAAATAGTGAGGATTTCCTGCGAAAATATTGAAATTGTATTCAAAGTATTGTTAAGTGAAACCTGTCATCGTTGGAGGACCGGTAATTTATCATTTGAGGAGCGAATGAAAGCTATCAAACATTTGGATAAAAAGAAATATTGGAAGTCAGCAACACTTGTTAATTTAGACATTTCAAAACAAAATATTTCAATTCATTTTTCACTTTAATAATGTCAATCTTATCAAAATATTGCATGGGAAAAATAAAATAAATATAATATCTAAGCCGGGACATACGTCATTTTATATCTTAGATTAAAGCCAGAACGCTTTTTAAATGTTCTTTTCAGTAGTTAGAACTACGTTTACAATAAATGTTCTGTAATCAAATTGTGAGTTTTGCCTAAGATTTTTCAAGATTTATTCAATACTGCCATGTTTCATAAGAACATGCATGTGACATAAAATACAAAATTGGGAACATGTAAAACCACATTTATTAGCAGCATCATAAATTATTCTTGAACATTTTTCAGTTAAGTCATTAACAATAACTTCACTATAATTTTTCTAATATATACATGTAAGTCAGACAGATATACATGAATATCATCTATGACATCATTCTCAAATTCTTTCATAAATTTTGGAGCTCTTCTTTTAACCCACATAGATTTAACGCCTTGATCCTCATCAACAATTTCTACATCTTTATATATAACATTTGACAAACTTGAAATAGAATTGCGTGAGTCAATGCAAAATTCAATAGGGCGATGTACATCTGAATTCAGATCATAGTCCAGTAACCAACGAATTATTCTTTTCGACAGTCTCAATTCTTTGGGTCAATTCATTGAATACTCTTCAATTATTGCACAAGATGGCCGCATGGGAAGAAGTTTCTGTAGCGAAAAATGAAAAACGCCGGGAGCTTGTTCTACAGGGAAAGACAATTAGTGAAAGAATAGACAAGAAAGGTCTTGATACTAATATATTCAAATTGACCACCCTTAATTACCTTGAAATATCAGGAACTACGCTGTCAAGTCTGGAATCTGGTGTCGGCGAATTGACCAGCTTGACATCACTGCTGTTGTGCAATAACAAGTTGACATCTCTTCCAGCAGACATTGGCAAACTTGTGAAATTGAAGATACTCAATCTTTCAAATAACCATTTAGAGAATATACCTCCTGAAATAAGTACGCTGTCAGAGTTGGATACTTTGAATGTTAGCATGAACAGATTGACAGAAATTCCCTCAGTAGAAAAATTGAAGTGTCTTCATGTATTTAACGCAGCAAACAACAAACTAACATCCCTCCCTGAGGGTCTCTTTGATTCAGAGCTTGTCCATCTAAGTCAGATTTTAGCGAGTGATAATGAAATCACAGATTTAGCACCAGAAGTTTCAGACTTGCCACATTTAAATGTTTTAGATCTTTCTAATAACAAATTAACTGTTGTATCCACATCATTGAGTATATGCCCGAAACTGAAGGATTTGAATCTTAAAGGTAACAAACTGAAGGATAGAAGGTTTGGTAAAATGGTTGAGCAATGTCAAACCAAAGCCTGTTTGGAATATCTCCATAATCAATGGAAAAAGGAAAACCAGAAAGCTGGTAAAGGTGCTAAAGATAATGAGAAGAAAAAGAAGAAGAAAGGCAAAAAGAATGAGGAGACTGAAGATGTAGAAAAAGATTCAATATCTGTAAAATCTTACCCGAAGGATGACACTGGAGTTGAAATAAAGGTGTTACCAGCTGTTTCAAGTGTGCGTCCATACATAGTGTGCTGTGTGATAAGAAATCTTGATCTTTCCAGCAAGTTCAAAGAATTTATAACATTACAGGTAGATTTATAACTAACAAGTCTGTAGAATTTTTATGTTTGACTGTTGAAAATTTATACCATTCATTTAAATGTTCAATAAAATACTGTCAAAGTTTAAAGCAACATAGTTAAGTCATAAATGAAATATAATTTATAATTTGTTAATGTAAATTCATTTAAATAAAGAATTGTCATGTACTAATGTGAAGTTTTTAGTATTTTTTAAAAGAAACTTTTCAGAGATTATTTCATAATTTGGCTAGCCCATAATTTGGTTTATTGAATGTGCATTACTTAAAATTAGATGGATTGAATTTGAAATTTTTAAAGTTATTATTTCTATTTATTATTAGTTCTTATGAAGATACATGTAAATTGTAATTTACCTAGACAATAACATGATTAAAAAGTCTGTAGTTTAAATACTTTCATTGCAGACAAAACTTCATGATACAGTGTGCCAGAAGCGACAGGCAGCAACAATTGCAACACATGACCTGAAAAATGTCAAATTACCATTGACATACAATGCAATGTATCCTCAACTGTTAAAGGTATACACTACACAGTAGATTAAACCTCCTCCTGTATAAAGATGAATAGTTGCTTTATAACATTAAAAAAATTGAGAGATATCTTTTTTTTCATACCTTTTTACAGTCTGCGAAAAATAGACATAGCCCAAGCCCCAGTCTAGTAAAATTCTGTTTGGGATAGCATAAAATGTAGGGCGCTTAGTCCAACAGTCTAGCAATGTTTTGAGATCCACAAAAATACATATGCAATGACTTAGGGAAATGTTGATTTTTTTTAAGGTATTACTATTAGCCCAAAATTTTCCAGATTGATTATTATATAGAATCATTTACACCTGTTGTATTTATAATGACCAAGAGGGATACACATATTGATTTTTTTTTTTTTTGGATAAGCTACGACGCCATAAGCTAAATGAAATCATTGACCCTTGAGTTTCAGTCTACTGTAAACCTTGTCTAAGAATATCAGGATAAATGTTAATCAAGTGATATCACTTTGCATTATTTTCTCCAGATTTAAGTAAATTGGCATCAAACTTTGTTAGAGTTTTTGGGCTAGTTAAAATTGGTTTGGGCTATATGATATTTTGATGGACAAAGCCTGAATGTCTATGACCATAAGAAGTTTTTCGTGCAGACTGTTTTTAGTCACAGCCTTACAGGGTATTATTTTAGTGACAGATATATAGTTAATTCTGTTATATTTTCATATTAACATACTATACTAACATACTCAATTTTTTTCCAATATTATGAATATATACATTTCTTAAATCATTTTAAGAACTATGCATATAGTTTTCTCAAACCTAAATTTGTTTTTAAGTTTTATTTAACTTGTCTGAACATGATGTAAAAATTTAGAATTTTTGATGGATAAAGGTTTTGTTTTGTGCTGCAGATTGTACCATTGTTCAAACATAAGGAAGTCTCTGGAGAGAAGTTAGTTGAAGATTTAAGAAAAGAGGCTGAAGAATTAAGAAAGGAAAAGAAGAGGAACACTTTTTCTGGAATACACAAGTATGCACTCATTTAATTAACCAATGTAGAACTGGTATTTGCTATATGAACTAAGTAACTAGAGTTGCATTTGTGACAGGAAAACAAAACATGTAAGATCTTATTCATCAATAATGTCTCAGAAGTTAGTGAAAATTTAGGATTATTGTAATGAGATTTAGTTTTCTTGAAGTGAAATTCGGGATGAGCTGTATTGGTGGTTGCAACTATGGTGTTCAGCGTAACAATTGTCTGTGTAAATGTTTTAGTCAATTGTACTTCAAATTTTTTTTTGTTACTTTGTGAATGTATACTAATCTGACCTTTTTAATGACCAACAGAGGTAAATAGACAATAACTTTTAAACATATTATCATGAAGCAATGGTTGTTCTCCTTGTTAATATGCATCAGTAGTATGTGTAATAAATAATTCAGATGTTAAAGACTTTCATAATGCATAATTCTACATGCATGACATATAAACTAAGGTCTGATTTTATTTTTATTTTACTTTACAGGTATTTGGATCTATTGGCAGACAAAACTCAATACCCTTGCCTGGTTGACAAAGAAGCTATCGTTATTTCATTCCCACCAATAACTAACAGCGATAAAACTAAGGTGAGTGAAAACAGTTTTATTATACATGTAAAAATATTATGCTTGTATTTTTGTGTCGCCTCTACGGAGTAGTGGCGACATATAGGGATCACTTCTCCGTCGTCTGTCTGTCTGTCTGTCCGTCCGTCCGTCACAAAACTTGTCCGGACTACCCCTCATAAACTACTGGTGCAATTTCATTCAAACTTTACAGGAATGATCAGTATCAAGTCTAGTTGTGCATATTGTCAGCATTTTCCGGTTCAATGATTTTTGTCAGAGTTATGGCCCTTTAATAATTTTTAATTTTAAAAGTTGTCCGGACTACTTCTCTTATACCACTAATGCAATTTCAATGAAACTTTACAGGATTGATCTGTAGCTCAAGTCCTTCCGCATATTGCAAGGGTTTTCCGGTTGAATGATTTTTGGCCGAGTTATGGCCCTTTGATAAAAAGGTGTTTTTTTCTGTGTGTTGCCAGATACACAATAGCTTGTCCGGACTACTCCTCATAAACTACTGGTGCAATTTCATCCAAATTTTACAGGAATGATCAGTACCAAGTGTAGTTGTGCATATTGTCAGCATTTTCCGGTTCAATGATTTTTGTCAGAGTTATGGCCCTTTAATAATTTTTATTTTTAAAGTTTGTCCGGACTAGTTCTCTTATACCACTTATGCAATTTCAATGAAACTTTACAGGATTGATCTGTAGCTCAAGTCCTTGCGCATATTGCACGGGTTTTCCGGTTGAATGATTTTTGGCTGAGTTATGGCCCTTTGATAAAAAGGTGTTTTTTTCTGTGTGTTGCCAGATACGCAAAAGCTTGTCCGGACTACTCCTCAAAAGCTACTGGTGCAATTTTATCCAAACTTTACATGATTGATCAGTACCAAGTCTAGTTGTGCACTGTCCGTCTGTCTGTCCGTCTGTCACAAAATTTGTCCCAACATGAAATTGGCCATTATGAGGCGACACATGTGATTACTGATCGCTCTTGTATATTCTTAACATTATGTTATATATTACATATGAATATTTTTGGTCTTGTTAAGTTTCAATGGTTTAAGTCAACATGACTATAGATTTCAAAATTTCATCATTTGCTTGGATATTATATCCCTTGCTCTAGAATCCCGAGACAATATTTTGAGCTTTTAAATATTGAAAACATGGTGCAGTATAAGCTTATCATAGCTGGACTTTGTTACATACATGTAATATTAAATCAGAGATATTTTTGTAGACAATGTTTCACAGTCAACATTTTTTACTTATTTGAGAGGTGAAAATTTCTATTGATTTTACTAAAATGTTGACAAAGAAAAGTTTCTAACTCTATAAATTTTTATAATATAGATCTGTATGGAGACCACAGATATACTGGTTGAAGTAACGAGCTCCACAAGTCTCGACACTTGTAAAAAGATCATGGATGAGTTGCTCTATAAAATGTTAGCTGCCGGAATAGCCAGTAAAACCATACCAAAGGCAGCTGGTGCCACGGCCAAGGGAGGCGACTCTGAAAGTGAGGACAGCGACGAGGGAGTGGTGTTCCAGAACCTGAGGTTGACCTCGGCAATTAAGACGCTGATTGTCGAGCAGGTCAAAGTCGTAGATTCAGAGGATACGTTAAAAGTGCTGTACCCATCAAGAACTGATCTTTCCTCGGATTTGATTGAGGTTGTACGTGAATAAAACAAATAGGAAAATCAAAATTAAACATGAAACAGTAATAATGGAAAAGAACTACTTCTTTGGTTAAGACTTATTAAGGTTATCATTTATTTCAATGTAATCTTGAATACAAGAATTTTCAAATGAATGCTAAGATGCATATATACATGTTATTGGTAAAATATTGATTGTTGTAATAACTATTGTAATGCAAAAACTTCCCACTTTTACAAACCCATAACTTGTAAACATTGAACTGTTAATGTGCTATTAAAGTAAAAGAGCTTTTTTTTGGGTTTGGTTAATATTTCCATTCTGCTGCACATCTCTCCTAAATTCATTGAAGGATATTTATGTTTAAAATATAATGATTGTCACATTTTGAGGACATGCAGACAGGCAATCTCAGTGTCTTAAGCTGCACAATTTCTGGACAAATTCCATATTGGTTCTTAACTTCTAAATCTCTTTAACCCATAAATCCCAGTCTTTTGTGAATGGGTCCAGGGAACTTTAGGCACGGTATTGCCATTATTTATAAATATAGGCAGACCTATATCATAGTAATCATACTGTTAAAATTTAGCTACTAAATGGGGAAAAGGTTGAAATAATGTGTTGGAAATGCCTTGATTAATAACCTTATTAGATAAAGTCCAGAAGCTTTTATGTTTCAAGTCCTTGACAATTATGTGAGTAATTGCAATTCGATTTTGAAGTTTTCAAGTAAATTTCACTTATTTTACCAATTGAAGATTTCTATGAATATAAATTTTTATCATGTATCCAAGAAATTTTACAGAACTTAAAATTAGAAATTCATAAATATTTAATTTCAAAGATGTTAATTTTGCTAAATTTTGACCTCACAAAAATATCTGCTACTAAAAATTTTATGTTAGTGATTTTTTTTTCAACTGAAATTGTATGTATGTCGTATTATTCCTACAACTTGCTATGTGTCGGTCTTTAAAATAAATTCTTCTGCAATATCACAATTTTATTTTATGTTGTTTTTTCCCAAATAAATATTGCTATAAAGCTGACACTTTGGCAAGCATTCAAATGAAAAGTGTATTAAAGAATTACAAGATGGTTCATTGTGATATGCCTATTTATAAACTTTCATTTTAATGACTTTGTGAATACCATTGCATCTCGGGGAAAGTTAAATAAAGAAAGCCTTAATAAAATCAAATAATCCTAAATTTAGAATTTAGCTTTAAGCAGTAACATGACTGGATGGGATTGGTTATCTTGACCTTCGACATATTGACTTTTAAATAGGCATGTCATGCAGAGCTAGATGTATCTAAATAATTATCAAGTTTTCAAATAAGTTATTTACCATGAACAAAAACTACATGAAAATATTCAACGTGTTACTTGATCTTGACCTGTAAACCCGGGTAGAAATTAATCAGTGCATCTATGTACAAAAATTGAACTCCCGCAGTTGAGGCATTTTGATTTAATGGTCAGTTTTAGTTTTGTAATTACAGTGACCTTTCAGTTTGACCTGAAAATGAGTAAGGATCAATGTACATATTTAAACCAAGTTGAAGCCGATTGGTTAATGCTCTTTGATTTAACCTTTACTTTTTGACCTGAAAATGTGTGTGGCAGGTGGAATTCATCTAGGTACACCCTTGACATATAAAGTTCTGAATGCTCTAGCTTTGTAAGTATAGAAGCTAATGGCCATACTGTATATGAAAACTTAACCAAAGCCAACATATAAGCTCAAGAATTTTCTTTGAAAAGTGGAGCTAAAACCCATCCGTTATATGCAGTACAGTAACTGTATTACATATTCTTCATCCTCTGCTAAACACTACTTTTTTCCCTCAAAAATGTTGCCACTTACATTACTGGACAATTACTAACCAAGTGAAACTATAACAAATTATTTTCTTTTTTTTTCAGTATTTTATTTTACCACAAATAAAAATTCATTATAGAAGTTACATAGAATTTAATACAATACAAAAATCACTTAAAATGTCAATTTTACTTGGAGCATTCTAAAACAAATACTTCACTATATGTGTATAACGACCGCTCATGAGAAAACAGTCAAATGTATATATATTCATACTACAGTCTAAGAGCAAAACCTTTATATCTTGTTTCTTTACTCCAAAAATAACTGTTTTGCTCTAAACACTTGACACTTTTTTGGATAAAACTTCTGAGATTCCTTTCAGAAAGTAAGCTGCACTAAAAATACACGGGCTAACAGTAAGATAAAAACATCTCAAACTAGATTATCTCCCCTTTACTGACTAAATCTTTGCAACACTCAAAAGGAAAGGCAATAAACTGATTTTGTTTCTTATTTATCTGTACAACAGATTTGACCCCATTCTGTAAAACAAGACTAGTTCTTGTTTACAGACAGTTTGCTCCATTTCTCTCAGTGCTGGATAGAAAATACAAGCAACATAGAAAACGGGAAATAGTTCTGCAAACATAAATAGCAGATTAAACAACCCTAGTTAGTCAACAAGTATTTCAAGTTTGAAGTGAATACCTTTGACAGTTTTTGAGCAAAAGGCAAAATATTCCAAGTCTGAAAAGGTAAATAATTATGCAAAAATGGCTTTCAGGATTATATGCCACTTTGAAATGTATTTCAAATTTGATAGTGAACAAGTATTCTAAGTTTAAAGTGAAAATCTTAGAAATTTTTTGAGAATTGTACCACTTTCTTTCTTCGAAAAGTGAAGCTGATTATTAACTCCTTTCATAATGGTTATTGACAGTATTAACTGTTTGACTTATATATAGTTGCAAACAATTTCTCCTTCCATTTTAAACAGTCTTATTGTACAGTTCAAAAAGTCAAATGATCAAAATTGGTTAAAAGTCAAATTTTGACAATTTTTTGAAGAGCTAGCTGTACATGTTAAAAAACTTACTGCTTAAAATCAACTTTCCACTTTTATGAACACATTCAATCAAAAACAAACATAAACAACAAATAAAAATACAAAAGAGGTCAAAAAAGTACGTAAAATAATACATGCATGTATAATTAGTAAATGTACACTTAAAAGAAGAACTAATTCTCAGTAATGCAAAAACTACAATAAAAGGCACATTATGCCTCAGAAATCCATATTTTTGTAATTCTTTAGAAATGCCAAACATGTGTTTGATAATATTTTAATTATGAATTAAGAGCATTATAGATATTCAACAACTGAAAAAATGTAGCACTGAACAATGCAATTATGTTGTCATAAAGGAAGCAAAATGCAAACAAATTAGTATTTTGACTTGCGTATAAAAAACTAATTCACTAAATATACCATTTGCAAAAAGAGCAAAATAAGCAAAGAATAGTTTATGTATATGGCAAATAAGTATTTTTTAGAAAATGTGGCAAGATACTAAAGATAGATATTTTTTGAGAAATAAAAATTACAGCATTTCTAAGACATATTGGGCCTTTAAGTATCATCCAAACTTTCTTTAATACAAGTGTAGTCATTTGAACAGACTCAATAATACAAGTCTAATCATTAGTCAACTTCATATCTGAATCAGCCAATCAGATGATTCAACAATATAAGTCTGATCATTGGTCAATTTCAAATTTGTATTAACCAATCCGAGAGACATCCTGATCCTACTGTGTTGTAACACTGTATTATGCCGGTAGTTGTAAACCACACTATGGTCCTTTGTAAGACATAAAAACAACTGCTAAATACAACCAAAATCACTTTTATAATAAACTGACAATTTTTATAAGAATCGAAGAGCTAAAAGTAACACTTTTAATCTGACTAGTTAAGCATGTAGAAGTATTTCATTATACATTCTCTTTAAAAGTTACACAATTTACATAGGCACAGACCTATTGTAGAACTTACATTACAAGCTCATATTTGGACAAAATTGTTGTTGTTGTGTGTTTTTACAACATTAGACCAGAAATACCAAAATACATGTACATGAATCTCTATAATAAAAAAAAAACATAAGAGAAATCAAAAGTATATAAACAGTATTTTACCCTAAAATAATTTCATACGAAACATAAATAATCTCACAAAGTAAATGCCAAAATCATTACGCGAGATTCCTAGATATAACAAAATAAAAGCTATGTCACAAGTTATCGATGATCTGTCAAAATAAATGAATTTCACGATCTGTGACAAATATGACTTAAAGATAAAACAAAAATATCTGTAACAATGATACATGCTCCCTGACATTGCCTCGACAAAGCTAAAAATGTTGCCTTACTAATATATTTTTAGTCTCGGCAACCGAATCTCCAAGCAGAGGCAACAATTTTAGAGTACGTCCATTTTGAATAATGATATGTAAAACAATATAATACTATTTAAGAAAAAAAAGAAAATGAAAATGTGACAGTTTAAAAGAAGATCGTAAGAACTTTCAATAATGAGATTTGTCTCAGTCTACGACAGCCTGCTATCAGTTAGATGGCAATGAATGAAATACATGTATTGATAATTAGACCGGGTAACGTGGATTTCCTAAAGTTGAAGTTTCCAATAAATAAATAATAGTGTGTCCATTTTCAATCCAGTAAATATATAGCTTGTGTAAGGTTGGATGGGTTATAGCATACAAAACAATAATTGATTATAGATACATGTAAATATACCCTTGCAAAACATTCTACATGAAGATACTTGACAAATATAATTATGTATGACAAAAGCTCGAAATAGCAACAAATACCAGTATCAGTACTTGGGCATCCTTTCAATTAAATACATGGGGTTACTCTGAAGATTTCTTAGTTCTTGTAAAATGCATAACAATTACATCCTATTTTTCCATTTTGGTCAAAACCAGTCACAAGAATGAAGACGGCAGCATAAATATAAGAATGACAATGTCAGCGATTTACTTTCGTTCTCTATTTTGATATATAGAATTGACTAGTACTAGAAAAGCTCAAAAGACCTTACAAGTACCTCAGAATAAACTTGGGGAAAATTCAGAAATTCTATTTTATTTTATAGGACTCTTTTCTTTTTTTTTCTTTGGTATACTAAATAATCAATTTTGTTAACCAATACATGGACGTTTGATCAAGTACTCAATTAACAGGTTACTCATTGTCATCCCTAAAAAGAAACAAAGATGAAATGATTAAATGTAAATCTCAATATACATATTTATAACTAACTTACTTGAACAAGTGTACATAAAATGAGTTTTAATGTATACTACACATACTGATAACTTGCATTGTTTTGGCATTATTCTTTTCAATAAAACATGTTTTTCCTATAAAAAAAAACAACAAGAGGGCCATGATGGCCCTGAGGTCGCTCACCTGTATATAGCCCCCCCCCCCCCCCCAACGTTGCAGGGCCAATTTTAACCCAAGGGCTTTTATTTGCACAAAATTGGTAGACTACCATAAGATGTTTCATGCTAAACATCTAAGCTCTAGCTCATTGGGCTTTTTAAAAGAAGATTTTTTTAAAGTTTTTACTATACACATATAGTTAAAAACAATGACACCCCTGGGGCCGGGCCAGTTTTGACCCCAGGGCTTTTATTTGAACAAACTTTGTAGACACTAACTAGAAGATGTTTCATGCTTAATATCTAAACTCTATCTATTTGGGTTTTTTCAAAGAAGATTTTAAGTTTTTGCTATACACATATAAGGAAAATCAATGACCCCAAGGGCAGTGCCAATTTTGACCCCAGGGCTTTTATTTGAACAAACTTGGTAGACACCTATTAGAACATGTTTGATGCTAAATATCTTAGCCATAGCTCTTTGAGTTCTTTAAAAGAAGATTTTATAAGTTTTTACTATATGCATATAGGGAAAATCAATGACCCCCTGGGGCGGGGCCAATTTTGACCCCAGGGCTTTTATTTGAACAAACTTGGTAGACACCTATTAGAACATGTTTGATGCTCAATATCTTAGCCATAGCTCTTTGAGTTCTTTAAAAGAAGATTTTTTAAGTTTTTACTATATGCATATAGGGAAAATCAATGACCCCCTGGGGCGGGGCCAATTTTGACCCCGGGGCTTTTATTTGAACAAACTTGGTAGACACTCACTAGAAGATGTTTCATGCCAAATATCTAAGCTCTAGCTCTTATGGTTTTTAAAAAGAAGATATTTAAAGTTTTTTCTTTCGGTTGCCATGGCAACCAGAGTTCTGCATGGAATTAAATTCTTTGAACAATTTTTAAAGGTGACCACCAAAGGAACATTCCTGTGAAGTTTGGATGAAATTGGCTTAGTGGTTTATGAGGAGATGTCATTTAAAGTAAAAGTTTACGGACGGACGATGGACGGACGGACGGACGCCGGACGAAAAGCGATCACAAAAGCTCACCCTGTCACTCTGTGACAGGTGAGCTAAAAAACAATCTACGTTTAAGAAAGCAACATCATATACCCTTTGTTTTTCCTACTAAAAACAAAAAATCTTAATGTATAGTGCAACAAAACCCGATAAATGTGGAACTTGCTATATTAGGCCAGCAAAAAACAATGTACACTTATCCTAAAAAAGAATACTTAAAATACCAGTATTTAATAAACTTGGGAATATATGCCTTGACAACTGACACATTACATCCCACTTGGCAGTGCTTTAGAATTACAAATTCATTTAGTTAATAAAGAAAATTCAAATTTACCGGCACAGTAGTGAAAATATTTTTCTTCTAACAATCTTTTACTTCACATCACAAATTTGTTGACATTATTCATGCTTACTTCATCAAAAATGTAAAAGCACCTTGTTGATATATCCATTTACAAAAAAAAACTTAAATTATGTCACAAACACTAACACACATAATTTGACATACATATACATGTACATATTATTTACAAAGAAACAAAGCACTGGTATATTTATATCTTCCTTAACCCTGTAAATAGTCTGCTGTTGGTAACGGCTCACCTATTCCGGCGAAAATGTTTTACCGGAAGTTTGATTGGATTTCTTAAGTCACACTGCTAACGTTAAATTGTGGCTGTCATTTCGAATCCATACTTTACAGTGTGAGTAGAACCTGAACAAAACCATCAAATTTGAGGAAGGCTGCTGAATAGCCTACTCACATTTCTGATACAAATGTCCCCAGCCATTTTGGAACCCAACCAAGTGAGGGCACACTTTTCAAATAAAGTGACAAATCTCGACTCATACATGAACTAACCACAAAAATAGAATCCAGCCAGTAAGCACATCCGTGCTGCACGACAAAAGTGTTGGTGATTTGATTTTATATATCATATTTTGATATTGTAATCCCTTTAAGTAGCAATGTTCTGTTCCAAATTTAAATTTAGGTGAGTCCATTATCAATATCAAACAGGGTAAGGGTTATAAAGATCAGGAATGGACTATTTATCGCCAGTCACATCGTGAGAATTAGTGAGCTCGTGAGAGTTGTTCATAATGTTGTTTGGAAGTGATTTGACGCGTGATGGGGAGCCAATAAAACTGTCTTTCAGGGACAGGTTGAACATGGAATAGTTTGGATCCTCCGTGACTTCTTTTACAATGTGTAGAAAATCGGGTAAATGTAGCTCGTCAGCTGTCTTTGTTGTGTAGGTCTCGAGTAAAATCAGACCTCTACACCTGTAAGAAAATTTATAAAATTCAATTTATATATTCTCTTTTCTACACATATGAATGATCTCATGATTTTACATGGCATTAAAAATATCTTCCCAAAAATCAAAGAATGTTAATGATGTATTGAGACAAAATTTCCCTTGCTATAAAAAATTGTACGCTGGAAAATTCATTCTATAACGAGATACAAAGTGACAGAATTATGCTGTGGTTTTCATTAAGAATTTAAGTCACACCTACACAGTCAATGGCATATGATCACTTTTTCAAATAAGTTTTACTTGTTTACGTTAACCTCAGTTGTTCCTCCAAGCATTATCCCACCCAAGGAGAATCATACTTTTCCATAATTAGCTGGATGGTTTCTTAAAGAAAAGCAGTGTAACAGCAAAGATATGAATAATGATGGCATCTGCCAATGGCGCGCTGGGGTCAGCCCACAGGGTGCTGACTCAGTATGATAAAGCTCTTGCGTATCATACACAGGAGTTGAGCATACGGCAAGATATGAATGACCTTAAAGGCGAGTGCAGAGCTCATGGAAATTTGGGTAGTGTTCACATGTGCATTATGCAGCATAGGGTAAAGTAGGATAAACGTTTCGTTTTCTACTAACTTGTCGGGACAAGGTTCTGTGTAAATATCCATCTGGAAGTACTGATTCTTCCATAGAAAGCACCGTCGTAGTTTATTTATAGTGTCATGATTTTCATCACGCTGCATCAACAAAATCTGAAAGTTTAATAGAAGCAGAACTCAATTATTTATATGGTTAAAATATAAACTCCCCGATACTTATATTACTTCAACACAAGCTCTAGAATGTGGTATATAAAATCAATATAAGCTTGTAAAACTTGGTATATAAAATCAATATTTAAGCTCTTAAAACTTGGTAAATAAAATCAATATCAATTTGTAAAACTTGGTATATAAAATCAATATCAGCTCATAAAACTTGGTATATAAAATCAATATAAGCTTGTAAAACTTGGTATATAAAATCAATATTAGCATGTAAAACTTGGTATATAAAATCAATAATCGTCATACGCTGTAATCTTTGAAATGTATTGCCATTCTCAACTCAACACTCTGTTTGTTAATCTCTGGTCTCCTTATAGTATGAGTATATGTCCATACACCTGTAAGTAACAGTCAAAATGTTAAAAGGAACAATATACAATTTTCTGATTTTTCACTTTTGTTTAAACAAAACTAAAATGAAGAAATCTTAGAGTTCAGACCAGACATGAATATTGAAATAGTCTCACCGTGTTGGCCTCGTTTCCTGAGCCTTGCCTGCATTTTCCTGCTTGGTGTAACCAAGTAATCGTGGATGACAGTGAAATCTTGGAATGGTGGAAATTTCTACAAAAAGTAATAGAAAATATTTTATTAAAATGTGAAAAGAACCTCCCTAAAAAGGCTTTTTTCATATCTGTAAAAGTAAATGGATCCATTCCTAATTGCTATAAATAACTTTTTCTCCAGAATTGTTAAAAACTTCTCTGCTGTTTCTAATTTTTATTGTTATTCAATTTACATACATTTCTTTACTTCAGAAATGACCCAACTTTACTGATCCAGACCAATTCCAAAAACCATGAAAAAAACAATCCTATTTAAGGATTTACCGATTACAACACTATTGAGCATTTACACAAGCAACCATATTGGCATTCTCTGAAATAATGATGTCACAGTGGGAATCACCCTCTCACATGACAAAAATGTACTAAGTACTGCCATAGTAAAGCAGTAGAAATATAGTTGTAAATACTGAAAAATCAGTCATTAATAACACATAACGTAAAATATTACTTGAATCTTGAATCACTTTACTTTTTCCTAAAATTTCAGTACATATTTCTCAAGTTTGATGTTATTGAAATATTTTTACTAATCTGGTGGCATGCAGCTTTAAGCATTGAATTGAAGAAAATAAATTTTTGATCAAGTCTACATGTAAAAATACTTACATTGTACATGTAACTATACTTACATCTTCTGATGGCAGACTTTGAACGAGGAATTTCCTCTTGGTTGTGTTAGTTTCTAATCTGTCACCGGCATCTATTCCTAATCTGTTACATACTGCCTGAAACCAGATAGTAACTTCTTACATTTACCTTTGACATTTCATTCATGTATATATTTAGGAGAGATTTTTTTCATGTAAGGTATTAGGGTATTATTTCTTAAAGTTACATGTCATACATTAGGTTTCTAAGAATTTGATATTTACTCCAGAATAACTATGTAGATGGCAAATCATTGCAATAGTATGTACATGTATATAGTCATATGGTTTTAGTGATGAGGAAGAGTTAAAATGCCTTTCTGTGTATTATTGCAGTCATATGTTTGTAACAAAGCAGAATAACTGACCTTCCCTTAAGCTTATTGGGATAGTTCCCTCATATGAGAGAATAAAAATTCTAACACTATCGGAAATTTTTCTATATAAACAAAGAAGGCCCGAAGCGTGCATTATTCTACAACAATGCACTCGCCGTTCTTATTATCTCCCTGTGTATTTTCACATTGAGGGCGCCATTTTGTTTGAAAATCTGATAAATAAAAAACAATTTTTTTGTCGAATTTTGTTGTGAAAACTATCTAGAATGAAAGAAAATGGTCTAACTAAGAAAATGAATCCGAACACCAATATCTTTAATTCAGTCGTTAACGCTGTACAGACGTTTAAAGTGTTGTTTACGTGACGTCACAATGTAGCGCCAAACAGCACGTGCAAAACAATCAAGTCAAGTATGCTATTTTAATGTCGCAAACGAGTTAAGTTTTACATTTATTTCACTTTTAATAATTTGTATTTCGCTTGAAAAATTATAGAGTGAAATAAAATAAATAAACAAAGTTTTATCAACGTTTTCAAAATTCGTTATTCTCAAAATGTTTCTACACACGGTAGATTTAACAACAGATTTTTTTCAACCCACTGGAACAGCCTTTAAAGAACGTTTCTATTGGAAACTCTGCGGCGAAAACAAATTTAATCACCAAACATAAAGTCCAACTTTATAATAATAATAATATTTTTTCTTGACGTATTAGAATGGAAATAGGTATCAATACTTTGTGCATTATTGTATAATAATGCACGTTTTTCGTTCAAATGCTTTGTAATTAATCACTCAGGCCTATCGGCCTTCGTGATTATATTACTACGCATTTGAACTCAAACCGTGCATTATTCTACAAAAATGCACTCAGAATTGATAACTTTTTCCTAAATCACAGATGGGGTATGATTATGAACCAAACGTAGTGAGATGCAAGATAATTTGAAGTCAGTGACCTTAACTACACAGCCACAGAGGAACTGGATTGAGAAAATAGGAGTTTTATCTTTATAACGGACACTTACATGTATCATCTTTGTTATTTTTTCTTCAAAGTCAGTTGAGTTGTCTATGACATCATAGTATGGATGTCCTACCCAGGCCTGAAATAAAATACACATCATGTATAGGATGGCAAGGTTTGTAAACATGCATCAAATTAATCATATACTGATTAAATTAATAAACAATGGTATTAAGTGTAAATTTCTTACATAACACAATTCAACAGTTTTCATCTACAGAAGACAAACTGTTGACAGCCAAGCCTGCATCAATTTCAATTTTTGATTTTCTAAAAGTTAAAAAAATAAATTTAACCACTCAGGAAATTTCAAACTAAGGGTAAATATTCTAGGAATAAAACACCTTACCCGAGATGTGTAATCATCTAAATGCCGTGCCACACCTAGATCTTCACTACGTGTTTTATGTCCCGCACATGTGTAGAAAGACTCGGCACCACTGGCAGCAGACACCATATGTAACACCTGGTTATACCTATTATCTCGTAAATTTACTTCACTCCAACCATTGTCCCGCTTCATTCTCTCCCAATCATCTGGTGGCAAGTCTGCCATGAAATAAAGTTGATAAATTTATAACATCTTATGTCTGCCATAAAACAAAGTTGATAAATTTATAACGTCTTATGTCTGCCATAAAACAAGAGCTGTCCATAAGACAGCTCACTAGACTATTCTCAGTGCTTGGCAGTAAGAAAAGGGGCATAACTAAGAAACAGAAAACAAGTGTGTGAAGTTTCAATCCATTCTTTTCATCAATTTTGGAGATCCCAACTTGCGCACAAAAACTTTACCAAAGTATGAATGCAATGCTGACATTGAGGTGAGCACAATAGCTCTCCATATTCTTCGAATATTCAAGCTAAAAACCAAGCTTTTGAAATTAAACTTTTTACGAAGATTGAATTTTTGTTTTGGTTGTGTTCTAAATAACAATGAAACTGTCAATGTCATATGTTGACACGCCAGCTTTATTGGGGAAGATAAATAGTTCACCATTAGGCACCGCAGAACAATGAGTTATGGAAAGAATAGTTTGGCTTAAGTGATTGTTTTACATAATATTTCAGTAATGTACTGTCTAGTAATTATCTATAATGTATTCTTTAACTATATATCAGTTCTCGACTGTTTTCTTAACAAGTTATCCACATACATAATGAATATGCAGTTCAGGATAAATTGCTTAATATGTGAAAAAAATCTGTCTCAGAAACATAAACACAGTTACACCTAAGCCATGCATATTTTTTGTTTGTCGGGGTTTAAGTCACATCAACACTGTAATAGACTTATAGCAACTTTCTAGCTTTACTCTAGTGGAGCATGACCATAGTAGCCCCTCTGTGCCTTATTTCAAGCATGAATGGGCACCTGAGTAGAACCACTGACATGCCTTAAGATAGCTAAATAGCTTCCCCACAAGAAGAGTCAAATTATGGCCTTGGTGGGAAAGCACTTGGCTATGAAACTCCAACCCTGCATATGTACTTCTAGTACGTTCTTTTAACATTTAACAAGCAGTCTTTCACATTTTTTTAACTAGCAGTCAAGTTCATAGCAACAACCACCATGACAGTAAACAAGAGCTGTCGGTAGGACAGCACGCTCGACTATTCTAAGTGCTTGATAGTAAAAGAGCTTTGATAATGTTAAATTTTTTATGATCACAAAAGGTCTAATTTTTTTTTAATAAATTCATGTTATAGGCCTTAGAGAGAGTCTAATTATACAGTATTGGCTTGACTATTCGGAAGGTAATGTCACAAGGTTGTTTTATTGAGTATAATAATACTTATTACCTATGAATACATAAATTTGACAGAAAAGGTACAAAGGCTTCTAATTAAGATGTTTTATCAAGTAAATCACTGCTTTATTATTATGAATGCATAAAATTGTCCCAAAAAAAGGCACAAACCCTTCAGTAGTAATTGAGATAACAGCTTACAAGCAAAACTTTACCATGAATTTCTAAGTTGAAAAAGGGGAGAAAAATCAGCCTAAATGCAAGATAGAATTATGGATCTTTGTCAGTGACCTACAATTATGACCCTAAATGCATATGTGAAGTTTTAAATAAAAATCTTTAATAGTTATTGAGATATGTAAAACTTGCATGTAAACATTAACCAAGAGACCAAGTAGAAAAGGGGATATGAATCAGCCTCAATGCAAGATAGAGTTATGGAACTTGGTCAGTGACATACAATTATGACCCTCCAATTATGACCCTAAGTGCATGTGTAAAGTTTCAAGTAAATATCTTTGAAGACCTTTAACCTTTAACCAAAATTTCTAAGTTTCAAAGGGGCAAATAATTCTTCAAATTTTGCAGGCAGAGTTATGCAATTTTGCAAACTGATGTACATTGTTACTATAAAAAATTATTTTAAATTTCAATTGAATATCTCAAGCAATAATTGAGATATTTGACTTTACAAAAAAACTTTAACCAAAATTTCTAAGTTCCAAAGGGGCATAATTCTGTCAATATTGTAGGCAGAGTTATCCAACTTGTCAATCTGATGTACCTTGTTACTATAAATAAGTATTGTAAGTTTCAATTGAATATCTCAAGCAATAATTGAGATATTTGACTTTACAAAAAACTTTAACCAAAATTTCTAAGTTAAAAAGGGGCATAATTCTGTCAATATTGTAGGCAGAGTTATCTAACTTGTCAATCTGATGTACCTTGTTACTATAAATAAGTATTGTAAGTTTCAATTGAATATCTCAAGTAATTATTGAGATATTTGACTTTACAAAAAACTTTAACCAAAATTTCTAAGTTAAAAAGGGGCATAATTCTGTCAATATTGTAGGCAGAGTTATCCAACTTGTCAATCTGATGTACCTTGTTACTATAAATAAGTATTGTAAGTTTCAATTGAATATCTCAAGTAATGATTGAGATATTTGACTTTACAAAAAACTTTAACCAACGCAGACGCGGACGCCAACGCCGGGGCGACTACAATAGCTCTCATATTCTTCGAATAGTCGAGCTAAAAATGTTGATTTCTTTATGACAACATAAATAAAATGCTATGTTTTTAACTTACATGCTGAACCGTCCATCAGTCCTCTATCACAAATAACCAGACAATTCTGTGGACAACTTTGAGCCAAATCAAAGTATGTGTTTTCTACTTGCATCATTGTTTTAATGAGATTCTCTTGAAAGACATAAGCTGAAAAACCCAACAGAAATTATACAATATCTTTAACTGACAAACATTTATGTTTCTTTAGTTGGGTTTTAAGGCACACCAACAACACTGCAAACTTTCTTTTCACATTATTTAATAATCTAAAACTTACAGTACAAACTAACACATATTAAGTAGAAACTCCAGTCTATAGTCTATAAGCCAATGGAATAGCTTCCTATAAGTCAACAGAATAGCTTCCTGTAAGTCAATGGAATAACTTCCTATAAGCCAACAGAATAGCTTCCTGTAAGTCAATGGAATAGCTTCCTATAAGCCAACAGAATAGCTTCCTGTAAGTCAATGGAATAGCTTCCTATAAGCCAACAGAATAGCTCCCTGTAAGTCAATGGAATAGCTTACTATAAGCCAATGGAATAGTTAATAGAATAATAAATGGAATAACTTCCTCACATTAAAGAATCCAGGATTTTGTTGGATTTGAACCCACAGTGGATGTGGCAAGTTATGTTACTGTTAGCAATCAAAACAACATGGACATAAACACTTCTAACAACAAAATAGAGATAAATTTAGTATACCTTTAACAATATACCTTGCTCTAAGATTATTGCATACTAAACACACAGTTCTGTGTGAACACCACTCTTAGTACATAGTAACTATATAAACCCCAGTGAATGGTCATTATAAGTTCATTATACCAAAGGTAAATCTCGCTTAATTAATCATTTATAATGTAAGCAAAGTGTTCATTTGTCCAGCATTTAAGTACATATGTATAATTTTACAGAAAAAAACTATTTATTAAAGGTTATACATGAATATGCATTAATCTAAGCCATTTTTAGGTATATTTTTGAAAAAGAATGCATATAAAAAAAAAGAACAAAAAGTTTGTGGCCTATTGTTATACGAGTCCTTGTAAAAACGCCTAAAAAGGCTTTCATTACTATTAATTATAAACATACATGTATATACTTGTTTTTGAAGTTTAATTTCAAAAAGTTTGAAATAATGGTGTACATTGTATATCATAGACTGCTATTAAATGATTCATCTTTCTTGATACATTCTTGACAACTAGTAAGAAAATGTTTAATGTCCATCAAAAAACATGCCACAATAATCTTTTTTTCAACCTCCACTTTTACTGAACCTGAAGAACATTCTTTTTATACCTGAACAAAGTCTAAATGGACAGGTCTAACTGTATTGAATACTTGAGTCACTGAAATGATGTTCACTGACAGCAATTGTGGTCAGTTTTCATGTGACACCTTAGGTGACCTCTGCCATCAAACCTAAATTTTCTCAATACTGCTGGCTGACTATCTTTCCATCCATAAATTTAAAGTGTTCAAAAAGAAATACCGGACAAGACTATCTCTAAAGCTCAGCAAGAAAAAGAGTAAAATGGTATTTTATTACAGTAAAATTAAATCATGTACCTTGTTCTTGTGACAGCTCTGAAAACTTGACACCACCACTGAAAATAAAACACAGTAGTTTACAGTAAATTCACTCAATAAATTTACATTAATTAACTACTATACATTTCTTTTTAAAACCAATAATCATCGAAAAAAGGCTGACCTCAAAAACGTTGAACAACTAATCAAGTCATTGTACTTTAATACGTTTTAGAATAGCGCTGAAAGACAATTTAATAAGAAACACAAAGTACATTACTACCTATGCAAAACAACTCCCTTTGAAAGACAAAGATTTTAGTTGTGACTTATGGGTGTTGTTCTACAGAGGTTAAATTTATTGTGAGAAGATTTGTTACTATTGTTGTACAGAGGTGATATCTCTACACAGTTCAATTGTAATATATATTTAACTGGAAAAATCCAGAAGCTGAGCTATCAATCCACCAATGTTTAACCCATTACTTCATATACACGCCTTTTAACGCCTTTTTCACCCCCCCCTTTTTGTTGTCTCAAATGGTGAAAAAATGCCTTATTTAGGCCCCCAACACTTGTTTTTGTTTGAGAAATGTTGTTAAAAAAAGTGACCACTTTTTCGGCGCGGCCCCCCAACCAAAAGATACATCAGGGGGTTGCCAGAAGGGGGACGTGCCCCCTTCTGTTTGGGGGGTTTGAAGGGGGGCGGAGTCCCCCTCATCGCCAAGAAAAATTTTGGACTTGTGAGAGGCTATAAATGACCTCAGATTGATCATAAGGTAACGTGTAACCAACGCTGAAAGGCATTTGACTCTATCTCAATCCATTGAGAAGTTGGAGCACTTTGAAATCAATTATGATGGAAAAAATCAACGCAAAATAGTGATTTTTGGCAATTTTGAGATGTCCCCTCGTTGCCATGGTAACAGAAAATTTAAGCCTGAGCATGTTGTTGCAAGGGCAATGGTCCAGTCAACATTTGTGCCAAGTTTGATTAGTATTGAAGCAGTTTTTATAGTATTATAGCAATTTGAACTTGTAACGGGAGACTTTTCAATGAAAACAGCCATTTTTCACAAAATGCTCATGAAGTAATGGGTTAAGGATGATTTTATTTTATTTAAGACTTTTTAGGAATGCTAAATGTGACAAATCACTTTCATGACTTATACTATAAACTTCACATCTTGTCTACAGCATTTTTTTCCCACAGAATGACCATTCATCAGACAAAAATACCAGTTATTACCAGTTGGTGTCATGAATCTTTCAATAAAATGTAAACAACAAAAGACCTCTGATTCAGGGTCTTTAACAAAGATTAAAATGGGGAGAAATTCAGTAAATGATGGCCCATTAATCTTTACTTTAATAACAGTATCCCATTTTACTTTCATACCAGTGTATACATGTATATTTAAGTCAGGCAGAACCATAAATTTACCCCATCTATTATTAACATGTTATCTATATGATAAAACCAATCTTCACACAGTTCAAACACGGACAAAAGAAACTCCTGTCACATGTCTTTTATATAACAAATGGTAACTTTAAGGCTACATACTGTAGAGTGAGGTGTAAACAAACTTAAGAAAAGCATATCATGCGATTATGGAATTGATAAATATGAAAAGCTTTCCTTTTTTAACAAAATATGGCTGAATTAAATATATATGTTAAAAACGCTAGCAATACTCAATCTCATGACTGTTAACATCTTTTTATATTAAATCTCTAATTTTAAGCATTTTCATATTTTGTATCTGACCTTTGACCTCCATGTGTAATTTTGACCTATGCCACAGGGAGATAAATTTGTCTGCAACACCGATTTAAACTGGTGAACTTTTGTGCCAAGTTCTATTAAAATCCCTTAATGCATGTAGAAGTTTGCTCCGGACATGTTTTTTCCTCTGACTTCTAAGTGTAACCTTGACCTTTGATTTAGAGGCCTGGTTCATGCATGCAACATAAGGGTGAACATAAATATAATGTAATACTTTGAAAACCCTTATGCAAATGGAAGATATGCTTTGGATAAAATAGCATACTGCGGGCCTTTTCATATCAAGATCCCCCATCCCCAATTTCCATGAGTAAACTCCTTATGTAACAAGATATAGATCTTTCATATAACTGAATCAGTAAGAATTCTAACCCCATCCCACCCCACAAGCCCCTACCCCTCTATTTCTTTAACATGAAAATTAATGAAACTTTACAGAAGTAAAACTATTATTTCAAGCTATTAGGACAGTTACATATAATATAATAAACATTATGTGACATAATATAATATCTAACATAATAAATTTAGTTTGTCTAAAAAAACATTTCCCAGACAGAATAACCTTCAACATATGACAGTTTTCTCCTGGAAAAACAATACTGGAAAGTGAGAATGAAAGAGCAAGGCAATATCTGACTTTAACAGCATCAAGTGTTGTTGACATTTGACTTAATATGGTTAGTATTGATTCCTAAAACAGGCAAGCAAAACAACAATTATATTTTAGTCTCTCAACAGAGATATATTATAACATGGAGCAACAGGCAACAACAATTATATTCAATATCTCCTAAAACACGAAACTACAACATGGTGCAAGAGACAAATTCAACATCATCATAAAGATACAATATAACATGGAGTAACTGGTAAACAACTTTTTTTAAGAAAACCATAAAGATACAATATTACATGGAACAACAGGCAATACTCAGATATACTATAACATGGAGCAACAAGTACTATAGTTAGTATGTCCTGAAAGTTGTTACACTTTAACATAGAGTAACAGGCAAAACAACAATTGTATTCATCACCATAAAGATACAGTATAACATGGAGCAGCATGCAAAAAAAACCCAAACAATTATTCTCAAAAACACTGTAACATGGAGCACTCACAATATCAGTTCAAAGGTTTCCCATACAATCCACAGACTGCCTATAAAATGTGATCATTTTATAGGCAGACTAATTTCTTTTTTATGGCCTCTTTTCATGGATTTTGTGCTAGCTTTACTTTGTACATGTATGCAGTATAACAATGTACAATGTTATACAGGAAAAAAAGCACATGACTACTTTCAGTGCTTGTTGTGTGAAACAAGAGCCTGGATGATGGAAGAATGAACAGAGGAAAAATAGTTATCAGTCTTTGAGGATATAGACCGATGAATTCTGTTAAGTCTACAAAATTAATGGCCTTCATTCATTCAAAATCCATATCATAATTTTGGGTCTTGGAAAGTAATCTTGAATTGAAATTCAAAAGCATGAATCAAGTTTACAATCAGAAGTTTTTTTTAAATATTAGGGTTGCAAGTAAAACATAAGCCAAAACTTTCTAAATTCAAAAATGGGCCAAAAATCAGTAAAAATCCATGTCAATTTCAATATGGGCCTTGGATAGTGACCTCCATTTATGATCCTAAAGACATTTATTTAAATTTCATATAAATACCTTCAATAGGTATGATGATTAGGGTTGCAACAAGAGTGTTCAAAGTTTAAAAAGGGTCATAATTCAGTCAAAATCTGTGTGAGAGTTATGAGATTTGGACAATGACCTGCAATTATGATCCCACATATATGTATTAAGTTTAAAATAAAATACCTTAAGTTGCTTTAGGGATTAATGTTGCAGGAAAAACTTGAACCAAGAATTTGCAAAGTTCAAAAAGGGCCAAAGGACATTGAAAAGTATATAGTTTCTTTCCCTTTTTTCATTATTGATACCGACAAATCCAAATATTTTATTTTTGTGTTTCTTAAAGATTGCTTGAAAGAAGTCCTGCCTCCTCCATGTGTGTGTTAGGATTGTTTACCCTGGCCACTTGAAAAATTACCTTATTGGCTGGCAATGTACTCATAAAATAAAACAGCACGAAAAGTCTGGCATGAAAAACAAACAGCTGTCATAAATTGCTTTCTGGCATTTTAGAATAATTTTCAAAAATGTTCAATATACATAAATGTAAATGTATTACATTTTAATAACATTTATTACATTATATCTTAATTAAATTTTGTAAGTACTAGCATGACAGTCACACAACATTAAAATGCAAAACATACATGTATAAAAAAAATAACTAATCAAACCAGACGGCAATAAAATATCATTTATTTTCTCTTTAGAAAAAAAGCAATGTTAGTGTACCGGTACACCTACATCATGTTGGAATGCTCTACACTTTACAAAAGCCTTACATAGTTACATAACAATAAATGATGACATTTAAATGTAACACAGACATGTTTAGAAATGAACATTTCATTTACATGTATATTCTAGCCTACATTCTAGCCCAAAATGTTTCTGTTATGTTTTGACCTTTCACTGTTTAGTTTTAAAGTAAATCTCTTCAGACAATACACTGACAATATATGTTATTTTGGTTTTGGAGTGATATATGTGGATATATTACCTGTTAAGATTTTATATCACCCTCGCCTAACGGCTCGGGTGATATTTTATCCTGACAGGTAATATATCCACATATATCACTCCAAAACCAAAATAATAATTTTATTATCCTTCCCCTGCCGAGTTTAGACGATTTTTTAAAAAATCATTGCTGTTTCAAATGAAACGTCGAAATAAGAGTCCCTTTAGGATACCTCTTCGTCACAACATGACGTCACATAAATACATGACGTATTTTTCCCGTACCTTACGAAAGTAAACAATAGAATAGGAGTAGTCTGTTGAACGCACTTTTTTGTAATTAATATCAAGCTTTCACAAGGTCATATTTGTTTTCGATACTGATGGTTATATGTATCATTACTCAACTTTGGTAAATATTTATCATTTGACAGTTAAAAAGTGCTTTTAAATCGGAATTTACACCGCGTAAAATCGAACCGTACGCGCATCACCTCAGCGCATATTGTTTTCAACGTTGGGTACCAAACGGGGAAATTTAGTGTGTATATTACCCGTCTGGCTCGGTTATATCAATTTCTTTCGGGTGATCAATATCCAATCAAAAAGGCGGAAAAAAATCTGGAAGGGTAATAATACTACATGTGTTTCTCCGTATATTGTTTTACATAGGTAAAATATGTTGCCACCAGTAAGCTAAGGCCTCCAGATGGTAAAATGAAATAAATTTTCAATAAAACAGTATATACTGGTCCAGGTATAAAGGTTTAATGTGTAAATCCATTACAGGGCATTTTTTCCTTCTATAACAGGGACTGATGTTTGGACCCTTCACAATTCAAAATTGCACCTTTTTTAACAAAATGGCGAAAGAAATTCACAATTTCAAAACAGATTTCACAAAACATTGGGACTTGGTCTTCGAAATTCATTGTTTACCTTCCTGTAAAACTTATTATTATTGTATTTTATTATTGATAAGTATCAACACTGGAACACCAATGTATTTCTAATACTGGTACAATGTATACATGTATTTTAAAATTGGTATAACAGAAAAGGTCCATACCAGAAAAGTATATACATGTACACACCTTTTCTTTTTTCTTTCTTTCTATAATAGCAATTCCTTACCTCATTAAAACCAAAGCTGTTTCTTGGGCTCGGTAAACCTGTGAAAATTAACATATATTATACCCAAAATAAAACATAAACACACTTAATACCAAATAATTGCCATTTTGCTGAAGCGTATTGCAATATATTGCAATACGTATTGTCGTGTATATGTTTTGATGTAAAGATGGAGTAAATTTATATATTATTATTATATGTATATATTTTTAGTAGAAACTTAATAAAAATGTAAGGAATAAATAGAAAGTAGTGTCACACAATTTGATAAACAAAACTAGTCGAGTGTAACCTTTCACATCTGGGCCGCTTATTGACTTTTAAGTGTACTAGTTGTCGGATACTTTTATCTTACGTTGGTGCCAACAAAATTTGCCAATTAAAGATTTTATGTGAAATTTGTACAAAATTAGAAGGCAATTAATTGAAAATTATGATTTTTATAAAATACCGGTTTTCCAAAAATCGTACCGCGGTTCGAAATTCATTTTTTCATATTGCAATATATCGGTATACCGGTAAACCGTTACACCCTTAACACCAAATATATCTAACATACAAATATAAATGGTAATTGAACAAGCTTCATCAGTGATATTGAATCCAGTGTTGAATATTTCATGGGAAAAGCGACTAAAAACTGATTTCATGTACTTTCTTTTGGAAATGGGAAAATAAGATTTTTTCAGTGGGATACAAAATAAGCATATTTCATTCATTTTGAATGCTTTTTTTCAATAGTGGGTTAATGTAGTTCTTTTCATGCATTAACATCTGCAGAGGCTGTGGACACATTTAAAGCCGGAGCCCGATATTCTTGCATAAAAATAATCATCTCAATGGTACAGGGTTTTCTAACAGCCCTTAATAATAAACTGACAAGTCTACTTATATGTCCCATGTTAATGATTTAAAAACTGACTTTGAAACTTTCAATAACATTGTTTCTCTTTTTTATTTCGGTGCAGTAAACAGACTCTTCCTTATCAAAATCATATATATTTTTTTCCAAAGCATCTTAAAGTTTGCATTAAGACAAGTAAATAAATAATCAAATGTTTCCTTTATCTAATGTTAAAATCTTTGGTGCCATTATTAAGCATTGTCACATACCTTCCATCCTAAATTTTCAAAGAATGTGCTCAGTCTAGCTTGTCCAGTTGTTTTTCCACCACATGGTCCTGAAAAGTATAAAAAAAACTGTAAACAAGATTTCTCTTCACTCTTTTTTGATAACTTTTCAAGGTACTGACACTTTGGTACATGTATAATTATGTAAATTGGGGCATGAAATATCAATTGTAAGTGGGTCTGGTGATGAGATTGGTATTATTTGTGCTCTGAAGTGTCAAACCATGTTATGTACTTTAGGGAGGAACAAGAGCTGTCATCCAAGTGACAAATGCCCCCGAAAAGGTTTCTTAAGCATGCAGGTATTATGAAAAATGTATGAAAGTAACTTATTGCTGAATATTGTTCTTTGTATGATTGTACCTGTTATCTCTAATTGTGATAGCATGAACCTTCAAAATATAAGTGTGACCTTGACCTTTGAAGAAGGGACGTGGTTCCTGGACACGACAAAATGTTGTTATGAGATAGACATTTGTGCCAAATTATTTCAAAATCCCTCAATGTATGACAATGTTACAGTCTGGACATGATTGTTGTGTAAGTGGGGACACACAGACAGACAGACATGAGCCTTAGACGCAACACATTGTCTTGATGTGGTAGACAATTGTGCCAAGTTATTTTAAAATCCTTCCATGCATGACAAAGTTACAGTCCAGACATGAATGTGTATCTTCAAACCCTTCTCGAGAGAATGGGTACCTTCAAAACTATAAGTCTTAGTGTGACCTTGACCTTGAAGGTTGGGACATGGGTCTTTGTCGCGACATATCATCTTGATGTGGTAGACATTTATGCCTAGTTATTTTAAAATCCTTCGATGCATGACAAAGTTACAGCCCAGACACGAATGTGTGTACATATCAACTCTAATTGTTATAAAATGAAATTCAAATGGTAGCGTGACCTTGACCTTTGAGGTAGGGACGTGATTATTGAACGTGACACATCCTCTTGATGTTGTAGACATTTATGCAAAGTTATATTAAAATCCTTCCATGCATGACAAAGTTACAATCCAGACACAAATGTGTGTACCTATAAATTCTTATTGTGATAAAGTGAAAGTGTGACCTTGACCTTTGAGGTAGGAAGAAGATTATTGGACACGACACATCGTCTTGGTGTTGAAGACATTTATGCCAAATTATTCTAAAATCATTCAATGCATGACAAAGTTACAGCCCGGACACGATTGTGTGTACCTATTAATTCTGATTGCAATAATGTGAAACTTCAAAATGATAGTGTGACCTTGACCTTTGAGGTAGGGACGTGGTTCTAGGACACACCACATCGTCTGATGTGGTAGACATTTTTGCAAAGTTATTTCAAAATCCCTCAATGTATGACAAAGTTACAGTCTGGACACAAATGAAGTGGGGACGCACAGACAGACAGACGGTGCGATTATATTATGCCATCCTTTGGGGGCATAAAATCACTCATGTAGAGTCTACATGTCTTGAGAGTTTATGTACCAGTAAATGGGAGCCATGCTGTAATATCATTTTGTAAAACTGGTCAGTCTTGCAGTCAAAATATAATAATATTCAGACTAATAGTAATAATCCAATGAACAGGTATAAAGATCTACTAAATAATCAAATAATTAATTATAAACTTAAAACCATAGATCTACTTCTGACTTTCCTTGGCAAAAACAATTTCTTTCTGGGTAAATTTATACACCCAACCCTATACGGACATCGACTTACTGACTGTACACATTATTTAGATCTACTTTAATCAGTTATTTAGATCAAGCTACACCATGCCAGTTGAAGTTATTATAAATTAAAATAAAAAAAAATCCGATTGAAAAACTCTTTTGAATTTTTTTGGCAAATCTATCAAAATGATACATTGTTGGTAAGTATCAAGGCATAATCAAACGAATAAAACCTAAAACATAGGTATTTGTTTTTCATTTTGATCATATGCCATTGCATCATCGGCAGTGGTTGTAAACTAAAATGTAAACAAACACATGTGCAAAACAAAAATAGATTATCATTATGATAAGTAAAGAATGACCCTTAGTGGCCTTACCTCCCGTCAAAACGACCTTGAACACTTTGTTCTTGTTGTCACCAATGTTCTGCGACATTCTTGGTTTCTTTGTACCTGCACGTGTCACCTTTGTAGTACCTCGTGTGTTCCACAGAGCATTTCTAAGCGGTAATAGCCACCGAAAATGCATAAATATATAGCATAGCAAATGAACCATAAACATAGAAGTAATCCGAATGTTGCACAAAATAAATTAAGAATCGGATTAAACGAAATATTTTTGACATTTTGTTTCGATATCATGGTGGCTGATTTGTGCCATTCTTGTTTTCGCCCGCGACCCCGCCAAGCGAAAAGTCGAAAATTAGCAAGTTAAAATGGCGGGGGCGCGCAGCGAAACCACGCTAATAAGCGAGGGCGCGGGGCGAAGTTTAATAAATAAAACCTCGCCCGCGAGGCCGCGGAGCGAGATTTAAGAAATAAAACGTCGGGGTCGCGGGACGAAAACACGATAATTAGCGGGGGCGCGGGGCGAAGTTAAATAAATAAAACATCGCCGCGCGCCCTCGAAAATTAGCGTGTTTTCGTCCCGCGACCCCGCCAAGCGAAAAGTCGATAATTAACGTGTTAAAATTAGTTTTATTTATTCATCTCTTCTTTTTATGCTGTTCGTCAACGACATAACACAATATATTAATTCAGACCTTGATGGGATTTTCACTTTAAACGAGCTTAAACTGTTTTTACTTCTATATGCCGACGACCAGGCACTATTTTCTTCTTCGCCAATTTCCTTACAGTTAATGTTAAACGATGTCGTTAATTATTGTAATATTTGGGGATTAAAGATTAATACTTCTAAAACAAAAGCTATGATTTTTGAACGTGGCAGACATACGACATTTGATTTTTACATTGACAACACTCTAATTGAAATAGTTCCCTCTTTTAAATATCTAGGAATAACTTTGTTTAAAAATGGTAACTGGTTTCGTACCCAAAAAAGTATTTCGCAACATGCTTCATTTTCTTTATTTAATTTATTTAAAATACTTAATTACGCCGAATTTTCAATGTCCCAAAAGCTTTCGTTATTTGATACTCTTGTCGGTTCCGTTCTTAACTTTGATTCACAAATATGGGGCAGTCATAAAGCACCAGATATCGAAGCTGTACACACAAAATTTTTAAGACGGGTTCTTTGCGTCAAAAAGTCAACCAATTTATGTGCACTATATGGTGAAACTGGACGATTACCGATGGAATGTAATAGAAAAATAAATATGCTTAAGTATTGGGTACACATATTAAAACAAGATCAAAATTCGCTTATTAATAAATAAATATGAATGTGTTAGGCTCTGTTCTTGGAAATCTCAATAGCCGTTTTCTACTACATTATGTTATGTGATTCTATGTATGTATATATGCATTTATGTATGTCACAATTTGCTTATGTTTCCCGCTATTGTGGGACTTTTGCATATATTGAAAATAAAATCTGAAATCTGCATATTGTTGCTAATAACTATGTTACCTGTCTATTATTATGCTAGAAACGTTGTTATAATGTTTAAAGCAAATAAACTGTATTGTATTGTATTATTAAACTTCGCCCGCGCCCCCGCTAATTAGTGTGTTTTCGCTGCGCGTCCCGCCATTTTAACTTGTTAATTTTCGACTTTTCGCTTGGCGGGGTCGCGGGGCGAAAACACGAATGGCACAAATCAGCCACCATACGATATAGTAGACAGGGACCCAGACAAATTTCCGTACAACTACAATGATATTGGTTCCTGCAACATTTATACCCAACATTTAGAATTAAGATTAAAAGTAGGTTTAAGCCGAAAATATATAAAATAATATGATAAATGCATTAACTACAGTAGAGGTGTGACATTTTAGTATCGCACATAACCAGAGACTTATATTATACAGACGAAACAACCAATCCAGCAAATCCATCATCAATAAAGGTGAAGAATAGCAAACACCATGTAAAGAAGAAGAAAAAACATGAGAAAGTAGCCTTACTGCTCACGTTCCCCGTGCACAGCGTGGTAGTTGTTGTAATTGGTATATCTGTTCTTTGTTGATTATCTTTTATGAAGAATGAACATTACGGTAAACCCTGAAACGTCGGAATTATTTGTGCCGGTGTAAAAAGTCGTTGAAATCTGATCAGCCGTTAATTTTTTTTAATCAAAAATCGTATATTTTTAAAGTTTGTTAAATTTAACTACGTATCAAAATCTATGGCAAACAGAAAAGCATCCCTATTTCTTGGCCAGAGACCTTTAAGGATTACCATATGAACCATCTTTCTTTTTGTTTTTTGTTCCCCGTTCATAAACTGAAGTGAAACAATATATCATATAAAGGAACTCCGTCTAAAAACATAAATTTTAAATTTCTTACATAAATATACTAGGGTAACGGAAAAATATGCAAACGGCTAGAATACACAACTATTTCAATTAAAATCGTAACTTGCGCCATTCTTAGCTGCCCGATTTTGAAATAACGCTTTTTATTTTTGAGATACTTTTTGACAAAAAATATTAACTGCAAAAATAGAGCAAGCGAATGGACTGAAATTTTGCACACAAGCTGTATTCAGGCTTTGATAAAATGGTACACAAATCTCGAAAAATGTTTCCAGTGCCGTTATGTGAAAAACACCTCAATTCCTTTGAAACATATAATATTATTTCAAATCGGTCATAAATTAATTTTTAAAATGATAAAAAGTAGGTGCCCAATTTGAAATTTGTCCGACTGTAAATGGTTTAATATAAGATTATGATGTATTAATTCGTCTTGAGAGGTTAGCTGGTTAAATAAAAAAGGTAAGTAGCATAGATATTAAAAGCGTTGATTAATTGACATATGGAATTATTGTAGACAGGACCTTTGGCCAAAACCAGGGCTGGGAATCAAAACTGCGTCGTATCCTACAAAATGTAAACAAACGCCGCCATCTTGGAACGAAAAATGTATGTTTTTGTTTATAACTCTTTTTGTTGGAAATGACTGAAAACCAGATATATGTATTAACATGCTACACTATTTTCCGCTTCGTTCGGTATATGTTGCTTGCACAACTATTTTGTAAAACAAAAGTTATAGCGAACTTGCAACTCGAAGCGGGGCAGAATTTTTATTAAAATGTGTGGATACGACGCAGTTCATATTGTTTTATCTATCGTTTTTTTTCCTTCAAATCAATTATATATTTGTTTCCGAGTCACCATAAACTTTGAAATATAAATTTGCATCATTTACTACAATTTCATTAAAAAGAGATGTTTATTTTCTAAGAAAATAATGATTTTACGAAATGATACGACGCAGTTGAAAATAAAATATGATACGACGCAGTTGTATTTTTGGCAGTCTTTTCAACAGGGATAATTTTGGCAATATATTTCTATTTTATGGAATAATCACTTGCGCTAGATAAAAAACACCAGATCATTTGCAGTGTATAGCAATGTTCTTTTGCTTTTGATTATTAAGAATACATAGTGTCATGTCCAATATAACATATAATTTGAAAGTTTACATTGCGGAAGCTACTTTTCAGTTAAACATGAACATGTTACCTAATTGATCATAATATCTGAAATAATTTCTTATATTTTCCTGTATGTTCAATATTATCCCTAATTTTTTTCGCAAAAATATGTAGAAATCTATTAACTTGAATTCATTTTGGCTAGCTACGCTCTAAGTTAACTGTGGTTCTGCATGTTCTGGGTAATGACTGCTTTTTTGTGGTTTCTTTTCAAACTTTCACTCTACACATTAGCTTTACTAGGGGCGAGGACCTCAGGTGCGCCTTGTGCATTATTTCAGGCAAAATGCTGCACCTGCAGAGAACCATCGACATTTTGAAACTAGCTTGATAGGTTTTCCACATGAAAGAATAAAAAGTCCCTGGTGGTTTTCGAATTCATAGCAATTCAGTTCAAGTGATTTGAATTCAGTAAACATAAACAGCTCGGCCTCGGTCGGACACACCTGTCTGATTTGTTTTTTCAACAAAATTTGTTTAACGTCAGCTGTACAAATAAGCAGCTTTTTTATTAACTTCTTGCGTGAAGTTTTAAGATTATACATATTTGAAATTAATTATAAAGAGAATAACATTTAAATTTCTTATTTCGGTATGACTAACAGAGTATGTTTCCATGTAAACAGGGGGTAATCCTCTGTGAAGTCATTTTCTGAAAACTTTTTGTTTAAGTTTTCAGGCAATTCATTATCAAATAAAAATCACACTTTAGGTATGTTAAGATGTCATGTCTTTAGTCTGTTGAAAATTCGGTTGCGATAATCTGACCTAAATTTTCTGTTCAATATTGTGAAAACCTTCTACAATACTGTTGAAAGATCATGTCTGCCTATATCTGTATCAAATTTATCGGTGCACAGCTTAAAAATACCTTTGCAAAACGGACACCTTCTTTACAAAATAATTTGTAGTTGTATCATATGTAACACGATTTTGAAAATTTAAAGTTTTTGATGGAGAAGAATGATACTTAAGTGCAAATATAAAAATACATTCCGTAGACCTTTCCCAACGGCGATAAAGAAATGCAATACGACAATATCAGCGGTAAAGTTCTCGGCGCTGAACATAAAATGACTAAACGGAACGCATAACCAACTTGCAAAAATATATTGTAGCTGAACCATTTATAATATAACTTTAAAAATTTATTGTTCAGTTTCAAACAATAAATCTCATCTGTCCTGTACCGATTATTTAGAAAATGAATACAATAAAATCGGCACGTAAAAGACACATAAGTAATAACGGAATTGACGGAAATAATTGCTAATTACAAGTAACAAAGGTAGGCATGCAATTTCCCGATAGCTAGAGACCTTTTCAAAATTTGTAATTCTTTCTCTTTTTTAAAAAAGAAGGTCATTCCTGATTAATTACAGGGTCCAGGAGAGTTACACTGGAATATTGAATTTTGTATCAAAAATAGTAATCACTCTCATTTTCGAACTCATGGGAACAAGTTTATATAAGCATGCTAAGGCAACACTAGAACACGTTGTCATATGGTGTGTGCGATCACGTGTTTCAATGTATATTGCATTTGATACAGCTTTTAAGAATTTGTAGATGCTTTATGATAGGTACTAAAATGCGACGAAAAATGCAGCCTTAATAGAATAGTATTACATTTCCATTTTTATGAAACCAATGAGTGAC